GCGGTTCTTCACGTCGAGGGCTGGTACCCTGATCCAGCGGCGGTTGACCTGGTCCCACCTGTGCACGGTGATGTAGGCGTCGTGAGCGTCGTCCGTCTCTGGCACCGCAATCTGTAAGGTCGGTGGGGCGATGGTATGGTCGCTGATCATGGCCGCGAGGTCGGGGTGCTCTGCGATGGTGTTGTACGGTGCGTGTTCTGCAATCAGGGAGTTCGGGTCGGCCAGGAGCTCCTCGAACTGGAACCACGGCACGCTACTGGTGTCGCAGGTAGCGCACCCGTAGCACGCCCCGACCCACTTGTTTCGCCAGTCGGTTTCCTCTGAGAAGCAGAGGGGCATGATGTACTGGGATTGGTATGGGATCTGGCAGAACGAGCACTGCAGTGTGGCTGGTGTTGGATTCAGGTTGTGCCAGTCCAGCAGCAGGTAGCGTGTCCGCGTGTCCGGCTCGGTGTTGGTCGACTCCATGAAGAGGTCGATCGCGTCCGTGGTGGAGAGGCGGGGATTCTCGGTGCGGAAGGTCTGGAACCTCGAGAGGACGCCGGTGTTGTAGGACCGCAGGAGGAGCTCGCAGACTGCGTCGGTCTCGCGAAGTGCCATGTTGTGCGAAGGGGGTGCGATATCGGATACACAAAAACCAGCCTGAAAATTCCTTCGGAATTGGAGGTGGCGCTTGCCGAACTCACGCAGGAGTCGGTAGTGTGCCGGGTGTGAGTCAAAAGGGGGGGGGTTGGTCGGGCCAGGGGGGTGTGTCTAGGTGACTCGGGTCCAAGGATGGCCCGTTGATGGGGGGGATCTGTACGACGCGCCACACCGGCACAAACGTCGTGTTAGATGACACGCCACACCGGCACAAATGTCATCCCGAGGGGTGGAGCTGTCCCGTAGGACCAACTCCCTGCGGTGTGAAGGTGACCGGGGTCGGCCAGTTTGTCATCAGGGATCCGACCCGAAGAAACCGAGGGTAATCCACAGGGGATCCGAAGTGGGGTGAACGACCGGTCGGGTTCGGGGCAGGCGAGTGGGGATTGGTCACCGCAGTATGGGCCTCAGCAGTGGGTCGGTTTGTCAAGGGGTATCCTCTCGAATCAAACAGGGGGGACGAAGAGGGTCGACCCGGGCTCGAGGCTCTCAGCGCTTTTGCGCGGTCCGAAGATGGATCTCTCTTCGGGAAAAGGGGGCCTCAGGCGGTCGCCTAGGCATGGGTGTCACCTGTGCGGTATGAGGGTCATCGCCCTATTGCTGGCCCACCATCGCACGGGACATGGACTTGGTGGGTCAACTTAGGGTGGCGGGTTTGGAGACTCCTCGGTGCCGCCTGGTCAGTAGCGGGAGTCCTGGCTCTGCTCAGTCTTAGAGCTCCCGGTTGAAGCGCAGGTGTCCGTCGGGGCCGAGCAGGATGCCCTCGATGGTCGCCATGGTGCGTTGTTCGGGGGTCAGGAAATTGGAAATTGTCTCAATGATGGTCTCCCCGAAGGTGATTGCCATGTTGTCCACAAAAGGGTCTCGCCGGGAGGCGCGACAGAGCTGCCTCCCGAAGGTAAGCCAGGAACAGGTCAGTTGTTGTAGCATGTGCTGCCGGTTGGCGCTGTTGAGCAGCTGGAGTTGTTGGTGAACGTGTTGCTGGATAATCCAGCGCAGCAGGCTCCTGAGAGGTGTGACCTGCGTAGTTGGTTCCACGGGTACAAGAAAAGGCCCCCGAAGTCATTGCCGTACACATTGGTGGGGGTGCGCGAGAAGATGCCGTAGTTGGTCAGGTGCCATTGCAAGCCGATGTGGTCGAGGACGGAGGGGAATTCCGGTAGCAGTTCCGGATTGATCAGGAAGGTGGCATCTTCGTGTACCCGCGCGCGGATGTGTCCGGCCCGCTGGGTTGACAGCAGGCCTTGTGTGCTGTCGTCACGGTCGATGCCTGGCGGCTGGAGCCACTGGACTAAGTCGTGATGTTGGTTGGATGGTGTGGGGGGTGCCGCCTTGGATGGTGTGGTGGGTTGCGGGCGTGGTGAAGGCATGTGGTGCGGGACGGGCCCGGTCGATGTGGTGGTCGCCTCCGGGAATCGGGCCTGTCTGGGAGTGTCGCGAGCCGTGGGTGTCGCGAAGTTGACGGTCCGCGGTGGTGTCATAGCTCGGGAGTATCCCGGTTGTGTGGAGCGGCCTCGCTGCTGTCGGGGGGTGTTGTTCCGTTGGCGAGACGGGTTCAATGTGCTTGGCGGGCCACGTGGTACCGCGTATGGCATCTGGTAGGTGCACGGATCGGGGTACCGAACGTTCATGTGGTGAATGGGCGTGTTCCACTCGCCGTGAAGGTGGTCGCGGAGGATTTCAAAGGCCTCCCGCCTGGACACGAAGCGCCATTCACGGTGGGCTGTGTCATAGTGGATGCCCACGCCGGTGTTGGGTCTGGCATGGTGCACGAAGCGCAGCCAGGCAAGAAGGTCACCATGCAGGACTGAGTCGCTGTGAACATGGCGGCATTCGGCACCACTGTCGCAAAAGCCTTCTGGATGCCGGGCCTGTTGTCGAAGATGTCGGTAACAGATGTTGTCTCGCGGCATCCAACGCGCATCAACGAACTCCGGATGCAAAAAGGCGCACTGGTGGGCAGAGGCAGGTGCACGTCCCCTGCAGCCGGAATGGTTGATGAACTGGTTGCAGACCTGATTGCCCTGCAAGATGTTGCCCGGACCGACCGCCTCGGGCAGGATCGAAAGATGGTCCTGAAGGGCCCGGTACAGTCGTTCATAATCCGGGTCGAGCTCGGTCATTTCCATGAGCTGGTACTCCTCCACGATGGATGCGAAATTCGCTGGAGCAGTCATGGCGGTCGAGCAGGCAGGGCAGGTAGGTCGGAAAGAAAAGAAAAATTTGGCTAATTCGCCAAAATGGCGAACGGAGCATGAATCAAGCAGTGTCATCCTGCAGGCACTCAAGGTTCGAATCTGAGTGTGATTCAAATGCCTTCCGCTATCGGTTGTTACTTTTAACACAAGTGTTAACCGCAACAAAGGTCACCCGACCCCCGGAAGCAAAGAAGGTTCTGCCCATAGGCGACCTTCGGGTAAAAAAATGGTGAATGGGGCATAGGGACATGGTTCTGCCATCCTGACCTGGACCAACGGGTTGCAACTGCGAACATTCTTCTCCATGTTCATCTTGGAGGCTCACTTCAAACTGTGTTGCCACAAAAAGGTAGTGCCCATTTGGGTGCGGCTCAAAATTCAAAAGAGCTGCAGGAAACCGCGTGTTTGAGTCTCTCCATTTATCAAGGTGCCATTGGTACTATGTGTTCAGCCAAGGGAACATATGTCGTCCCAATGGCACCTAAGGGGTGTGTTTTCTTCTGCAATGGCAACATCAGCTTCCAAGGTTGGAAAGCGGTGTGGCAAGGCACTTCAGGGGAGTCCTCAAACTTACCCATGCGTGTCATGTTGACATCTCCAGACCCTGTAGGGCATCTAAAAGGACTCCTGTCAGCCAACGACCCGAATTCTCTAGTGAAGAAGGGCATACCCTCCATGTGACCGAAAAGAAAGACACTTTGGGAATGCTCGCTTCAAGAGGGCCACTCACTCCTGGCAATGAGAACCAAATGCGGCCACCTACAGACCCGATACTAAGTAACTACCTTCTGTTGACACCTATGGCCGGCCGGCCCCTGGCTGAAGATGTGCTGAAACATCTATGTTAAACAACCTCCTTGTGCTTCTGGGTTGGATTCCTTTGGAGACCACTTCCGTCTACATCCAAACAGGAGACCGGGTGAGACCGCATCCAAAGGATTTGGACCGAGTCCTTCGAGACCGACTGTGTCCCAATTGTCAACCACATGGATAAGGAATCTTTAAAACTGTCCCCGCCGGGCAAAACAAATATGAGGCACCTGTGAATGCCAACAAACAATGGTGGAAACCCAGGGTTTCAATTGGAACGAAATGAATCTTCCATCCAGAGCATGTCTAAAAATGCGGGCAGGCAAAATCTGGGATCTCTTCTCCTTGGCTGCTTCCGTACATATCCAAAAGGGGGTGCCCTCAAGAACAGACGAATCCCATCGAGGTGAAGCAACTCGGCTTTACAGATCTCAGCGTCTGCTTCTGCAGCGCCTCCTCCAAGCGCCGCAGCTCCCCGCCCCCGAACCTCGAAAAGCGGCTCCGCGGATCCGCGGGCGGAGGGAAGGGAGCGAGGCGGATCTCGTTCCCGTTTGGGGTGCGTTTTGCTTTTTTACCTAAGATAAATATACACATCCCTTCAGGTTCTCCTGGACATCTATTTTTACCCTCCCAGCCAATGAACACATGGAACCGTTCGGACGTTTCGTGGAAGCGGTCCTGGTTTGGACCGTTTTGCTTTTAAAGAGACCGAGTCCCGAAATTTCAGTGTCCATGTGTAGTGGGAGGGTAAGGAGACCCGAGACCCGAGAAGTCAAAATTCTGACATGGAGATCGACAAGGTTTGGTGATTCATGTCCAACCACTTTTCGAGGCTACTTGTTTTTTAGGCTTACTGTTTTAGGCTGTCCTAAAGTCTGGTTTGTGCATTGCGGTCCAAGTGACAAAAAGATCATCTGGGATGTGCAAAATGGAGGGTCGGCAAATCCCAATCCTTAACCCAGTTGCTTGGCTGGAATTAGGACCCCAGCAAAGAAGGTTTTTTTTTTTTTTGGCCCGGCTAGTGAAAAACAAAGGGAACCCCAAAAAAGCAAAAAACAAAAAAGGGAACCAATTCTGGGGAAGCATAGGGACTACAAAGGGCACCCATTGCACAACCCAAAGAAGCCATCGGTTTTGTCTGCCGCAAACGCGAGCGAGAGAATGGGAGGGTGTTGACCGACTTGTGCACCGTTACCTGTACCCACAAAGAAGCTTGCCAAATTTCAAAGGGGAACCTTCAAGCCAACCCTCCCCCCCCCGTTTGGACAAAACTCCCGCAACCCACGAATACTGGGACAACCCATCTACCCACGGGTGCAGTTTGTCCATCCAGAGTGTTGCCGGAAACTCTCATAGAAGGCACTCAGTCATCTCCATGATGAGGTGGTGATCGAACTCTTTGCCCTGCTTCATGATCTGCTTGGGCAAGCTTTCGGGGAAAATGGGGTTCAAGTACCACAGCATCTTGTCCTTGGATCGGGCTTCCCGTTAGAGCGCACATCATGAAAGCAAGGGGGCCCAACCATCAAACAAATTCTCGGTTGCTTTCTGCTCCCCTGCTAAAAGTTTAACTTTCAGTGGTTTAGTGGAAAACCCACTAGTTGGCAAAAAGTTAAAGTCCTAACAGCCCTTGGCAACATGCACCAAAGATAATAGACATGCTGGGCCTGAGGAAATTAGCTCCCAAATGGAGCCAATGCCCTAAACTTCTGCCCATGGACTCTCCGGCGATCCAAGCCCTCAGCTTCAACTGAGTGGCTGCGATGAGGTTGGCAAACGGAATGGGCAGCGACTCGAACTTCAGCTTGAAGTTCCATAAGGTTCCCAGGTTCATCATGCCCACCATTTCCTTGGCAAGGAACTGCGTCAAGTGCAAGTGACATCTTGAGTTCTCAAAATCACTTTTTTTCTTTTTTTCTTTTGTTCGGGTGGATCCTGGCCTATCCTGAATCCTTGCGGCTCAACGCCGTGGAGGCCTACGATGAAGACGGAGTTGCATCATGAACGCATGATATATATCTTGCATTTATATATTCTATACATATATACTATATGTATCTATGCCATGTATACATATGTGTGCAACATTCATAGGAACACGTGGATCTACACACATCCGCGGGGCGATGAGCTTCACGAGGACGCGGCCCCCCTGGTCGCAGCAATCGAACTGCGCCCGGCTGAGGTACTCCAGCTGCTTGGGCAAACACTCCGCCGAGGCCAAGGCCACCTGGGACCCGCGCTAAAGGAACCTGCTGATGTTTTTAACGGGTGCCTTGTCTTTTGGGACTTGGGCCCAAGAGGGTTGTGTTCGGGCTGCCCCCTTTTGGCTAATCCCTTTTATTCAACTCGCCAACAAAAAGGGTACCCTCAACAGCGGATGCGCCCACTTTTAGGGAAAACCTTTAGTTTTTGTCTGCTGGGTGGGTGGAACGCCATCTTAGACCTGATTCCCGCCCCCCCCCCCGTACATGTCCTGTAGCTGGTCCTGGTCAAGGCATCTGCTCGAACCCGAATCCAACGGGTGGATATCCGTATCCTTGACACTGCAGCTGGCCCACGTCCAAGCCACCAACGGGTCCCAAGAGAGCACAGACCTACACTCTAGTGCATTGAGATCTGCCTCTTTTTTTTTCAGAGAAAACCAAATCGGATCCAAAGGACCTCTATACATCATGGCTAACTTTCCTGCGAATCGGAGGCTTTCGCTCGCCATAAAATCGGTAGACCGAAGACTCGCCTTCTCCTTCATCAGCTGAGCAGTGGCAAAGTCTTTGCAGGAAATCCAGACCGTCTTGCTCTCCTGCCCGTCGGAAAACGACTGCTCCCCCCCTGTAGTTTAGCCTGGATTGTTCAAAGGAGATTCCTTGGGAACCCCCCCCCCAAGTTGGGTTCCATGCCAATTTGTGGGGGAGTAGCCCGCTCGAGAGGGGACTGGTACACTGTGCCCAGTACAAGTTGAGGCGGGTCTGTAGCTTTCCAGCCGCAGTGCTTTTGATCCCAGGCAGCTTGAAATGTCTGCTGCTCACCCCCCAGATTGCCAGCCCCAGGGCTTTGGACGCACAGCGCTCCTTTGGTAGGGGGAAGGTGTCGTGGATCGTGGCGAGGATGAGCACCTTCAACGGCCAAAGTCCCGACAAAGGTAATCAGAGCGCTGATTGAAACACCAGCGGCGTTAACCGAAGCAAAAGAAGTGGCTAACATTGGCTAACTGGATGACACGCTCCCCCATTCATATCATTCATCGAGTATTCCCCATGGAGAGGGAAGATGGAACCATAAATGGAATTCCACGGGTCACCCCCCCTCCCCAACTTCATTTTTACAGTGGTGGGGATGCTCGGATGACATGGTCGTGCAGACTCCACACTTTGAATTGGCTGGCAGCTTAGCCCGGCCCAGAGGAAACTCTGCCGCTGTGCCTTGCCCTCGGAGCGGCAGCAGTCTTCGCCGGTGGTGTCGGCGTTGTACCTGGAAACCTGGCAAATCCGGAGCCAACCGCCGATTCAACACCCAAAGTCATTGGCCTTAAAGCGGCATCCTTACTTCTTATTTTGGGGAACCAGGAAGAGGGGGTGAATCCATTGACTACGGGGTCCCCGAAGAAACTGCAATGACCACCCTGCTTAAGTGGTGATATGCCCCAGCCTTTTTGCTCCGCTAAGCGATACGCAAGGGGATCTCAGGGTGGTCATCCATGCCCTCCATCCAGTCGCAAGACATCCCCCCTTTAAAACTAGGAGAAAACCACACAAATATTCTGATGGAAGATATTGATGACCCTTTTTTCCTTTAGGAGATCCCCAACAACAAATGCAGGTTTCCTTTAGGATTGCCTGTGAAACCACAAAAAAAGTATGGAATCCGGGTAGTTCAAAGCCCCAGGGTTCCCTACTATTCCCCACTGTTCCCTACAGTTTTGTCGGGTTCCCTAGGGTTCCTTAGGGATCCGTAGGGTTCCCTGGGGTTTTCCCACGAAAGAAAAAAGAAGAAAAAATACCTGCAAACAAACCGAGGCCCATGTGTAGCCGTTCCATCGCTGCCTTGGCATCCAGCTGGCAGAGCTGCTGCCGGTACTTGGGCCATGACCCGGACCGCCGGCAGGCGGGATCCACGTCACTGGCCGACAGCGCCTTCGCTTCCTCCTGAGCTGTGGCTCGCTTGGACCGGGTGACTTTTTTGGGAGTTGGACCCGCAAACTCGGGTTTTGTTGTTCCTTTTGGTGTCCCCTTTTTTATACCAAGCAAGAAAGGGACCTTAACAGAAAACAAAACAGCCCAGTTGGTTCAAAGGTGATCACGTTTGGGGGCCATGACTAAAAACGGGAACCCAAAACGGGAAAACCAAGAGCTCAGAATGTCGGCAACTTGGGCAAACTAGTTGGGTGACCCGAGATGAGTTCCAACGCATTGTTTGTTTGTTGTTTTATTGGCCGGAGGGTATTAGGTGCAAAAAGGCAGCAACAACCTAGCTTCCCCAAAGGAACAGGCGCTGGACACATCTCGCATTCTATTCAAAGAAGCTGCTTTAGTTCCCCTGTAAAGCCACTCGAAAAGGCTGGTGCTTTTGGGGTCCCTTCCAAACTAACACATGGGTCTCCCAAAAACCACACTGGGTGAGGGTTGAATGGGTAACCAATGGCTCGAAGACATGGGGTCCACCTGTTGAGACTGTCCAACGGGTCGCTCCCTCTGCGCATGACTCGCCAGATCCGTGACGAACATGGCCCAAAGCACACCCAAGGTTCCCAATTCGAGCGCTTTGATGCGGTACCGGGATCAAATTGGTGGGGTGCTTCCCCGTGTCGAAGAAAAGCTGAAGGAAAATCAACCTGATTCACAAGTTGAGGGGTCACATCCATCTGAGCCCGTGAAACACGTGGTCCTTCCGGGGGCCGTGGCCGCATGCATGGCCACTGGCCTGAAAGGAGGACACATACAAGTCAGGAGTCTCGCCCGCTCCGGCATTGGAACCCATGGCATGCACTAGCGGAACGTGCACTTTCAATTCCACGGGGCTGACTTCAGGGGCTCAACCACCAAAGTCCTCTTTGGTAATTTGTTTTTTGCCTTGCTCACCCGAGAAAAATCACCCTGCGGGTACGGCAACTCCGCCCCCCCCCCAATCCCCCCCGCCAGGTCTCCAGAAAGGATAGCACATCATCCTGGGGCTTCAGCCCCAAAGTATTCACCTCAGACAGGCTGAGCTGAGCCGCCTTTTGCGTGGTTTCAAACTTGCCCTTTCAGGAGGGAACGAATCGAAGCAACATGGAGGGGTCACTGGGAAACTAAGACGTGCCCACCCTTCAAGGTCCGAACAAGCGGCTCCCCTGCAAGTCGCGCCATTGACATGACAAGCCCGTTTCTTTTTTGTTGGTCCTTTCTGAAGAGGAAATAGCTTTATGGACTCTTCCACTTGCGACATCCGTTTCCGCGCCGACGCGTGGCGCGCCAGGCTTCCACATGCCACGTACATTGCTTGCGTAGCCAGGTCGCAAGCTCCACAGTCCCATCTTTGCCTTGGAGCGGAGTGTACAAAGACGAGGGTCCTAACTTTAAAGCCATTTGCAAGCCAGATGAAACGTTGGGTGGTTCTCAAGTGGCTTAGTGTATGTATTGCTTGGCTTCGTGTTTCGAGTCGTTTCGTGGGGAACCTCTTGAACTGTTTCGTTTTGCCGTTGGCACCGGCCAACATGTTCCGGATCCGCCGCCCGCAAGAAGTAAGCAAAGGGCGAACGAGAGCCAAAGGACTCTAGACCCAACTTGTTTCGCCTTTCCGGCGCTGGTGCAAAGTTGTTCAGTCCCAGGAGAGTTGTTCTCGGAGTAGCTCTGAGACAAGAACAAACCCCTTGTGAATTACTCTCTGCAACCCGAGGAAGCCAAACAACATCCGTAAAAGCATGAGCATCTGGCTCTGCAATCGGCATTCCTCACGTTAAAGTGTTTCTAACACGGCTGATGGCTCGGCCCAGCGCATAGTTCAATGCAAGTCCCGCCTTGCTTACCCAAACCTGCGGAGTTGGGACAATGAGGCCGCGCAAACAAGGATGAGAATAAAACGGCCGGACGCCCAACTTTGGAACCTCACCCGAAACCAGAAACCACCTGCACCTGGGCATCAAATGGGGGCTCCCGCTCCCCTTCAACCAAAGTGACAAGGCAAGCCCAACGTTGGGGAAGAATAGGACTCCAATGCGCAAGCGGCAGTCTTGAAACCTGCAGATGGCAAACCCAACACGCAGATGGAGCCCTGTGGTTGCAATGGAGCGGCCCACCCGCAGGAAAAGCGCGCGCTCTGTGAAGGCCGGGCCCTGTGAGATGTTCGGCTGTCGCATCGAGGAAACACGCGAGGGTTCGGGGCATTCCCCTGAAAACTTCACCCCCCACCAAGGATCTTAACTGGGCCCGCAAAGGTCGTAATTCGGGAAGGGGAAGAAGCATTGGCAGCCTTGGAATGCAAATGCACCCTGATTCTGATCCAACTCTCCAAATGTGTACGTATGACCGTCTTCGAGGATATCCTTTGGGAGTGGTTTCAAGGGAAACCAAACAAACAACACAAGTTCGGCTCTACTTGCCATACACTGGAGCATGATGCAGCATGCGTTGCCCGTCTCAAATCCGCCGACGCCAGTCGAGCGTGTAGATGGCAGTCCGCAACTTGGTCTTCCTTCGGAATCTCTTATCAAAGCCGAAGGCTGTTGGGACTGCTATTTTTTGGGTATGCTGTGCTATGTGTCCAAAATCCTGTATTTTTCCAGTGTTTTTGGGCCTTTCGTGCTAGAAATCTGCGCTTCGCCTAGGTCTCTAGGGGGGGGGGGGGTTTCCCCCGGACGCGCAGGATCTGCATCCCCAGCATCATCAGGATTATCTTGTTGCCATGAATTTGTCTCTTTCTTTTGCAGATACTAGTGGCGTTTTGCTGTTTCAAGCGATGTTGGAATTGGCCTGTTGGGGGTTTGGGTGAAGCCAAGTGCAGTGACACTTGAGGAACGGTTGAAATCTGCAAAAAATGAGTTCTCTTGCAATTCCCACTGTACGGAGCAGTTACTGCGAAACATCCCCTGCATTATCGTGCTTTTGGAAGTCTATTCTTAGGGTGTTTGACGGGGGTTGCTAGTATTGTTTTTTGATGGCTGCTTTTGGGAAATATTGAAATACCCTGGTTTTTTGCACTTTTTTGTGGCTAGCCGGCTGCATTCCCAGCATTCCCCACAACTCTCGTATTTTCTGTGTTTGGTCAATGTCGCGTGTGTGAAAGTCTTAAAATCTTGAGCGTGAAGATTGGGTTTGTTCTTGTAAGTTGTGTGGCTGCATCCCTTGCATTTCCAGCATCCTCAGCATCTGGGACATGAAGAATGACCTAGGCCAAAAGACGTCTTTTTCCTGACCCCAAACTTGAGGCACCCTGCAGTTTGTTAATGGGGGACTCTGCCACTGGCGTCGGCGAATCGCGTAGCGATTTCAATAACTGGGGGAAAAACTGGGTTGGATGTTGAAGTGTAGGGAACCCAGTGGTCCACTAACCCTCCCTCGTGGAAACAGGACCGCCTTTTTGGTGTTGACCATTTTCAGTAGGGAGCCCCGCAAAAAAAGGGGACTTGCAGGGTGCCACCAAAAACCCGGGGAACTGTGTCTCGCCAACTTTGCCGCAATGGAAGAGACCGGGATCTTGAACTTGTCTTGGCTCCAGAGAGAAGACAAGGAACCATGGCATGGTTTCCATCAAGCTTAGGGCCACGGCAACTTGAATTGACTCGAATGGTCATTCTACAAGCCGACCATGTCATAAAGTACATCTTCAAGTCTGTGTAACAGACTTGTAAATGACAAACGCATGCAGTGCATCAAGTGGACAAGTATGATGTATACTTCATCTGACATGTGTAGATATGTTCCATGTGTGTGCCTTCTTTGAGGACACCACCCATCTGGAGGAATCGCTTGCTCATTTTAAGGCACAGCCAAAATCTAGTCTCGTCCGTTATCTAGTGTGGGCCCAACAAAGTCAAAAGGACACACCCTCTAAATTGTGGTTTGAAGGGCTTTCCCAGGAACATTTTGAGAACCCATGAGAATGCCCCCCCCCAACTTTAAGGGGCCCAGTTGAGAGGCACAACGAGGCAAACCCCGTTCCAAGGGCAGAGCCAGGTTCATGTCAGTCAGGGATCTCACCCTATGTCCCCTGAAGTGGATTCCAAGAAAACTGGCTCTGGAGAAGACTTGTGTGGAACAGTCACTATTATAACAGATTACGACAGGCGTTCCAATTTTAGCTTTTGCTTAGAGTTGTTGCGAGGGTATGGTATTTATCCCGGCTTGACACAAAATAAATCACCGGGGTCAGCAGTCGCTTCAGCTCAATCTGGGTCCGTCTTTTGAGGGTAGCCGTGTTTTTGTTTGTGTGTGTGTGTGGTCTTTTTTACTTCAGCCGGGGGGGGGGGGGGTGGGAGGGTTGAAGGGAGGGATTTTCAGGGAAACCAAAAGCAAAAGCGACACACCCATACTTGCTGCAAGATTAAGCCACTCCAGTTTCTCCTGGAGTCCCCAAAGCAAAACACACCCATCTCCTCCCCCCCCCAACCCCCCAACCCCCCCCCCAATCAACCCTGGCCGCTCTCCTTGTGGATCTGGGTGCCCCCCGAGCCGAAGGCCACGCCCGCAGCCACCGAGGGGTTCAGGAAGATGGAGCCCAGCACCGAGTGGGAATCCCGGCTCACCGCCTTCCTCGTCGATTTAGCTTTTTCCCCAGGCGAAAAGCTCGACTTATTTTTGTCACCACGGCGCCACGTTTTTTGTGTGTTGTTTTTGGTTTGTGTCTTGAATAGTGAATTGGAATTAATCATGGAATTTGCGGGTGGGTTCTTTGAATTGCAGATGTCACTGGATTTTCAATGAAAAGTGAATTGGAATTTGCGGGGTGGCCTTCCATTGAAACGATCGCCACTTTTGAAGGTACCAAAAAGAGAAGTAGATTAAACCCTGTGTGCATTTCAGCGTCCATCCATGTGCTTTCCGTCAATATGATAGCTCACAGAAAGGGGCCGAGCGATTTCTCTTTTCGGGGGGTTCAACATGGTGAATAGTCTGGCTCACCAAAAGGGCTTGCACGTTTTTGTCGTTTGGACTGGCAGACAATCGCAGTGACATGTTCAAAGTTCTAATTGGTGGTTGGATTGGTTTGGAAGCGTTTCCGGGGTGGATTCCCCGAGAACCAGGGGGTCAAATCTCCAAGCCAATCGAAACCACCAACTAGGGGCTACCTGAAACCAGTGATTCAACGGTATGAAGCTAAGTTGAAAACAACCCTAACTCAGAAGTTGCCAAGGTGACCCCAAACAAGAAGAGAACCCGTTTCGCCATGTAGGCTCTCTCTCGATTGTGAAGGGAGGCCACTTCTTTGAAACCAAATGTCCTGCGAGTCCAGCTCGCATGGTGTTTTCCCTTAAGGTTCATGGGCACGTTTCTCAGGCCCAAGAAATTCGTCGCACCCACAAGCAAACTTCACCTGGAATACCTGGAAGACACATTTCCTCCAAAACGGACCCTGCTACCTCCACTCAAGTTCCATATCAGCGGACAAGAGCGAATGAAATCCAAGGCACCCCCTGCTAAGGGTGCCTTCTGAGTTGGTTTACGACTTCCAAAAAAAGTCAAGGGCCCATGGTCAGCGATGATGGGGTGAAGTCGGAACTGAACCTTTAGGTTTGCCACAAGGGGAACCCCCGAAAATGTGTTTTCTTGCTCATCTATTTTTTCTTGTGATACGCATGCCCAAGACCGTCCTCCAAACACTCCCATTAATTTAAGGAGCGATGGTTCTCCAAATCTCCAGATTGCGGTCAGGAGGCCTCGTTGGCCGGGCCTCTCTCCAAAATAGCGCAATGGGCTGGCGTCCTCTTGGTTCACCTTCGAACTGGGTCCCAAGTGAATATGTCACGGGGGTCTCAAAAACTATTTTTGGGGTTTATTTCAAGCCACGCCACTGCCCCCGCTTGTAAAACGCTGAAGCTCACCCTTCGGCCCTTCGGCCGGCCACAAGGCCAAGGCGCAAGGCCTCCTGCACGCTGAAGATGCCGGCCCCTGCGAAGCACAGCACCTGCTGGCCCTCGCCGATGGGCAGGATCTTCCTGAAGCCGAAATCGGCTCCGAGATGGGTCGCCGTCGGAAACGGACTCGGGGAATCGGAACATGGGTGGCTTGTCCTTTGGCCTCCCGTAAAAAGCTGCCGTAAACACGGGTGAGCCGCTCAGTCGGGACATTTGAAACGGAAGTGTTCAACTTGTGGTTTCCCCACTAGGCGAGGACAAGGAATCTCTCGAAAAAGGCGCGCACGATTTGTTTGTTTCCCAAAAAAGTCGACTAAGCCAAGGGGAGTTGATGTCCCCAAAGCGGTAACCCCTATAGAATTTAGGAAAACACTCTGTCCTCTTGCGGAGGCAGCCAAAATTCACCTCAAGGGTTCCAACTCATTTTGGGAAACACTGGGGGGCCCTTTCTTTTGAGCGGAAAGCCTGCTGAGAGGCCCTTTCGCATTCTTTGAGTGTCACCTTGGTATCAAGGGACACCAACCGGAATTCCACCATTCTGGGGTCTCCCTACTTTGACACGTGCCCAACAAGAAGGCCGTGCTCTCAGCCAAGCTTCTCCAAGCGCTTCATGTTGATGACCACGCTGGGTCGGTCGCCCCCATCTCGCGGCACTGAGCCTCCAGTGATGCCGGTCTTGGCTCCTGAGACTCGAGGTCGCGGAAACTGCTCAGGGCTGGATCTGGGTAAACTTTGCAAAATGTCCAAATTAACACAGAAATCAATGCTTGCAAGGGCCTGCTCCCTGCATATCAGCCAAGGATTCCAAAAAGAAACAAATCCCAAGAGGTGGGCCAACATCGACTCCATCCCAGCTTCCGTGTCCGAACCCCGGGCCTGAGCCCCAGCCCCTCCCCTCATCGCGCCTTGGGGGTAAACTGCCACATCGGCCTCCACGCAGGCCTTCAGCACCTGCAACATTGGACGTCACTTGGGGTGTTTGGTCTTGGCTGGTGCGAGAGATGCAGGGGCCCCTTAGAGACGGAATGCCCCCTAAAACAACCATCCAACTGGTGGCTTCCTTTAAAGGAATCAGGTTCATTGCCGCATCAGGGGCCCTGAGAAATGGAATGACCCTCAACAAAGCCATCCAACTGGAGGTTTCCTTTAAGGGGACCCCGGGTTCATGCCCACATTCCCTGAGCACCAGCAAGTTCTAACCGATTTTACCCGCCCCGGCTTTTGCACCTGCATCCCCAGCACCAGCCTCACTTGGACCTGGGGCCGCTCCAAACCCAACCAAATCAGCCCAAAACTCACTCAACGATACCCGAAAGCAACCTCCAGGCAAACTCTAAACCGAGTCTGCCAAGGCCAACGAACCCAAGACCCAACTGAACCCCCAACGAACCAACCAAGACCCCCCCTCAGTAAAATCCAAGCCAGCCTAAACCCGTGATTCAGCCAGCCCCGAGCAAGTCGCAACTGCCGCCAATAGCAGCCCTAGGTCCAAGTGATGCTAGTGATGTGGCCAACCAGCCAACGAACAAACAAACGAACCAACCAATTAACCAACCAGGGAAACACACGGGGGCTAATGCAAAAAAAAAAAGCGGTTCCAGTTGTGCCTTCCCAAGAAGAAACAAGCATCAAAAGCTTGTGGACCTTCCGCTAGCTCCCTTGCTATTGCTCCGAATCAGGACTCCAGATTCAATCCTCACTGACATATCCTCACTAAGACTATGGAAGAAGGCTCTTGGAGTTTTCCTCGCCAGGATGCAACCATTCCTGGGGGCGTGGTCAGCAGGCTGTATCCCCACGGTTTGTCAATGCTTTCCGGGCGCTCCTTTTCTCTCACAAAGGTCGTTTTGGCCGCCCTACAAACATCAACCCACCCATCCAGCCAGCCAACCAGCCAACCAGCCGACCAACAAGCCACAAACCAACCAAGCAGTAATCGGTGAGCTTGTCACACGTTGATAATGATCCTTCATAATTGGGCCCTCCCTTTCACTATGCTACAGGAAAATCGGAAGGACACCGACCAGTTTTTAGGGCCCCCTAAGTATATTAAACAACCCCCCGTATTGTTTAATTCATACCATGTTGCCCCGCCTCGCAATCACATCAACATGTACCTACATACACAAATATAAATCAATATTATATATATATATATAGTTTTGAAAAGATAAATGCCTATCTGAGTATATTCATACAACTGCATTCTTTTGGTGCGCTGATCGCCTGGATCACGTGGACCCGTTCCGCGTTCGAAAGGAATGGCCTCCTGGGCCTCCTTCAAGGTGCCCGGGCGCGCCACGAGGAGCGCGTGGCCCTGGCCCACCATGGTCCCCGTCTCCTCTCGGCAGTTGGCCCGATGATTTTCGGCTTTCTGGGCGGAAGACGAGATTGGCGGCCAAATGGCGGCATGGAGACCAAACGCCGGGAAATTTGGGGAAAATGGTGGTGGCCGGGGAAGAGGCACATGGGAAAGATAGGAAAACCTGAAAGATGATCGCCTTGGAAACAGCAAAATGGACACAGGCGGCCCAAAAAACGGTCCTTTTTCATGGCCCCGCCAAAAGCAACATGTTAAATTTGCCCTGACCAAAAGGGGAAATAGCGGGAAAGCTGAAAGCCTGTCCAAGTCTCAATAACATTGATGGATTCCACCAATGGTGAAAGCAAACAGCTGCAAGCACCAAACATGCAAGTGTCAACCGTTCACTGACCTACACCTTTGCCAAGGCCCCAAGGCAAACTCCCTGAAACTTGTGAACATGTTAGTCCGTGTGGGGCTTCCCTCGCCAACTTTGCAGCTAAGGACCCACACCACCCCCCACAAGACCCCTCAGAAGGTGCTCCTTGGGCTATTCTGGCAGGCATGGAAAGGGCGCAGCGCAACAAGCGCCAAACAAACAGGACACACATTTTGAAAATCCGGCTTTTCGACACCGAGGGGTCGCCTCCTCTCAAAAAAGGGGACACATGAAAAGGGCTTGTCTATTTCAATGGGTGTGTGACTTAAAGTAGGGGAAGACCTTGGAATTCATAAGGTGTCGGACAAGTCCGACCCAAAACGATTTAATTCTGCCAGGACTCAATCACATTCTCCGCCACATGCTGCTTGCCAACCTCAACGGCTCCAATTCCAATGCAACCTTCAAAGAACACCTCCTGGCTGTGTTGGAGGAACTGATTCTCACTTCACTTTCCGCTGGCTAGAGGGGAAACCATCTTCACTTTCCGCTGGCCAAAATGCATTTGCAGTGCCGAGTGGCAATGGCCCGCAACTTCTCAGGAAGCGCCTTCTGTGCTGCTGTCAAGTCCTGGGCTGCTGACTTTCAGGCGGTAAAACCGCTGAAGTATATGGGCATGAATCTTTATGAGGGGTGGGAATTTATGTCCACCAACCATTTGGGAGGGGGTCCCCGTTAAAACTCATAGCCATATTGCAAAAAACAACCAAGCACAAAACCCCATTGCGGGCAACTCCAGAAGCTCACTTGCACCACCTCTCCCCGCCCGCACTACCCCACCACACCCACCTCCGACTCCCCACCCACCACACCCACCACCCACCCTCTCCCCGTCTGCCCCCCCCCCCCACCATCCCCCCACCATCCCCCCGCCATCCCCACTTCCCCCCCCCTCCGCCCGCGCCGGTGTGCCTCGCAGCACACGCGGCCGCAGGCCGGCAGCTGCCGGAGCCGCAGCTGGGCATCCCACTGCCCCAGCGCCAAGCCGAAGCCGCAGCCGCCGAGGCCCACGCCGCACAAAGCCCCCAGGCCGTAGGTCCTGACCCAAGCGGGTTGCCGGGGGTGGGGTGAGGGGTGGTGGGGTGGTGGGTTGGTGGAGGGTGGGGGGGTGGCGGGGTGGGTGTTGTTCTTTTCAGGTGCTTCAGGGAAACCAAAACGGGGTGGGTTTTAAGGAAAACCCAGAAGTCAGCCTCTTGGTTGGGGGCCCCGTGTATCCTCAGGCGAAAAGAACAACGGGTTCCACTCCCCAAGCTGCCAATTGGTGAAACTAGGTGGCACAATTTCCGGGTAGATGTGTGTAAGTAAAGGGCATGGTTAAACCATAATGGGTTGGAGACCAACAGGAAAAACATCATGCGGGCGTCCCATATTTTGCCAGCTAATTAAAATCACATTCTCAAACATACCCCTTTTGTTGGTGGATTAAAGCGGGGTTCCAAAAAAAGGTATTAAAAGATCTGAATGTCATTTTGATGAGGTAATGAGAAAATGTTGCCTTCAGAGTTAGACGGGGACCCTACATCTCCGATGAATGAATTACGAAAGGGGCTTGGCACCCGTACTGGCACAGTCCTCCGAATCAATTTGACAAATTAGGGTGACGGGTACCAAGGAACCTAATCTAACCTTCAAGAAGCTGCCTCGTTCCAAACTTCCCCAGGGCAGGTACAGCACAAAAATTGCCAGAAACGTGCACAACCGAGCGGTGACAAAGCGTGACACCGCAGGCTATCTCTAAGATTCTTATTGGCCAAAGACTCCCCGTCTAGTCTAACATCGTCCAATGCAAGGACCCCTTCTTCCTTTGGTGGGTTGGGGGTAGTGGACGACATCATAGAATCAACTTAGCAGAGGGGTAAACCACTGTATTCGATTAGAGTGGCTTGAGCCTGTAAACCTCACTTGCCCACAGCCGACCTTTTGACCTTTTGTTTTTCCTGGTTTGGTTTACTTTTAGTCAAGGTGCCAAAGGTAAATCATACCCCGCTTCTGCCCAAAAACGGCTGCAATTTTCAATGAATGCTGGAACCTCCAGGAAGAACGAACAAATGGAAACGCAGTAGCTTCAACAGTCGGTCTTGGGCAAATGAGGAGCTAGACCACAGTTGGGTGCATGTTTTGAATGAATCGGACCACATGTGGATGCATTTCAAACCTCAAGAAGCAAACTGGAAACCACAGGGAAACCAAACCTTTTACACAGGTACCCTTTTGACATGGTTGTTCATGGGCCAAAATGCAACCACCATCATTTTGGGTCCACATCCTAAGAACGGACACACCCATAGAGGTGCCCAATGGACACGCCAAAAGGCCACAAGGCCTACAGAACCGAGAAGACGCCGGACGAAAAGCCGCCTGCTATAGGAAAGGTCCACTGCTGCAAGCTGCTGCTGCAAAACCGATAATAGTCTGTAAGGAGCAAAATAATTACTAAGAGTTTCTTGACCCTCAGCTCCAAACTTGGTTTTATTTACCCCCACGCCATTCTAAGTATTTAGACCCTGGAACCCCAGTATCCGTTGCTCATATCCGTCTGGTTGGCCATCCCTGCGGTTCCTCCCGGCGCCAGGCTTGGCTGAGGCGGCAAAAGCTCGTGCGAGGCGCAGCTGCGGACAACGGCGCATGGCGATGAACGTGCAGTCCAATGTGCAGAGCAAATGTGGCGAGCTTCCTTCAGCCCAAGTGCAACTGGACCTAAGGACACTTACATATTCTTTAATGGAGCCAACAAATGGCGGAAAGGTTGCTGGAAAAAAATAGGGACACACACTTGTTTTCACTGGCCCAAAAGTTGGTGGAATGGTTGGTGAGCCGTGCGTGTTGTGGGACAAAACCCGATCAAGTTCACCGCGTCTGCGAAGGGAGCCGTCATATATGACGCCATCTCACCCAGTCTTGAGGTGGCCTGCATGAATGCGATCAAGCACAAAGCACAATTCCACATCCCAGCCATCCTGTCAGCGGCGGATCTGGCATGCCAATTCTCAATCACACTTCGAACCCATGCAGTCTGGATTGGCAAGGGCGTGATCCTGAGCCATTGCGCTACAACTAAACATGGAACCTGGAGGAATTCCCTCTAGAAAATCATTGCACGTGTCTGGAACGTCAATCCTCCTCCGCTAGCCAATTTGACATGTGACATGACAGGAATGTCTCTCGAAGAAGGGCCCGGTTTTGTGTAACCCTGGACCGCACATGTACATAGTCTGTATGCCATGCATATGTGAGAACATCGATGCACAACTCACTCCATTTATGCATGCTGCAAGTACAAGTCTAGATATCTGCAATTAAACAATATGCAGTGCGTGTGCAATGTACACATGGATCGCCAGGTAGATCTCCACAACTTGCCATGCCTTCCAAAGAGGAAATGGGAGAAACCGCAAGTGAAGGCACCTTCATGGATGAGCTCGCCTTCCCCCGAACCGGTGAGCTCGCTGTAAATGCCGGTTGCCCAGATATACACCAAGGTTGCACGTGCCTGGTGTACCTGTTGAATTTTTGGCGTACCTGTTGACTTTTGGTGTACTGGCATGGTCATACCGTCATAAATGCTATAAACCCGAAGACCTCCAAAATCGGACCTTTTGCGGGGGAGCTTTGGTCGCTGCCCAAACGGGTCATACCAGCGCCCTGGGCGCTTCTTTTCTGCCCAGCTGGAGAGCGCGTCCTGGCGCAGGCACCGCAGCTGCGGCACCAGCTGGTGGGGCGCGAGGGCTCGGAGCAAGGCCTGTCCCAAAATCCGGCGGGGGGATTTTCCGCGTGGCAAGTCCAATCGGGATTTTGAGCGTGGCAAAACAGTGCGAAACTCTTTCCAAATGGTTTGTATGGAGCCCGGTGGTTTGCTGGTTGAGGGGTTTCCCATCTACTCCCTGCAAGAACCATAATTTCAACTCCCCAAACCACAAATCCAAACCAATTAAGGGTAACCTGAGACATTGTGAGGTCCGTGCCTCATAGAAGATCTCGTCACGACACTGCGCGCCAAGCTCCTGCCAAAGAGGGATGCCAAGGGTTCGATGCGGCCAGTGCCAACAAGACCTAAGTTCGACATGTGTTCTGGAACCTGAACACATCCTAAGCGCAACCTGGCCTCAGCAGGTGAAACAAAAAACCCAGCTTCGAGGGGAAAACTTTGGAAGCTTCGTGCATTCACAGTAGTGGAGGGGCTAAGCTGTGCAAAGCAGAAATGAACACATGGGGAAACCAGCTCAGGTCAGTTCAGGTCGTCTCGCTTTGGGCAACTGCGATTTTTGGGTGGGATTTAGAGGGTGCCAAGGGCTCGGCGCCAAGAAATGGCCGCCAAGAAACGACCACAAACGACCAACCAAGCCCACAACTACATTTAGTGGCGCCAAAATCGAGAGAAAACGGCTCGCAAGCTCTCGGCTCGCGTGCCCGCCTGCAGGCTGAGGCACCTCTGCCAGGCCGTCCGCGTCGCCTGCGCTGCGGCGCTGAGGCTCAGCAGGTCCGGCTGCAGCCGCGCCTCGAGTCCAATCGGGCAGTGCCTTCGGAGGTCTCTTGGGCGCCTTTGAGCATCACAAGCTTCAGATGGCCCTGCAGGTTTGTATGAATCGTGCATATATGCACACACCTATATATATATATAGAGATATCCACATCCAATGATATACATGCGACACTTAGAACTATGATGTCTGTGTATATGCACGAGAATCAACAACTGGCCTGGGTGGGGGTCGGCCCGCGATGTGGGGCGGGCTTGCAACAGTCCCAACCTGGGGTACGCCTCCAAACAGTTGGAGTTCTTCCTTGGTTGTCTTCTTCTGTGCTTGTTTCTTCTCTTTTTTGAGAAAAAAAAAGCAAATAAGATATATATATGCCTGAGAATGGAATTTGCAAACTTCTGTTGGTGGGAATCGGTGGTGCTATTTGCCGGGGTTGTTCCAACCATTCAAGCTTATGGCCAACAGGATGGAACTTGTGAAATGAGTGGTTTTGACAGTTGGCTGCAGAAGTCCTTCCCTGGTGTTGATACACTTCTTGTATTCCTTTCGCACCCTTTCAATGAAAACATGTTGAGACTAAGGGTGGTAAAGGGGGGCCTGGAAAAAACACAATCCCCTCTTGGCATCGACAAGAAAAATTCAAGTCAGGGGCTACTCAGCCATGAGTGCACCCTCATTTTTGGGTGATGGGGCGCTTCCTCAGAAGAAGCAAGGGCGCTCCTTTTTGTTGGTTGATTGTACCGGGAAACCACACCCTCCAAAAACAAAAGCAGGGCGCCTCTCGGCACCTAGGCTTCTGTGGGGATCCCGTTTGGGGGATCCCCCCGCCTCCGGCAAACCATGCAGCAGTCGCAGCCCTGCCAACCAGCGCCTCGCCTGAGCGCAGGCCTCGTTGCGCAGAAGGGAAAATCCGAAGGCCCAGTCTGCCCAGGTGGTGCGGCTGCAAGAAGTTGTAACTCCAACTAACACGGCTCCTGTGGGGAGGTACCTGGGACCTCTGTTAGTTGCCATGTTAGTTGGAGGGAGGGTACATTTCAAGGGGTCATTCCAATTACTTTTATTGTGGGGGGTCCCAAAGCCACATTCACAAGGGTCAGTTAGGTTGTTTTCAAATCGACCCCCCCCCGCCAAAAGAAAAGGGTTGCCCTCAGGTCCCGCAAGACACTGCTGGGTCCTGGTCGGCCTCAAAACATGTGTGGCAATGCAGCTTTTTTGGGGCTATCTAGGTACGACTCCGGAAGCCCCCCAAAGAAAACGCCCAAAGCAAAGAGAGGAATAACTCTCAAAATCCTTGCACTGAATTAGATGTGCCAAGGTGAGTGTCATCACCTCCCCATGTTTCCGCTCGTGCAATCTGTGGTTTAGCTGCGTGGCGTTGGAAGAGGATGGCTGAATGGTGAAAGGGGATGGGCAACCACACATCGCATATGTCCGGTTGCTCGCTCGCCCGGGCAGAATCAAAAGCCGCGAAGATTGACTTGCCTAGGGGCGAGTAGGTCGCCGTCCACTTTATTGTCCATGTCCCGTATGGGTTCAATTTGTGTCAAGGAGTGTGCTGCACGCGTGTTCTTTTTTCCCGTCCCAAATGGTGGAAGATAACACTCCCAGCACCGGTGGGAAAGTATGAATTTCCTCAAGAGCCCCTCTGTCAGGTACTATGGCACCGTGGGAGGGACAGCTGTTCTGCCCATCTTAGAAGGTTTCCTGACTTCCAAAACACTTGAAGAGCAGGTTCCTTAAACACACACACACACACCTCTGTGGTACAAATCCCTTTCTTTGGATAAGTATTGGGGATGACTTCCATTTACTGTAATTCCCATAGCTCTGCTGCCATCTGGACAATTAGCCGAAGGGCCCCAAACATGTTCCTTCGACTTTAAGCCAACCTTACTGTGGATGGGGAAATCCTGCACCACCTAAGAAACCCTGGAATGAGTCGATTCCCCTGTAAATACCAACAAGCAATAGCTTCAACCATGGTTTCAAAGTAGTGCGGTTTATGGATGTCGCAACCATCCACAGTATGGACGTCAAACAAAAGCTCGGCGAATCCTCTCCGCGGCGCATTGAGCACGGAATTCGTGGTGACCAGGCTGTTCGGGAGCAACTGCCAGGCGATCCGCCACTGCCTCACTTCAGCTGAAATTGGTGGGCTGGATCGGTGGTTTAGGGTTTAGGATATGGCTGGCCTGTGGTGTTGCATGGGCTGTTGGGTTATGCTGGGCTGCTGGGTTAACAGCAAACCCTTCAAGCTGGGAGGCTTCAACGTATGCTGAGCACCCATTGGCCATCGGACAAATGCCTTTTTCGGGTGAACGGAACGTGGCTGAAGCAACCCTACGCACCCACCGAACCAAAACTCCCTTTTCATTGGAGTTAAAGGTGATGTGGGTTTGTCTCTGAATGGTGCCTAAAAGGGGAAAGCCCAAATTTGGCTGCTCCCGTGGCTTCCCATGTTGAAACCTCCCATTTGCCCTCCACAAAAGCCAGGGGGTTCAACTCCAAATCCAAACCACCAATCCAAATCACCAGGGAAGGGTTTCCCAAATTAGAGATCAAGACAACTTACCCTGCCCCAGGCTAACATAGAAGCTTCCAGGACCCCTTTGGAAGACTTGGTTCCATTTACAGAGGCCTTCTGGGAGCTTCCATGTTAGTCTGAGGGAGTGTACCCTCCGAGGAACGAGGCCTAAACCATTTCCCTCTACACTCTTTCAGGGACCCATCTCACCCGTGGGCCTGTGGGGATTGTCTCAAGTCTCATGGCAGAACCCTCAAAATGAGCTTGGGTTGCCCTTTACTTCGGCACCCTGGAATAAACAAGCACGCAAAAGAACGACAAACAAGCACAGCAAAAAAATCACAAACCAACAAACCACAATAGACAAACAAACAACTAGAAAAAACAAACACACAAACAAACAAACAAACAAACAAACAAACAAACAAACAAACAAACAAACAAACAAACACACACCAAGCCAGCCAAATCAAAACCAACAACCAAACCCAAACAAACAGAACAACAAACAAACAAACCAAGAAACAAACACACAAACACCACCACCAAGCCAGCCCAAGGCCATCTCCTTGCCCAAGCAGCCCCACTCGCCCGCAAGCATCTGCCGCAGCTCCGCACAGGACCTTCCAAGCGCGTGAAACGGCAGGGTGGCTTCAGTTGTTTGCTTTGGGTCTGTTTCTCTATTTGGTTGGTTTGTTGATTTAACCTCAGTTTGGTTGGTTGGTTGCTGTTGGTTGGTTTATCCTTGAAGCTGTTTCTCTCTTCGGTTGGTTTGACCTCAGCTTGGTTTGGAAGTTGGTTTGTTGGTTTGTTGGTTTGTTGATTTGTTGGTTGCTGGTGTGAAAGATGCAGGGGCCCTGAGAAGTGGAATCACCCCGAGAAAAACCATCCGACTGATGGCTTCCTTCAAGGGAATCTCTGAGTTCATTCCCACATTTTCTGAGCAGCAAGTGGCAAAAATACCAACTCTGAACTGGCTCTCTGCGAACTCGCGAAAATACCTCCCAGGACAGGCCCATCCACGTAGACTGGAATGGCAATGGCCTTCTAGATTTCTTCCGTCAACATCAGCCCAAAAGGTTTCTCAGTTCACTGAAAGGGGGAATTGGAATCAGCAAGGTCGTGTCAGCTTGCTACAACCCTGGTTGAAGCACCCGTTGGCACAGCCTCCTTTTGGTGCCATAAGGGAAGAAACGGGCCTGGTTGCTTCCGTCAATTTTGCAAGCAACCCACCAAAATACCCAGCCCACAAAACAAAATGAATTTGGAGCAATTGCTTTGGGGGGGGTCCCGTTTACAGTAATCAATAGTAATCATTCCACTGCAACACTTGGTTTCCCTTGGGGGGGTCTCGCAGCCACCATCACTCAAATCCGAGAGAGCATCGGCCTGATCTCGCTGAAGTCCGGTCTCCGCGACATTTGCCAGGATCAGGCAAGACATCTGCCACCTGCCGCACGATGCTTTGGTCGGCAATCCAGCGTCGGAGCCGACCGTAGTCGAAAAACGGAAAACGTTGGACGAAGGTTGGTCCTAAAATCGCTAAAAGATACAGTGAGAACTGGTTACCGACAAAATGAGCCAGGTTTGCCGTCTTTTAGGCTAGTCAAAATAACCTGCTGACCAACAGAATGCGTAGGTCCTTCAGTCCCTTTCCTGTGGGCACACGGAGAACAGGGACCTGACAGCAGGCCTGCCGTCTCCATTGAACGCGTCACATGGAGTCACCAGCAACGGGAAACATGCAAACAATAAGGCCACGGCTACATGTGTCTCGGAACTCGGAAACCGCGCCAAACGGCGCCAAAGGAGCGGGTTGCCCAGGCTTCAGACAACTCCAAACACTTGAAGCTGATTGTTAAAGGAGTTCTCCAGGAGTTTCTGAACCAACTAACCAACCATGCAACCAAGCAACCAAGCAACCAAGCTAGCCAAGCAAGCCGACCAACGCCATCCTACCCTGGCCTCTCGGCCTTGCCGAAGCAGCGCAGCGCCGCGCTCTGCGTCACCAGGTCCGCGCGGACCCCACGCCGCGCCTGCTGCAGGATCCAGGCCGCAAGCTCCGGCCCTGACATTGCGACGGCGAGCCATGGGCCAAGAGATGGTTCACCAAAAGGACACGGAGAAAATTGTGCATTTTTCTCTTCTTTCTGGTTTGGTTATGTTTGTATTTCCTTTTTGCGGGGGGGGGGGGGGGGGGGGGGGGGGAGCGGGGGAGGAAGGGGAAAATTCGCAGCTCCTCCTCCCCATGTCCCTGCCAAATGGACCATAGACGGGTGCCACAGGATGAATGTACACCCCACCAACATGGGTTCATGTTGGCGGGAGGGTAAGTCATAACAAACCACCCCCCTGTCCCATGTATGAAACCCTGGTAAACCATCAATTGCTGCTAAATTGAGAGTGGCCATTCGTAGATGAAATGTGTGCGTTCCATCCCTAAGAGGGTCTCACGTGGCCGGCTGGCCCCCAATTGGCCAAGGCACCAGGTAGGGAGTCCAGGACAGCAGCAAAGGATACCTGGTCCTCAGTCGAGCGCGTAAGGTCGATGCGCATGGCTCACCAAAAAGGTCGATGCGCATGGCTCACCAAAAAGGATTGAAGGATTGAATATCTCCCCGGCCAGCTTTTTGGCACCGGAATATCGTCCTACATCATGTCGTCTTAATTACTCCCCGAATGGGTGCGTTTGCCGTTTTGTTTTTGCAAAGAACCTATATCGAAATGTCCCATGCAACTTACATCATGTCGTCTTACCCCCCGGATGCGTGAGTTTGCCGTTTCGGAAAAAAAAAACAGGGGCGAGAAAAAACAACAACGAAACAACAAGGGGGAGAAAGAAAAGAAGAAAATAAACGAATGAGTGAGCTCGCCGTTTTGTATATGCACAAAAAACAGGGGCAAGAAAGAAAAAACAACTGCGAGGCGCCGGGAGGACCTCCCCTGGCATCTCACAAAGAAGCCTCAGGGCCAGCTCCCAGTGCTGCGCCCTGGCGCAGGCGGTCAGCAGGCAGTTGTAGCTCACCACATCCGGCGCCGGGCTCCTCGGATTCGTCTGGGCCCTCAGATCCGATCCCGTTTAACTTGTGGGTCAAATGGAAACTGCCACTAAACACTAAAAGGCCAAAAAAGAACCCAAGGCCACGCTTTGAAAGGGAACCGGGCGTCCACTGACTCAGGAATCCCTCTTGGTGGATTAGCGTTTTAGTTCCCATCTACCATCTAGAATAGAACCAGGGGTTCGAATCTCGAAACAACCACCTGTTAACGGATACGGGACTGACTAGTTGGATTAAAAGCTCACCGCTTCGGAAGCAAGAACCAATCCGCACTCTCTCACGCACACGACACATGTATCGAAATGACAGGGTCACAGCGTTGCAACCAAACATCGGTCTCACCTGCCCAAGGTTGACCCGGAAAACAAATGTGGTTGCCAAAAAGGAAGATGCAACGCTCACGTTCCAAAAAGGAAGATGGCATGACCGCAGATCAGTTTGGAGCAAATTGCTCCAAACTGACCGTCCTCAATTCGAGGAAGGGCAGGGCCTGCTGCCACTGCCCGACGCTCGCCAGGCTGCCCAAGACGGCGTTCAGCGTGCGCACGGTGCGTTTGATTCGCAGCCGCCAGAACAGCACCACGGCCTGGCGCGACCCCGTCGCTTTCCACACGGCGGGTTCTCAGTCAAACAATGGGGCTGTTAGGAAGTCCCGTTCAGCGGGTGGTCAAGAGAGGGGCCAAAGCTCCCTAAGGAACCTAAAGAAATTTCAAGGAATCTTAAGGAACCCTACAGGCCGGCCTGAGGCACCTACCCCCCGGATGGGATTCCATAAGGATGTTCTCTTGGGAAAAAGTCAGGGAGTTAGAAGCACCATCCAACTGGCGGTTTCCCAATTCCGCAGGTTGCCCCTGAGCCCCTGACCAAAGTTGCACATCTTTTCGGGGCAGGGGAAGGCACCAAAGCCTGATGGATCCAATCATGTTTTGTTTTGATCTGTGGGGCCAGACACCCATATTGACTCACTGCTCATGCCCTCTTTTGGCCTGTTCCCAGCGGATGGCAGCCAAAGCCTCAGCCAAAGTGCAACTCACCTTTTGGACGCCTTGCCTTGAAATGAAGAAACCCGCAAACCGCTTTAGAGCTTGACATGCGCAACAATGCATGCGTGGAATAGCACTTCCCAACCTTGCCACCATTGCCCCCTTGCTTAAAGAATGGTTCGGACATTCATGAGACTGGGAGTGTTTTTGCGTCGCCGGAGCGTCTCCTGCACCTTCCTGCAACCTGGCTTCCTCAAAAGACTAGGCGCTGGACACGTTTGTGCACCAAATTCGGCGATTGGAAGTGAAACTAGTTTCTGCAACTGGATGCTGAGGCGCCGTATTCACGGCCACAATGTTGCCAGTGTCCAGCACTTGTAGGGCCTTCGCCGATTTGGGACCACTGGCCCTTGACATGCAACCTGCCCCTGAGCTGGGTTGTTCAAACGCGGTTGGCCCCAATCCGTGAGACACCACTACAAGAGAAATGACAACCAGCTGGCGCCAGGACTCAAAGGGTTGCTTTCAAGGGTTAATAAGAACAACACAGCTTACAAGAAAGAGCTTTGACCCTTGACTACAAGAAAAGGCACCCCGCTACCTCAACAAAGCACTAGCACAACCGGCCGAGCAAATTGCCCAAGCTGTTCCTTGGGGATCAGCTCACGGGCTTCATGCGATGCGTTCTTGGATCAGTAGTCAAGGTTTGGAGATGGCTGAACCGGCAACCCGAATCGGATCCCGAATGAACATGGTGACGCAGTGATGCCCATCCATTCTCACAATCAAAAGGGACACTGGGCAAGAATCAAGGGACAGCCCTCCCCAAAGAAAAAAAGCAGCGACACCCTCCTTTTCTGGCTGGTGCTCAGTAGGGAATGACCTTCCGGGTGTTGGGAATAAACCGGAAGGGGATTCCCTTAAAGGAAGCGCTTGTCAGGAGACATTCCAGAAGCTCATTCCCCGCCTATCGCAGCAGCCAGTTTCTCACTTGCCCACAAGACCTGCGAAAAAAAAAAAAAAAAAAAAAAAAAAAAAAAAAAAGGCTCACCTCTTGGGACCTCTACCCCCCAAAAAAGAAGAAGAAAAGAAGCCAAAAACGGAAAACCAAAAGGTCAAGAGGCTCAGTCAGCTTTGAACCGGCAACACCCCATTGCAAGTTACCCCCCCCCCAAACGCCGAGGCGGCCTGTGGCCAGCTGCCGCGGAGCGCATTGACCGACACACCCTGCGTGACCTCGCTGGCGCTGAGGCGCCGGAGCCTAAGACGAGGCCAAAGGGCAAGACCCTTGTTCTCATCCCATGTTCCCTTGTTTCCCCAACACCTGTTCCTTTTCTCTGGGTGTTTGATGGTTTCTTGCAAAGTGATTTGTTTTTGCATGTTCAACCCTTGGTTCTTTTCAAAACGAGCTGTTCCTTTTTTCTGGCTGGAAAGAATGGGGAAGTTTCCCCCTAGAACCATAGTTTAGCCGGAAGTTTGCCCGAACATGTTGATCAAAACTCCCATTTCCCTAAGTTACCCGAACATTTACATTGGATTTGGGGTTTTGAGCATCGTTGGACACCCATTTCCGCAAGTTAGCCGAAATTCTACCATGGAATTTGGTAGTTCTGAGTACGGTTGGTCCACTTGCGCGACACTTGCTTAATATTTACAGCATCCGCCGCCAAAAAAGCTGCAAGGGGAACTGGCTGGGGGTCTCTGCAATTTACTGCGTGTGTCCAGCGTTTCATGTTGGATGTGATTGGTTGATCCGCAAAATTGCAGGCATCCGCCGGATCTGCCTTTAAAACAGAGGAGGAGATCCCACTTTGGCATGTGACTTTCTTTTCCAAAAAGGCAAACGAATTTGTCACGTCACGTCAGAAAGTTGGCTGGCTCTGTCTTTGCGGAGTACCCTGTCTTTTGGCGGGGAAGCCTGGAGGCAAACAGTTCCGCCATTTTGTGGGTTTGCCCAGAACGTATCTACATCGTCCATGACGCCACCTCTGCCATAGCGCTGCGCCCGAAGGCCAGTCTCACGGCTCCCAAACGCCTTTGATGTTCTCTCTCTTTGCCATCAGACTCCGTCCCAATTTGTGCAGGGAGGGCCGCCAAGTCTCACCAGAGCCCCCCTCCCTCTTGGAGGTGAAGTGTTTTTCCGCGACACGCCGCCCAGCTTCCACGTTGGTAAAAGGGAGGGAGATATCTTGGGTCGAGCTCTTTCCATGTTCAGCCCGCCAAGGGTGTGCCCCTTCAGATTGATCCTGAAAGCCCCGATGGTTCATTTTCCCTCTGACGCCCCCCATAACCCTTTATGTGACACCAAAGTGGGCCATCCCCATGACTTCCCCTCCTTTCTCAGGGTTCCCTCGGCAGCAGCAAGTGGATCCACGACCACATCAAACACTCGCACGCTTAGGCCAAATCCACAATCTCCTTGCTTGGGCAGCGTTGCGACGACCCCATCCCACAGAAACTCCAAGGCTTCTCAAAGGTAAGCCCCAAATAATGGGCACCCCGGATTAATAAACCCCTGGTTGATTAATAGGGGGTGCCCCTGTTTTAGTGGAGAGCCATCACTATTGGAGGTGAGCACCCCCCCTATTAATAAACCGGTATATCAATCCGGGGTCAACATTACCTCCCCCCCCCCCAAATACCCCGCTGGCTGCGGCTTAAGGCGCGGCATCCACTGCAGCAGCAGCAGCGCCTGCCGCCACGCCGCGCCTTGGGCGCAGGCGTCCAGCGCGCAGTTCGCGCTGGCCGTGTTGGCCTCCGAGCCTCCTGCGAGGAACGCCGGGTGGAACATGGGACGGGCTCGAACAACAAACTGGGGCGAGTCTTTTTGACCCCAGATCAAGCAACAGTTTAATTAATAATGGTGGTTTTGTGCTTCGCGGAATTGTTTTCCAGTTTTTCGGGGTATTTTTCCAGTTTCTTTTTCTAGACTTGCACTGCAGATCTTCTCCGCCTTCTTCTGGATCACCCCAGGTCACAACAGCCCCAGATTCAAGAATGGCAGCAAAAGCACCGCCGCTTGATTGGATGTGCTTGACGCTTTTCAGCTGCTCCTGCACCTGGCTGCTGTCTCTGCCCCAGTCTGCCCAACCCCAGGTCACAACAGCCCCAGATTCAAGAATGGCAGCAAAAGCACCGCCGCTTGATTGGATGTGCTTGACGCTTTTCAGCTGCTCCTGCACCTGGCTGCTGTCTCTGCCCCAGTCTGCCCAACCCCAGGTCACAACAGCCCCAGATTCAAGAATGGCAGCAAAAGCACCGCCGCTTGATTGGATGTGCTTGACGCTTTTCAGCTGCTCCTGCACCTGGCTGCTGTCTCTGCCCCAGTCTGCCCAACCCCAGGTCACAACAGCCCCAGATGCAAGAATGACAGCAAAAGCACGCTCAGCTGTGTGAATGTGCTGGACATTTAAAGCGCAATTCTTCGCGTATGTAACACCATTTGTGTTCGAAGAAATAAGGACAGGCCACGCGTATGAAGCATGGCTTTCGTGACCATGCGTGAAGAAACAGTGTGACGTCAGCTCTGGTCATGTCCACCTACTCTACTCTCCGCACATTCCTACCAAGCGCAGCCCTCGCAACGCCAAGCGACACAAAAAAACATGTTTGCTTGCATGCTTGCTTGCTTGCATGCTTGCTTGCATGCTTGCTTGCTTTGCTTGCTTGCTTGCCTGTTTGCTTGCTTGCTTGCTTGCTGGCTGGCTTGCTTCTGCGTTTGCTTGCTTGCTTGCTTGCTTGCGTGCTTGGTTGCCAACTTGCTCCAAATGCTTGCTTGCTGGCTTGCTGGCTTGCTTCCTTGCTGGTCTAACTAGAAACAATACGCCGAAAAACCGGAAAACAATTCCTCAGGAAATAGGGGAACCATTAATAATTAGGCCATTTTCTGGGTTACATGAGGAATGGGGGCCACCCCCCTAATAAACCGAATAAACTGGGGTTGATTCATATGGGGTCAACATTACCCCTCAAAGCATGGATGAGGCCCCGTCTCATGTCCAACAGAAGAGCCATGGCTTTGCTGACCTCCCGCGGCAAAGCAGCTGACCTCCCGCGGCAAAGTGGCTTGAATAAGCCTCCGAGAAAGAAAGGTCCTCAGAACCTTCCAAGAACCCCTCTAAAAAGGTACCAAGACACCTCCCTGGACCCAACAGTTGGCCTTTGGTGTCCTTTTCTGGCTTTCTCAGAAAATGTCGGAACCCCTTTTTGTTTGTGCCATCTACCCTCCCACCAATTAACACATGGAAGCTGACAGAAAAATGTGGTCCAACCAGGACCCCCAGAACGCCAGGTCCCATGTGAATTGGGTGGGAGAGTACACTCCCTCCCGCTGACATGGCACCTGCCAGGAGGTTCCTTAAGGCTTCCAGGTGCCTCCCCACAGGTGCCATGTGAGTGGGAGGAAGGGTACTTTCACCCTGCCCTTGCGCGCCACCCCACCCCCTCCTGCCAAGACCAGTGTCGCCTGCCAACGGCCCTGCCGCGCCAATCCCTTGGCCGCCGCATTTCCCAGCGCGCTGTCCACGCCTTCCGGAACGTTTTTTTTCTTCCCATCAGACCCACCAACCGGGGATTGGCCTTTTGGTGGACGCCAACTCAATATTGCAAGTAGACCATTCCTCAAGCACCAAACCATGGTACATTACGTTGGAGGCTGTTTTTGTTCCCTGACTTGCAATATTTGGGGCACCGTATCTGGCCTTGGCCTTAACAAGGCCCTTTTTCAGGTTTCTTGCTTGTTTGTTGCAGGGGAGTTTATCCTCCCACCCTTCTTCAACTGACATCATGAAACGCTGAATCCTCTTCAGGCTCTGGTTTCCCTCGCGCGGGTCCCTTTTCAAACTGACAATCGAAGCCCAGCATATCTGGCCTCAGATCCCCTGCTAAAGGCTTAACTTGAAGTGGCTTAAATGGAAACCTCCGCTAAGACAAAAACCTGAAAACCTAAAGGGGACAGCTGGGAACAACAAAAATACAAGAAGCAAAGCGATACACCATGAACAGAACCGCCAAGCAACAAACACATGCCAGGTGCCACTTCTTTTGCACAGATTCCGGCACGTATGCCCTTCTGCATTTGCGAAAGTACGGAAAAACAAACCGAAAATGAGGTTGTTCATCGGACCGAGGGGCGGATCTGGTGACTGCCGGCCGCCCCAAGCAGCTGCTGTGCGTGTCGCCACGCGGCGGATTTGGCGCAGGCGCCCGCGCACGCGCTGAGGAGGAAGGCGTCCAGCCGGAGCCCTGGGCAATGCGCCTTCTTGGGGGCAACCAGTGAATGGTTGCGAAATCCATTTCACACCACCTAAGAATCCATGGGAAGCCATTGCTTGTTGGTATTTACAGGGGAGTCATCATTCCAGGGTTTCTTAGGTGGTGCAGGATTTTGTCCATCCATCGTAGGTGCCTTTTTGGTAAAACAGATGGCCCTGGTACATGAATTAAAACCAATCTAAACAAGTGCCCTTAAAAGGACACATATGGGGGGGCATCTCTTTTTGTGGGTTGGTTTAAACCTCTTTTTCTTTGTTGGGGGGGGGAACCGTTTTTGCTTCAACCTCATCTGTGTTTTAGGGGGGCCTCCTTTGGAGTTGGTTTGAAGGGGGGGCCAAAAGGCACACTTACCTTTTTGGGGTTCTATGGAATCACCCGGTGGCATCCGACCGCAAGGCATGCTGTTGCCTCTAGGCTATGCGGACAATATTCCTCGCTACGGGTCGCATTTTCCTTCAAGCACGGGGGCTGAAACCAACTGGCCAAAAAATAGTGTTCACCTGACCTCAGATGCCCAGTGGATTTCCCATTGAAAAAACAGGGCATCCCTTGTTGGTTGAGTTTACAGGGGAACCCTTCCCACAAAAAAGTTGAACTGGGCAACTGGGGTTCCTCGCACCGAAAGCTCCCCGGCGCATGGCGTCCGTCCTGGCTGGCGCAGTTGCCACAGCGCCTCGAGCCAGGGTAGCTGCGCCAGGCGCTTCGTGTGCGCGCGCAGGCGGGTGCCTCATCCGGTGCCAACGGTTTTAGTAGCGCCCGGTTCGCCCATCGTTGATGTCCTGCCAAAACAGCTATTGATTGAAAATATTAGCCTCAATGAGAAACCCATCCAGCCTTGGCCAAGCTGGCCCTGTTTTTCCACAACTCCCCACACAACTCACTCAGCCAACAAAACCAATGTCGCCTCCCGCATCCATGAGCGCGTGGCATGGCCCGCAGCTTTGGCTAGGCGCCGGCGAGTTGGTCGCTTCAAGTCGCCACCCCTGTGGATTTCTTACCCTTTGGGTTCAATCTGCAAAGCGAAACGGGCTGCCATATCTGAAACATTGCATTGCAGCCGCGCAGGATCGCACACAAGTGATCGTCTTGCTGTTGGGAAGAGTGCAAGTTCCCTGCTTGCAGGCTCTGTGCAAGCAAGTCAGTGAGTAGAGGGGTACCTTATGGGCCACAAGTCGTATTTGTTGGCATCAGCTATATCTACTGGCTGAATGTCATCCTTGCTAGCTGAGCTGTTGTCACGTGAACGCCTCGTACGTGTCAGCCCAGCCCTTTCATGAGCACAGCTTCAGCCATGGCGGCAAAGGTCTGCGCCCCGCGATTCGAGTCTATGCAGGTTGGAGAAGTGCAAGCGGCTGTTTTGTTGCACTCTCTCTCTCTCTCTTTGTCTGTCTTGCAGGCATCTAGGCAAAGGTCAATTTCTACTTTTGGACTCATCAAGCATTGACTCATGGGAATTAGAACATCGTGCAGAACAGGGATGGTGATTCCGCTGTGCGGAAGCCTTCACCCAACCCGAGGTGACCATCCTCAGCCAGGCACGCAGCGGACCAAAGGCTTCCGCATGAAGATCTGAGCGGGTCACGGCGCTTCGCCCTCCGGCATCGTAGCGACTTTGGGGTGCGATGTGGGTTGTTGGAGCCTCATACCTGGGCTAGAAGCTCCGCCAACCTCGGAAGTTGCAAAGTCATCTGCTTTGTGAGCCTCGAGCAAGGGGCGTTGCAAGAGTTGGGCAGGTTCACCCTGGCCTGTGCAGGTACTGAGGCGCCAAGCGAAAGCCGAACTCAGATGGATGGAACATTGGCTGTAACTTCCTGGTTGCGCAACTTGAACCTAGTCTGTTTGGTTGCTTCTTGATTTGGGGAGGAAAGCTGCTTCTATGGTGAGCGAGTCGGTCTTCGGAACACGCATGAGTGGGCAACTTGGCCTCTTGGGAGGGTGCTGGCTGATGGGTGGCCATCTGGGCGTCTGATTTAAAATACCCTTCTTCAGGGCGGTTTGAATCAAAGCCTGACCATGTTTCAACGATGGCATCCTGAGCTCAACCAATGGTGGCTCGCTCCCTATATTGATTCGGGCATAGCTACGCCAATCAGAACCAAAGGGAGTTCAAAAAATCGCAAGGATATGCACAAATCCCTCAAAATGCCAGGACATGCCTGTCGTGAGTCGTGGTGGGCCGTGGGCCTGCGTAACTTTGGCGCTTTGCCAATTACAGGGTCCCGGCGGGAAAACGCCCAACCCCCGGCGAAACCGGAACGCGCCTCGGGCAACGGCTCGCAATTCAACTCCTGTTCGGCCTGTCCGTCCCAGTTGCATGGAAGATCCCCCTGGAAAGCCGTATGGCCCTTTTCTGTGACCCAAGCCGTACGGACCAAACAAAAACGCGTCACATATGGGTCTTCGGGCCGAAGACCGAAAAATGATTATAGGTATAATGATCAAAAGCCCCGGAAACCCTTCAAACCCTCCTTTTGTCCCCTCCCTAGCTACTGCGAACCCTGGAGATGGCCTATGAACCCCATAGCAAAATCAGGGGGAAAGGACGCAGGGATGGTTAAGGGCCCACCCCTGGGCTCATGGAATGGTCCCGAACCTTAGGCAACTTCCAACTTGTGCTTTTTGTGCTTCACTCATCCGCCAGCTTATGAGTGGGGAGTTCCAATTCCTGTGTCTCTGCCAACCGTCGGTTCTATGTTGGAGTTTGTCTGTGTTGGTTGGATCATTGGAGAGTCCCGCAATCAGCGAAAGTTGGGCTTCTGGATCCTTTGGAGCACTTTGTCGTGACCGCCTGGCACCATTGAATGCATCAAAACCAGGATAGACCTCACAACTTCGCAGAATCCAATCTGGTGAGAGCCGGTTTGCACTGGGTCAAGGCAGCGCCTTGCCAACGCCAACAAAGCCACCCACAATGTCACAACGACAAACAACAAAGTGAGCCTTTTCTCTCCGAATACTCTTTCTGGCGTTTCTTGAAAGGGAGCTTCCAGTTTGAAACACACCCAACGGCTGCCTCTGACCATCCTCCGTCTTTCGTCCACGAGCGGGCGAAGCTTTTCGCGCTCGGCCAAAGCTTCGACCCGCGCCGGCTGCATCTTGACCTTCGGCCGGAACTGTTCAACGGGTTGGGTGACCCTAAATGGGTTCCAACAACCGGGCTCACGGATGCTACAAGCATGATTGGCGCAAGCTGGAACCCGTTTGTTGGAACCGTTTTGCGTCTGATTTAGCTCAATGCTGATTCATGTTCACTCGATTGCAATGACATGGGTCGGCTGAATGTGAGCCGACACAAACCATAGAAACTCATTTCGAGGAACACCACTATTGTCCAACATGTGTGTACCCAAAACGGGGCATCACGCAATTCTTGTGAGGGGCTGCCTCTAATTTCAGCAATGAACTTGCTTCTTGCCTGGGGTCACAAGCAAACTAAGTATGTGCGACGAAGCGAAGTGACCCTTTTACCATCAAACTGCCACAGCGCACGCACAATGGCTGCAAACAACGGGCCCACATCGCTCCCTATGCGCACTATGCGCGACACATTGCAGCCGTAGCAACGGTGTCTCTTTTTCTAAAGTTTCATTGTTACACATACTACGGTTTCATAGATACACATACATATGTATGTATATTATATTACATATCTATATATATATATATGTTTGTGTAGATGTATATCTGTGTGTGCGTGTGTACAAGATGAAACCCCGCGCCAAGTGGCCACTGCGCTCCGCCCGCGGTCGTCCGATGCCTTTGCCGGGCTTCCGCTTCTCCAGCGCGGCCACCAGCAGCCGCAGATGCGCGCGCAGGGCGGCGGCCGGCGCGGCGCCCATGTCCCGGGGCACCCCCACGTTCCTTGGGGACTGGACGGCCGCCCGGAGTTGTGTGAGCGAACTGTCTGACTTGAGTAGATTGGGCAACAACAAGGTCCAACTTGGTGTTTGCCACTAAAACCCTAGTGCCTACCATGCCTTACAGAACTCCTGGTAGCTGGCTCCCTCTTTAGAGGCAAATTTGGATCAGCTCCGGAAGGGCTCCCTTCCCAATTGGCTGCAAACGGTGGAGTTGTTTGATTGGCAAACAAGTTAAAAACCGATTGTTTACGCCAAAAGCTTCACTCTTTGCTAGTTGACAACATGTCTTCACTTTTTGCTGGCCGAAACAGGAAAAACTTGGCAACTGAAGGAAGAACCGGCAAAAGGTTCCAGTCACGGCAGTGGCTCTGCGCCAAGAACCTCAGCGGCACCGCCATGGCCTCGGAGTCCTCAAGATGTATCTTGGAGGCCAGGGCATCCCCCCCACATCTCACTAAGGCCAGGGGCGACTTCTGGCAACAGTACCTCGCCTCCCTGAGCTGAGGGTCCAAGAGAAAATCCAAACTGCGTTGTGCTCAAGCGACGAAAGTCCAGGGAGCCAGGAAGTGTAGCAGCTCGAAGGGTGTGACTCGGAATCTTGGAGCGCCGATGAAGGCTGCTGTGGCAAGGGTGCTACAGGGCACTGCTGCATGCGAACCAGTGTCATTGAGAGTTGCGCAATGTTCCGCAGTAGGATGGAAATTTGTTGGGCAGCCTGCTGTTGGGGGGGGGGTGCGGGTTGGCGCTGCATGAGACATGCGCATTCAAGGTTGCAAGCGCTATGTCGAGGCACTTTCTGTTGACAAGCACTTAGACCTATGTCACTCTCCGCCCTGCGCCTGTCCTCGCTGGACAGGGCCTCAACGGCACGACGGGCGCTGACCTCCAGGTCGACGGCATCCATCGGCCGCAGCAGCGCTGCCACCACCCACCGCAGCGCTGCGTCCGCGGTAGCGACTGCGCCCCTGGCGGGCGCGGCAGCCGCCGCGCGGCCACAGCCGCGGCCGCAGCAGGCAAAGGACACCACCTCGCCAAAAGCCGCCCTTTGTTGGCACCCCCCAGCTGAACATGAACAACACGTTGAGAAAAAAGAAGAAGCACCACGCAATGCCACGCAACATGAACAAACCCAAAACACAAACATGCCAAGAGCTGTGAAGCCACAGCCTTGGCGTTGGCGCAAATGCGGGCGGCCGCTTCCCGCGTGGCTTCGGGCGGGTGTTGGGCTGCGTGGGCCGCCTCCATCAACGAGGCTTCGGGCTGAAGGATGGTGCCCTCCAGTGACAAGGCGGAAGTTCGGCCTGCAACACGCTGGACATGGAACATCGGGCGAATCCGGGAATTATTGAAGAAACACATCGAGTTCCTTTGTTTCTGGAAAATTGAGTGATGCCTGGTCGGCAAATTTAGTAAGTCAGTACAGTCAGTGTTCTGCGTTTTGCTGGAATGCTAATTAAGTGAGCTCCCCCATCTCGTCCCTCCCCCAAGCGGACCATAGCCTACCTGACATTTTGACCTCACCTCACCTGGATCCTCCCGCAAGGAGATGGCCAAAAGCGTCTCGGCATCACTGCAGAGGTGTCCAAAGGAGCACACCCCCGGGCGCCGCCCCTCAGCCAGCATTGCCCAGACACGGGGCCAGTTTCGGAGCTCAAGGCCGGAGACCTGGAGGAAAGGATGCAGCAGCAAAGCCTCCACACGCTCCAGCATCGGCAAAAGCATGAGGTCCATCATGTTGGGCTTCGATCCGTTCAAGAAGCACGACTTCGCGGCAGCGGCGTCGGCGTCGCTGCGCTTGGCACTCGCAGCTAGCGCTGCTTCGAGATCGTCCAGCGCGGACATCAGTTGCTCCTGGCACTGAGTCAGTTCCTTGAACACATCACTAGGATTCACTAACTGGCAAGGAATCCCTGCAGGGACATTCATCATGGTGCCTGTTTTACCCCCGAAGTTCCAGCTCCACCTGCCGCCCATGTCCTTGTCAAAAAGCAAATAGGGGGTTCCCAAGGTCGCCTGTTTCCCTGCGGCATCTCTTTCACATGCGCCCCATTGTTCGATTCACAAAAAACACCCACAGGTCGAGGCTCGCAAAACCGTTTTCGACCCCCCAAACCGTCCAAACCCCACCCTGCCCGGCCTGGTGCTCCGGGCGGTTCCCAGCCACTCCCCAGGTGGGCCGCCCTTTGAGGCGCTTGTAGGCGCTGTGCGCCACCTGCAGTGCCTTGAAGAGCTGCCAGTGGCCCTCAGAAACCACAAGCTGCCCCTTGCAATTCGTAAACTCACTGAGTGGACGGCTCCAAAAAAACTAAAACTCACAACCTTTTAAAAGGAAACCAAGAGGTGGCTCCCATTAACAAAAAAACTAGAGGACGATTGGCCCGAATGCATTTTTCCCCAGGTGCTCATCCAGCTGCGGAGACACCTTTTTACATCGCTGCGGCGAGCGTGTCTGCACGTGGCGATGCTCAATGTGTATGGTCACATGAGAGCTCCATCTCGTCGTCCTACGAGAGGAAACATGGCAGTGCTCGATCCCACATATTTACATCCGTTAAAACAAGAAGAGTAAAGCTCGTAAAGCTCGAGACGAATTACAAGCAAAAGGACAAGCAATCAATAGCAAAGCTTACACGACGGCCACAGTTTCTGCAAAGCAACTTAGCTCTGTGCAAGATGGCTCTGCGCAGCTTGGCTCTGTGAAAGTTGGCTCTACGCAAGCTACTTTTCGCGAGTGGCTCTGCGCAACTGGCTCTGTGCAAGTTGGCTCTGCACGAGTCTGCTCGGCGCAATGTGCTTTGCACGAGCTGCTCCGCGCGATTTCTCACGAAAGTGGTCTGCGCAAGCTGCATTGTTCCAGGCTGCTGCGCGCAAGTTGCTCTCTGCAAGCTGCTGCACGCAAGTGCTCTGTGCAAGCTGCTCTGCGCAAGTGCTCTGCGCCAGTTGCTCCGTGCAAGCGCTTTGCGCATGTGCTCTGTGCAAGTTGGTCTGTGCAAGTTGCTCTGCGCAAGTGCTTTGTGCAAGTGCTCTGTGCAAGTTGCTCTGCGCAAGTTGCTCTGCGCAAGTGACTCTGCGCAAGTTGCTCTGCGCAAGTGCTGCCGGAGCTGTGGGAATGTACTTCGCGTACTATTTTTGTACTTAACAGTTGCGATTTTCCAGCCGGAGCTGCGGGAGTGTGCTCCGCGTACTACGTTTGTACATAAAAGTTGCGATTTTCCAGCCGGAGCTGCGGGAGTGTGCTCCGCGTACTACGTGTGTATTGAAAGTTGCGATTTTCCAGCCGGAGCTGCAGGAGCACGCTCCGCGTACTACGTTTGTACTTAAAAGCTGCGATTTTCAAGCCGGAGCTGCTGCGGACCAGGGGGGAATCGAACCCGCGACCGCGGGATTGCGAAAGCAGGCGCGCAAACCACGAGACAACTTCCAAAGGCCATTTCGCGAGCAACAAAATCGCGGCGCCACAGCGAGAGTGCTTCGACACGCACGATCTCCGCAGAGGGTTCATCCGGGAATGTCAAAAACGCAAAAAAAAACCTCGAGTTTTTGCACCTTAACCACGCCGATCCCCGCAGAGGGTCGCGCGGGCATATCAAAAAACGTAAAAAAACCTCGAGTTTTTGCACCTCGACCACGCCGATCTCCGCAGAGGGTCGCATTCCCGATCGTCGGCAACATCCCCGCCCCCCCGCCAAGAAAGAGATTCTTAATACCGAGCTCTTTCTCTTTCTTTCCCGCGCGTTAAGTACTTAACCTAACTTACTTAACCTAGCTTACACAGCTGCTAACGCCGAGCCTCTACACCTAGCTTAGCTTAGCTCTATGCACCTAGCTCTATGCACTTGGCTCTCTGCACCTGGCTCGATGCACTTCGCTCTTTGCACTTGGCTCTGTGCACTTAGCTCTGTGCACTTGGCTCTATGCGCTTGGCTCTTTGCACTTGGCTCTGCGCAAGTAACTCTATGCTGGTGACTCCATGCTGGTGACTCTGCGCAAGTATCTCCATGCTGGTGACTCTGGTATCTCCATGCTGGTATCTCCATGCTGGTGACTCTGTGCAAGTATCTCCATGCTGGTAACTCTGTGCAAGCTACTCTGTGCTAGTAACTCTGCGCGAGTATCTCCACGCTGGTATCTCCATGCTGGTGACTCTGTGCAAGCTACTCTGCGCAAGTTGACCAAGAGCTCCGCACGGAAGAACCCTTCGCAATGCTTTCGGGAAAGCAACGCACCTTGCCGGGGGGGCTATGGCCAAAGAAAACCCCGTTGAAAGGTCAAAAACAAGGGCTCGCGTGGGCAACGGTTCAAACAATTACACACAAGCTCTTGTGCCTTAGTAGGTTTTGAAGTATCCCGCATCCCGATCCAGGCTATTTCAACATGGACCCTCCGTAGGTGCATGTGTGTGTGTGTGTGTGTCGTTGATTCTTTGGAGGGGGGGGTGAATCAAAAGGAAACACTGGTCCCCCCTGTGTTGATAGGCCAGTGTTTTGAATATATACCCCAGCTGACCCAATTCCAATTATTTCACAATAGTGGTCTCCTAAAACTGTTGGTACCCATTTTTCCCTGCAGACGCTGACCACAAGTGGGTCCAACATCCGTTTTGAGAAAACACCGAAGTTGGGCAACTTCCACCTACTTCCCAAGAAAGAGCCCCCAGGCAATTCCTTTTCTTGACTGACTGAGCCGAGGAAGGCCTCGCTTTCTTCGGCCAAGCTGCGTTTTCCGGGCGGGGCAGGCGGTCCGGAAAGCGCTGCTGCAGCATCTGGCAGACTTGCTCTCCGCGGCCCACCTGGGGGTTCTGTGTTTTCGTTGGTGACCCGGCTTGGTCCTGAAAGCGAAAAGAGTTGGTCAGGAGGAAGAGGTTGCTTGAAGAAACATTTCGAGCATATGTTCTGTAGGGGGCTTACGCCCTAACCTTTTGCTCACCAAGGGTCTCGTGTTGCTCAATTAGATCTAAATGGGCGGAACCTCCTTTTCTCCTAACGCAACCCTTAGAGCTGACCATTACCAGTCAGGGAACAACCGTTTTGCTTCGGGCTCCCGGAATGCGTCCTCTTACACCCCAAACCAAAAAAAAACTCACGCTGAACCGCTTCAGTGAAGTTTCCAACAGATTTCAAGAAAATGCAGGGACCCTGTTGGGAAGGGAAATCTCAAAGACACGGACCGTCGCGTCCACGGATAAATCATGCCTCGGTTGCCTTGTGACCAAACAAAACCTTCGGAAGGCCGGAATTGGGCCCTCTTTCAACCGAAGCGCGCATCGGGGGGGGGGGGGGGGCGCCGATGTTTCCAAATCCCCGCAGTCTTCAGGCAAGGAGCGCCCTTCATGGCTTCTTGAAAGTGCCATTGCCCGTCTTTACTGTGCTCCTGTCGGTGCACATGTCTGGACATGGCACAAAACAACCCGGAAGCCATCCACCATCCATCTGTGACAATCGATCGCAGGATGCAAAAAAACACTCCCCATTCTCCGTGTTTTTTCTTTCAAACAATTGACATCATGGCAACTTGTTCAGCCAGCAAATCCGACAATCCAATGCCTCAATCAGCTGGATCACCGGGACTAATTTCTGCCGCTTCTTCTCGCCAGGCTTCAGGTACGCGCGCAGAGGGGTCGTGTCCATCACGTAGGGGATTTCCATTTCTTCCATCACCACCCAGGAGACCTCAGCCAAGTGCTTGTTGGGCTTTGGGTTCAAAGCTTCACGCATGGCATTTCCGAAATCAGGAACTTTGCTCTGACTGCGTTCAACCAAAAGGAAGCCAGCAGGGCCCCAACCAACCCTACCCGAGTAAATCCGGGGCACAGCGCCCCCGGAAAAAATAATAATAAAAAACGTCTGACGCGACATTGCGAAGTAGGGGTTGGCTCGAATTTGCGCACAACGCGGCCGCAGGCTCCTTTGGTTCCCTGGGCTCCTTTGGTTCCCAAGGAAATCAGCCAAAAAATGTACATATATGTATAAATATATAGCCACCCCCCATGAACGACCTTTCCTGCAGTGTATCAAAAAAGTGTGAAAACACTGCATTTGTGTATGATGTTTTTCCATAAGAACAACATTTACAGCAAAAAGGATTCCGTTACGAGGTTGCATTCCGATAGTTGTAAAAAAGTTAGCAAAAACCGTCAGTTGTTGCATTGTTTTACTAAATGTATTCAAATAACATAATGTGTTTAGCACATTTTGTAATTTAAATGGAGACAATGAAGCGCACCATCAAAAAACACCAAAAACATATGAGGACAAGTTTTGGCTTTGCCAAAAGCTGTTTTGTTTTCTCGATTCTTTTTGTTTTTTGGTTTTCCTAGAGTATTTTAGGTTGTCTGTGTAAAAACCTAAAGCACTCGATGGTTTTTGGTTTTTAGTCTTATTTGATAGAAAACCACCAAAAACCCCGAGAAAACAAAAAAACAAAAAAAACATTGAGTTTTTTAGGTTTCAGAAAGGCAAAAAACCCGGAGGAAAACCAACAACGCTTAAAACAACTCGAGAAAACCAAAACAACTTTTGGTAAAACCAAAACTTGTCTTCAGAGTTTCGGCTTTTGGTTTTTTAGTTCTCTCGAAGTCTTACTGGTTTTCTATCAAAAAAGACTAGAAACCACAAACCATCTTCATGTTTCTACACAAAAAAAACAAAAACGAGAAGACCAAAAAACACAACTTTTGGCAAAACCAAAACTTGTCCTCAGAGTTTTGGTTTTTTGGTTTGCTCGAGTTTTTTGGCTTTCTATCAACTAAGGCAAAAACAAAAATACAATGTTTTATAAGGTGATCTGACCACTATATACGTATAGAATAAGGCATATTTGTTCCATATATCCTTTTCTCGGACTTTGTCATCGCAGGACAGACAAGACTTCTGAATGCACTTCGTCATCAGAAGATTCCACTCCGTGCTAGGTCGAGGGGCAGTAACTTTTAGTTGCTTCCCATCCAACATTGGCGTCATACTCTCATTTATGACCGGGTCTACAAGCCATCCTTCAATGAACATAGATAGATCTATCAAAAAAATGGTTGCCTTTCCGGACCCCATTCTCATTCCAATGCACAGCGACCATGCTATGACTGGAAGTGGCAGACTCGTTCTCACCGACACGTGCGACCTTGCAGGAAACGTAAACTAAGAAAATACATACGCACAATACGACTGACTAACCTTCAAAGCAAAATATGTAAACTTAAGACGTGTTAGTTGCGCAAACCAGCTGCTACCACCACACAGCGAAATCCTGCGAACGCGCGGACTACGAATTATCCGGAGACTGAGGCATGACGGGGCACGAGATCTTGGCAATCGGAGAATGAAGCTTGAGGATTGCAAAGTGCTGCAATCAAACAATGCACGTCACACATGACAGTGCTGCACAAAGAAGCCAATCCAATGCTGCAATTGCACAATGCTCAAAGCAATGAATTGCTTCCATATCAAAGTGCATGTAAACGAAGAGATGATCAAACTGTGAGAAGTAGGCAGAAAGATTTGATAAGGAGGTCACCTCTTGTAAAGAAAGACCAGGGCCAAGGTTTGACGAGAAGACGGGGAAGTAACCTCATGCATGTGACATCGAAAATATTTGAAAATAAATGAAGAGAAACCGGAAATAAAATACAGAGAGTTTACGCGGAGGTGACGCGGAGGTGACGAGGAGGTGACGAGGACATAACAGAAACATGCAAAGATGATCTGAAGAGAAGATGTCTCGGAGGAGGTGACCTCCAGACGAGGAGGTGGCCTCCTGACAAGGAGGTGACCTCTTGTCGAAGAGGTGATCTTCGACGAAGATATGGTGCTTGGATATGCAGCCTACATTCTATGTAATTAGTGAACTTAGGCGACTTGCCAAGCTGCTCGCGCCAAGTCTGAATTAGCGGACTTATTAACTCAAGATAGACAACTTGTAAGCGGATTAGCAAATCACCTAAGGTCACTAACTACGTAGAATGAAGGTCACCCATCCAAGCGAGGAACAAATGATTTCTTGATGTACATTGAGGATATTGGCTTAGATGTTTTTATATGATTTGCTTGTTGGGATTACAGATGCAGATGTTGGATGGTTGGGGAGGAAGTCTCACAGATGACGAATTTGAATGCAGATGAGGGCTTCCAGTGCAGGAAAGGTAGTTCATGGCGGGGGGGGGGTGAGCCTATTTATATATATATATGTATATATATATATATATATTTTATGCAGTACGTATACACCTTTATGTGCCTCGACGGCTTTACTGCAACCATGAGTTCCTTCCCCCATTTTCGCAACATGTACCGGATACCTGCTTGAGTCCGTCCAACTCAGCTGGTTGGCCACTGCAAACACGTAACACCTGTTGATCCTGCGCACTGAACCCGCCTCTATTTGTTTCCCCTTTTCACGTGGTGGATGCCAGGAAGCGATGGATACCCTGATTACCTGGAAAATGGGTACAACCCGTCAACCCGACCGGCGCTTTTGTTGAGGCCCCCGGCCATGCAGTGGGGGCACCACCCAGCGGCGTCGTGCCAGAACTTCAGCTGCGGCCTGGTATGAAAAGGATACTGCCATAGAAAACCATCTTTGCAAGGATCTGGATCCCTAAACATCAGCTCGTAAAGGTGATTTCTCAACTGGCCCAACTGTATCCGTCAAGGGACCCTGCAAAAGGAGTCTCCCAAAAGCCACATTTACCGAGAAAAACGGGCACGAACAAAGTGCTTTCAGCACCAACTACGAGCTATGTCTGACCGCGGAGGTGGTGCACAAGCGTCCTATTCAAGAGGATGGTGGTCTTCTAAAACCCGCCGATCGTCCATTTTCATGGGTGTTGGCAAAGCACACCAAACATGGCTTGAAGCACAGTCTTATAAACAGGCTGCACTTGCACGTTTGTTGTGGGGGAGGGGGTTCTGCAACAGGCCGTTGTTGCAGCATTCGTCAACACATTCTCGAAACAGGCTGTGACACAACCAAAAACCAAATATGTTCCAGGTTTTGACACACACTCACACACCATTTTGCCTCCTGCAAATTAATATGCAAAGAGGGTTTTCTCTTCCTCGTAGCAGGCTCCTGTATACCTGATGGTTCCGCCTAACATTGAGTCGGGGCCATTTTGTTTCGTGCTTCTCGTTCTCCTGGAGCCAAACCGGCAAACCGGAATCCAGGGTGGCGGCCAAACTCTTGGTTCCAAACATGCGACACGAATCGCCGAAACGATAACCTCATGTTGACTATATTTTAAACTTAAGCAACTTTTCTTTAAACACCAGACCAGGCCAGGGCCTCTTTCTCTGAGCCTATCCACTGAGCTCCACGTCGGCGTCCGGCCCCGTCCGCCTCTCCGCGCCGAAGAGCCGCTGCCTCGCCTCGAAGACCCGCGGCGTGACGGCCCCCGCCTCGCCTCCCCAGTCGCTGAGTCGCCCAGTCGCGGCGGGGAGAGGTGGATGGTGGTGGATGGTCTCTGCTTTTCTTTTTGGATTTCTCTCCTCTACCTGCCAAAGACCTCTTTTTTGGATGCTGATTTCTCTCTCCTGCCAAAAAACCACGAAAGCGAACGAGACGCATATTGTCCTCAACTGGGAGGTAGTGGTCTTGCTCCTGTCTTTCTTGTCTCTCCTTCTCATGTGGGCCATGGTTTCCTTGCTGGAACCCCTGCAATGATTGCCTCAATGACCTCTGCCCCAAGTAAAAAAGGGTCAAATGACCATCACAGTGTGCCATAGTGAAACTCCTCGCTCTGGACTCCTGGTGCGGCACAAGGTCGTACCTGCTGGCCTGCAAAGAGAACCCCTCCCGTCAAACTTATCGAATTCTGACTCGGGAGTTCCATTCGTCGCTTTCCCCTGTCACAGCCAAAACCACATGCGCAACTTTCAGCGACACCCTTCGGCGAGTCGCGTTTCAAGTCCGCCCAGCTTGCATCGCAAATCTCTCTGCGCTGCCCAACCGCGCGTTGGCGAACATGAGCATATCCTTTGGGCAAAGCCATTGCTATCCCAAGTGGGGAACCAGGATGTCCCTGCTCAGCCATATGTTTGGCATGTTTCTTAAAATCAATGGTTGGAATGCTGAAGTTGGCTTCTTGTCAGAAAGACTTGCCATTCTCCACCTTGCCCTTGCGTCTTCAGTCCGCGAGGCCCATTTGGTTCAGGAACCTTCAGCTATCAAAGGCAATGCCTTGCCCGAACAGGCGCGCACTCGAAAATTGGTCGTGTCTGAATCTGCTTAGATGAACGGTGATGTCTGCTGGCTTGCTGCGTGACCAGGCTTGCCCAGCAATTTCTGACCGTGCGGGAGAAAGCCGAATTCGGCGCCTGATTTTCCAAGCTACGGTGCCTGGTGCCTTACATTTCCCCGGGGCATTCGGCAAACAACACAAAATGGCTTCCCAAGGCTTCCTGGCTCCAAGCTCACTACACGGCGCACGGCCCTCGCGCTCAAGCCGGTCCTCGCGCGAGCGCGACCGCGCCCGCGGCCAGCCCAGGCACCAGCCGCGCGCCAGAGGCGCCCAATGCGCCAGAGGGCTTCGGCGCGGAAGGGCGGGGCAGCGGGCGGCGTTGGAAGCCCCGCGGGCAAGCGCAGGGAGACGCCATCGTCCCGCAATCGACTCGGCTTGTGCCAGTTTTCGGCGTGCTCGATTCCTTTCGACGAACTGTTGGAAAGCATGAAGTTTTCTGTTGGGAGAACCTGAATGTGAGCCGAGCGTTGCAACAGTGATCAGCTTCTTGAGGCTGCGCAAGCCTGTTCAGCCAAAGTGTCAAACCAGGTGCGGCTGTGAGTTTCATCAGTGACCCGTTGGTGGACAGCATTTACCTGGTGACGTCCACCAACGCTTTCTGAAGAGGAATCCATGTTAAGCTGCCGAAAAGATTCCAACCGGTGAAGAGCAACGCCAGGTAAGCCTTTGCAACGCCCCATGCGATTGGCATGGGAAAGGTGTGCCTTCCGCCTATCGGCGAGAAGGTAGTGGCAAAAGCTCGCGTCCCTCCAGCATTCCCTAAATCTCACTTGCCAAACGAGCTAGACATAAATGGGACCTTCACTAAAAGTGGTTGCCACTTAGGGGAAAACCAAAATAGGGGAAAACCAAAATAGGTCAAAAGGTCGGTTTTGAACAACTGAAAAGGAATCAACCACATCCAACTGTCATGTCTGGCACAAACTGCTCGTTCCCCGCCTTGCAACTTCGAGCCCTCCCAGCCGGCCTTCTTCTTGGTGTGTGACGGACCTTTGCGCAGAGGCTTGGAGCCCAGAGGTTTGAAGGTGTCCCTTTGGTTTCCCATCTCACGAGAACGTTCAAGTCCAAATCCAAATCACCAAAATCAAAATCCAGGCCCAACCACCCGCCAGGAAGACATTGTCGGTTGTCCAAACGTGAGACCTGCTTCTCGTGCCAGAAGGTCAATTTACACAAGGGGCTGCCCTTGCTTGCTTGCAAACGGCGGCACCCAGCCGGTACTCCTAAGGCACTGTAGCTGGAGAGAGCGACAAACCAATGAAAACCCGCAAGAGATGACCCAAAAAAAAGCAGAAAAAAAAGCAAGAGACACAAGCACAGGCTGCATGAGGGTCTAGTGACAACAATGGCCATGGCCCTATTTTCAACATGTCATCCCCCAATGGTGAAGGGAACCAACTCCATCTCGCACTTTGACAGCCCGGAGGAGAAAAAAAAAGGAGCAGCTATGGCACACCTGTTTCATCTAGCGCAAACAGCGCACCTCTCGGCAAAGACTGAGCATGGACCCCGTCTTGAGTATCCTTGCGCCTCCTTGCCCTCTCCTTTCCATTGCTACATGGACTCCGCCCCCCCGGCCAGTCGTCTTTGCAACATGGCACCTGGGAGTTCCGTGAGACAAAGATGCCAATTCCGAGTGGGAAAAAAACATGCCAGCGACAAGAACTTCCATTGACCGAACAACTCTTCGGGGTTGGACCGTCGGGCTCCGAGAGTGCCCTGCTTAGTTCGATCTTTTGCCGTGCCTTAACGGAACTATCCAAAAACCAGCTGTGCAAGAAAATGGATTCTCTAAATCAGCTGAAGGCGATTGACCAATTGGTGGGGCTGTCGAGGCAAACAAGTTCCCAACTGGGTGCCAAATATGGGGTCGGGAACCTGCCTTTTTTGCCCAATTTGGAAGCTTGTTGAAATTTGGGCTACTTGGCACTCAGGGTTATGAGTCATGAGTTGGTTTAAGCTACAAACATGTTCACCCTTGTAAGATCCAAGGCTTCCGCCTCAACCGCTCTCTCGGCGCTCGCGATCGCGAGCGCTAGTGCCACGCGGCACAAAACTTCTTCGGGCGCTCCTCTAATGGCAGGCCTCCGGACGGAGGAAAAGGCGACGGTGAATTTCCCTTTGCGTTTAGCTCCCTGGAAAGAATGAGAAGATATTCCAATAGTGATAGACTCATCTTGAAACCAACAGGGGAAAATAAATAAGTACAGCAACATACCAAGCAAATGGAAGTGAAGCTTGAGGAGCCTAAGAAGTTAGGTGAAAATCGGTGTCCCACCAGCCATTGTGACTGCAACTCTTGAAATTCGAAGCTGTCGTGGGAGGGGGCTGATCCTTGGGAAAGGCCCTGCTTGGGATGGACTTCGAGTCACTTTCCCCGCGTTTCAAAAGCCAATCCAAAACCACCAATTGCGGGTAAGGTGGTTTAAGGGTGTCCTGAGAAAGGCGGACCCTTAAACTAGTTGGTTTCATCCGCGCATCTTGAAGGTAGCCTGGACTCATACATCGAAATGAGATTGGAAGTGAGAGGCAACTGGATCTCTCAGATATCATGAGGAATTCACACATTCGGCATGCCCAAGATTGCTTGGCTGGACACATGTGAGTCCCACAACACCGCAAGCCTCCGGCTTTCGTACCTTCCCACCAATTAACATGGAACCTGACAGGGGAGGCTCCTGAAAGACGATTTCCTTTTGAACGGACCCCTTGCCAGGTTCCATGCTGATTGCTAGGAGGGAAGCTCAAACAGCCTGGCCATGAATTCCGAGCAAGGCAAGGTGATCTTTTTGTCTGCGGTCTTCTGCTGCATGTGATGCTGATTCGCATCTTGGCAATGGCTAAGGCGTGCTGCTACCACTGCTACTGCTGCTGCTGTTACTCGAGCTGCTTCTACTGGTGTCGCTCCCGTCCTCGGGCACTGCCGGCGCTGTCACTTGTCTATACAGGGGTACCGGCGGGGCCGGGGGCGGGGGCGGGGCAGGTGCTGGTGCCGGTGCCGCTGCCACCACATACCTCAGGTTCGCAGGTCCCAGGTACTCGAAACTGTGTGAACTGGGCCATATCCCTGCAAGTTAAAGCTTTCTCTTTGCACTGATTCAATCCCTCTACAGTCTCAAAGTCCAGAATTATAAGTCATTGGCTTGCCAAGATACCGATAAGGGGCCCTGTACATGGGTACGGGCCCCACCCGGCGAAGCAAACGCACTGGCGGGCGCGTGGAGACTGGCGGGGAGACCGGCGGGACATACGTCGGCGGGTTCAGCGGCGAAGGGGGCGGAACATAAGTCCGTGTCCAGCCCAAAGGTGGCAGGGAGGGGCGTGAGTAAAGGGACTGGCTCAGTTGCCCCGATGCGTCCTTGGTTCAAAGCTCCCAAACGGCTCAAGGGGAAACCACACCTACACACAAAAAGAAGAATAAGAAAAAGTCGTGGAGGGTGTCAACTACAAGCCGCTGGCCATGCAGCCAAGTGTCAGTGGGGCATCTCGTCTGTCCGGTGGGAGAGCCAGGAAAGCGCGGGGAAGTGGTGGCTGTGACATTGTGCTTGCAAACTGGGCATGCCTGGCTGAGAGACAGCCACTTGTCTATGCAAGGCATGTGGTATGAATGGAGGCACGGCAGGCAACGCAAGCACTCACCTTTCACAAATTCCTCCATGCACACGGTGCACTTCCCTCGCGTCTCATCCTCTAAGGACTGGGATAAGCCACAAAAGGTGTAGCAAACGGTGTAGCTATCAATGGCGGCTGCTGTCAATCCCCTGCTGATGCCGATGATCTCGCTCACTTCCTCGTCGTCCAGCATTCGAAGAACGCCTCCCTCATCGACAATGATCCATGCATCTGTGGTAGACAAAGACATGAGGCTGCTATGTGTAGAGCGCGCTACACAAAAACAAACAGATCGTGGTACGATTCCCAGGCAAAGTGCCTGAAACAGGTTTCACAGATCTGTAGAGGTTCCTCTGACACACGTTCCAACCTGGTTGAACGGATCGAAACTGTCAAAGCCCCAAGTCTGGTCACCGTGCAGGGAAATGACACTTTGGTCGAGCCCAAGCTGCGGCCAGAACGAAACGTTGCGAACTGGGCAAGTCAGCGCTACTTCTCCCCTGCCCCACGCAACCCCCACCAATCAAAAAAGACCCGGCGAGCAGTCGACAATTGTGTGGCCCGGCTTGATGTTGGGTCCCCAACAGTGAACGTTTGAGGGGTTCAAATTAAATTTTCCGTTGGGGTCGGGTCGGGGCTGATGTTTCAGGATGTCACTTGAATGGACCCGGCAGGTCCAACTGCAAAGATTGAAGCTTCAAAACGCGCCTGGGCGCATCGTCGGCAGGCTGGGTAGGCTAACCTTGGCCAACTGGGCGGCGTACGCCGGTTGTTTGAGTCTTGGTGCGGGGTGGGAGGGGGGTGTGGCAGGGAATCATGCGTATAATGCGACCGAGCTCCTTGTAACGTCAATCTCTGACCTATATTTTAAAATGTTTAAAGTATTGACCATATTTTGAACTAAGGAATTGCAAGAAAATTATCAAATTCATGTTCCACTTCCTTTCCATGTCTTTCCCATGTCTTTTTCATTCCCTTTCATTTCTTTTATGTTTGCTTTCCATTCCTTTTTTGCATGTTCCGTTGCTATACAGTATATGTACATGTCCTCTCCATCTGTTCGAAGTTATTTTCATTCCTTTCAATGTTATTTCAATTCCACTACTTTCCATTTTTTGCAAGACGTTCGATCTTATTCCAACTGTAATGACAGCATATCATTTCAGAATTTGGGCATGATGTGTATCTGCCAGTGTGTTTTACCTTGCAATCAAGAATTACTCATCGGAGATAACAGGGTAGAACAAGACAGTGGTAGATGATGATAAAAAGAGAAATTGAGACATGCAAATGGTGATGAACATGATGCTGCAGAAGATGAATCTTCTGACGAAGATGAAGATTGGGTTTCATTTGTCTTAATGTGCTTCGGCGTTCTTGCCTTTGGTCAGAACTGAAACACATCAAACACGAAAAACGCGGTCTCGCTTGTTTCATGTTTTTCAACTTGTTCTTTTGGTCGGAATTGAAGACATTGAAACAGTTGAACACATCGTGGCGTTGGCTTTCCCACTACTCATTTCTCTTCTGCCCGGGATTCAACCAATTGGAAAAAATCGAGAAAACTGCCTCCGGGAAGGCCACGCGAGCTCGGAGGATGAGGATGAAGCTCATGAACATGATGACTATAAACGGTATGATGCACATTCTCATGAACATGATCATGTTGATCGCAGCGGTCTTGCATTTCCAGCCGCGCCAGAAAGTCTTTGTGGTGCTATACGCCACAAACTTTGCCTGCATGCCTAAAGCATATCAGGCCGGAAGGGAATGCCACTAAACGGGCCCGAGCATACAGCCTGCACTCCTGACCGGCATCAGGGCAGGGCTGCATACGTCCAAGGCCGCAGATGCAAGCAAAAAATCTAATGGCATCCTCCCTTCTTCCGCCCCGGCCGGAACTGAATCCGCATGGGTTGGGTAGGGTGGGAGCAAGAAAGCTATCAGGAGGGCGGCTCGGCTTTCAGCGGATCCTACTCACAACATGCTTTCTGCTTCACATGACTGTTGCACATGCTTCCATGTTGATCGCAGCGGTCTTGCATTTCCAGCCGCGCCAGAAAGTCTTTGTGGTGCTATACGCCACAAACTTTGCCTGCATGCCTAAAGCATATCAGGCCGGAAGGGAATGCCACTAAACGGGCCCGAGCATACAGCCTGCACTCCTGACCGGCATCAGGGCAGGGCTGCATACGTCCAAGGCCGCAGATGCAAGCAAAAAATCTAATGGCATCCTCCCTTCACGTTTCCTTCCTGGCTAAAAGCCGTCAAGGTTTCAGTCTACGCAGCAAGAAATGCGCCAATTGGCGTTGCTCGGCAGTGAGTTGCAAATGGCTGACTGTCGCCACTGCGTCCTGCAAATAGATGCGCGCCGTATGGGCAGTGCTCCAGCGTCCGCGAAGCAAGGTGCGCTCCATGCTTTGGTGATGCAGGAAATCCCACGTGGCGCCGCCACGCCGCAGGCTGTAGACTGTCAAGAGGCCTTCTGCGTTGAAGAACCCTGTCATGGCATGAAAGAGCTTTCGAAAGAACGCCGGGCCCTTGCTGAGCAGGCGCTCTTCCTTGCTTCTGCCGCTGCACGCTTGCTTCAGCCACTTGAACGCCAGCCGGCTTTCCACCACCACCATTTCAGAGTGCCCAGCGCTTTTGCCCGCCTTGCTTTGATTCAAGTTCAGGACAGCACGATTGCGCATAAACTTGACATCTTTCACCTTCAAAGTATAGAGCTCGCCTGAACGGAGCATGCAGTCAAAGGCCACAAGGAGCCCCGCCGCCTCATTGATAAAACCCAGTGTAACTGCAGCTCCTGCAAAGCCCAAGACAAGCAAAGGGCTAACTGGCAACACCCGCATAGGAGGTTCCAGCCGTTGCCAAACTTTCGCAAGTTTCCACGAATGCTTCAGTTTTCCGACTGACGACGGCAAGTAGAATTGGAGGCCTGCTAAACCATCACTTGCAAGGGATTTGTACTCACCTTCCGAGTACGCGTGCTCTAACCATGCGCCAACAGCGGTATCCAAATCTTCCCAGGCCGGCACCTGGATCTGACACTCAACTAGGAAGGTTAATAAGCTGAGGACTGCCTTTCTATATCGGGCCTGCATCCCGGCCGTCACCATTTGCTCTTTCAGAGTCGCGCCAGCTCTGGCACGGCGGCGCTTGAGTCTTTCCCCGTCAGAGAGCGTTGTCCGCCCCATCTTGACGGGATGTCGCTAGGGTTGCAGTCGGTTGCAACGTATCCTACGACAAGAACAAGGCCTGACGCCAGTAGCAAAGCATTAAGTTGAGCTAACCCTCTTCTGAGCCGAAAACTGCTAGTGCGACCTTTGGTAACAATGGCGCACACAACCTGACTGTCAATAAGATGCAGGACTCGCTGGGGTGCAGAATGTTGTCTGCGAAGCCGCCACTTCACCGAGTTAAGGACAGCTTGAAGTTCAAGTGCGTTTATGTGAGCCGCAGTTTTCCAGGGGTAGCCGTGAACAACACTCCAGTGAAACAAGGAAGAGTTGATTCCAGAACGGGGCCAAGCCTGCATGCGAAACGGGACGCCAACATCCAGTCGGATGTCTGTTCCTCCCTTCTCGGCCTGGCGTATGAAGTGTAGGACCAGCTGCGCTGTGTCGGGAGTCTCCAAACCGCGAGGGACGAAGTGCGGGTACAATAGCCAGCCGGCACTGGCAACTTGCCGGGCGGCTACCAGCCTCTCCAAGTTTCGAACGGGCTCCAGCCCAAATTGCACGAGCAGGCTATGCAGCAAAATGGTAATGACGCAAACATGAGACGACCTCCCCACCAAGGTCCCCACCAGGTTAAGAACTTCGCTCGGGCTGCATTTGGGGCTAATGGCCTGTGTAATGTACCCGCGATCAAATCCCATCAAAGCTTCACGCTCGCTGGCCGACGGAAGGCGCAGCGCCTGGTCAGGACCTGTGACCATGTTCTTGGCCTCATAAGTGCTAACTGGAAATCGGAAATGGTCTTCTGTCCAGCGGCGAATGGCCTCTTGGCTTGCCAAGTCCAGATCCGCCATAACCCTGGGGTTAGGCTGTTTGCGGTAGTGGGGGCAAGTGAGCGCCGGCAGCCAGCCGTTGCTTTCTCCGTTCCACACGGAATTAACATCCAGCCATGAAGAAGCGTCTTCTCTGCAAAGAGGAACCCGCAGCTCCTTGTAATCCCCCCAGTTCTCCATGTGTTCGCCCTGCAGCGGAAACACCTCCCATGAGCACCAGAAGAGGCGTGGCCGGTGGCACCAAGAAACCCATTTTGCGTCCAAAAGAACAGGCGTGGTGCAAAGCACACGGCTGAAAAGGTTTCTATGTTCCGCTGACATGTCGAAGCTGCCTTCGACAAAGTAATGGACAGGCACGCTGAAAATGTCCCGCAAAAGGTCAAGCACCCGAGACAACTCGAAGAATCGACGGGGTGCCTCCCCTTGAAGGCTTTCGCGGCTAGGGCTGCCTGCCCCAACAAGTACCATGTCCAGCCCGTGATTTATGCTCGTGTGGAGTTGCTCCAACACGTGGCGATCCACGTTGCTGATGTCTCCTAGCTCGATCAGGCCAGGCCACCGGCGGAGCAGTAGGCGTTTGGCGGCTTTGTCCGCCTCGGCACTGGCAAATCCAACAACCTGACACGGCAACCGGGTGAGTGCGCACACAGCTGCCCCGAGACCATCAAACAGACAAATTGCAAGAATCCGAAGACCGTTTCCAGCGTTGTAAGTAAGAGCACCAGCGGGTCTGAACGCCGGCCCGTCCCCTGCTTCCACGTTGGCGAGCATGGCCTTGCCTTCCTGCGTAAGCCCCGCGCTTGCGCAAAGCCCTGCCCCGTGGAGCGAGGCATCCGAACAGGTCACCATGCCACTGGGCTCTGTCCTGAGGGAGCCAACCGCCAAGGGCAAACATCCTAGCGCCCGGATCAATTCCCGAATGGCAGCAGCTTTCAGCGAGCGCCTGAGAATCCAGTTTTGTCGGGGCCACACATCGTTCAGTAACCCCATCAATGGCCTGCGGAACTCAAAGCACCTCACAAATCTGCCAAGGACCATAAGAAGAGATTTTCGGCCTACAGCTGGCTGCGACAGGAGCCACACACACATCCAGCCGCATTCTAGGAATTTCTGCTCAGGAACAGAAACGAAGCCTTTATCACCATCTATGTGGGCCCCCATTCGGTTCACTGCAAGCTCTCGGACGTGGGCTTTATCCTGTGAAATCCCCACGCCTTTGCGGGCATAGGCTTCTCGCTGTCGACGATGAGTGGCTGATAAAATGCCCCGCAAGCGCTGCCAATCCGTGCGGTCCACAAATTCCGGAGCATCGAAGTCGTCCAAATAGTACTGGATCCAGCCACCTCCTTCTGCAACAGCACTCCCGGGCACAGGACGATCACGCCGCCATTCCCAGTCAGGTGGCAAGCCGGCACCGGCCGGCACCGGCGAGAGGCCTAGCTGCCTGTGCAAGTGCTGGAACAAACTCACGGCATTCTTCCATCCCATCGGGATGACTGCTGAAGCGAGGAAAACTTCTCTTTGATCGGGGCAACCAACTACATGACCAGGAACAGGCCAGCGAAATGCCATGAAGGGGCGCCAGTCGGCAGGAAGTGCCCACGCGTAGTACGCCCCGCGTTGATCGTCCCCAGACCACAGCAGCACCTGTGAGGGCCGAAGGTAAGCTGCTGTCCACTGTGAAGAAGCACTCAAAGTTGGCAGATCACCTACCATGAGACGCTGGATGGAATTTGATGGGACACAATTCATGATGAGGCGCGTGATTCTGTGCTCACCGGGCGCCGCCACGCCCTTCTTCTCAACAGTGAAAACACCATTAAGCAGAGGCTCCCCTCGCACTCGGAAGATAGATTCCCGGTCAATGGGCGCCAGAATCTGTTTTTCAACCAAGACCCTAGCCACCTTGCACCATTCCTCCCTGGTGCAATTCATGGACGCTGTCGGCAAAGGGTCAGGCCACTGCTCTTCAGGAAGTATGCATTGAGAAGGTTCCAGCAACCACGATCTCACCTCCCCCCTGGCAACCGACGCTGCCTCGAGAGAACCAGCCACTCCATCAGCTGGAAGTCCAGGCAATATCTCGCCGAGCCTCAGGGGCAAGGCGTGCAAAACCTCCTCCCCTGCATAATCTAGGCCCTTGCTCTTTACTATCTCCTCGAAAGAACGGCCCTGTCTCAATTCCAAAGGTGAACGGACAAAGTACTCCACCAAATTGGCAATATGCTTCAGAGCCTCCCGCTGCGGCCCCGTTGCGGGCTTCTCGTTTTGGGGGAGGATGGGGGATTGCCAGCCGGATGCTTCCCCGTTCAAAATACAAACAGTCAACAGGCGCCAAACCTGCATACATCCCGATGAAATAATCTTATGAAGCTTCTGCCTTCGGCGTTTAGCTGCAGGAGTGGGGCGCCACTCTAATAGCCCTTCAGGGGTCCGGCAACATAGTTCAAGCAACTGAAGGGCAGCTCCTATTGGTGGCAGAGGCAAGGGTAGCAAATCCCTCTGTCGAAGAATAGGCGCGGCTGCTTTTTGCGTGTAATTGCAAAGACATGATTCAAGGAGTTGCCCATCCCGCGGGCTGAAAAAAAGGAGCTGCAGCGCTGTAATTCCCAATTGCAAAATACTTTGTGAACCAGGAAGTCCGGCTGAAAGCAAAAACCCAACGCTTGGTCTACGCTCTTGAACAACTTCCCCTGTCAGCAGCTGTAGCAGCTTGAGCGCAGGCTGTTGCTGCCCCGCCTCCCCCAAGCCGACACTTGGGTCTGTACAGCGGCGGTTGATTTGCTCAGGCTCGTCAAAAACCGCTGGGCCAACACCCAGGACCGCCTCCCCCAAGCCACCGCCTGGGCATGCTTGGCAGTTGGCTTGCTCAGGCTCGTTAAAAACCGCCGGGCCGACACCCGGAACCGACCCCTGGCCGACACCAGGAGCTGGAGATAGCACCGAGATCAGTTCTGGCCTCGGGCTGTCTTGAAAACCCGATCCTTCCAAGCCTTCCTCGGCTCGCCCTCCATCCGAGGGGTTTGGCTGCGAGCAGCTGAGAGACCTAGCGTTTTCGGCTCCTCCGTCACGGCCTGGTCCGCAAAAGTCACCCGGCGATCTTGTCCCTGTCGATCTGGCTTCGTCTTCTTTGAAGTTCCTCGCCTCCTCGTGAGGGGAGGGCGACTCGGGGAGTGCCCCGAGCTTGGAAGGCTTGCGGGGGCGTTCTTGGGCTGAGGGTGAAAGGGGTCGCGCTGAGGAACCGGATCGCCCCGCTCCGGTTCCCCGCGGAGTCCCTAGCACGAGCCCTTCAGCAGGGCATCACTCTTGGCAGCCTTAACCGCCAGCTCTCGCGCAAAGAAGGTTTCATCACTGGTCACCCCAAGGCCCTCCGGAATGAGCTCCAAGTAATGGCCAAAGTTGCCGGTACCATCACGAAGGCCCATGACCAGACTCTTAAACCGTTGCACCAGGGTGTCGGCGGCCGAGTCCACCTTGCCCCTGAGCAGGCAGTCAAGTGCCTGACACAGGGTGCGGAGCTCCCTGTACCTCTCTGTCCCGTTGAGCTTGGTGGGAAAGCTCGGCATCACCATGGTTAACAAGTACCGAACCATCACCGGTGACAAGGGGTCAGCCGAGTCCTCACCCATCATCGTGCGTGCAAGCTTTTCAGCGTGGTGAGGAGGAGCTTGCCAGGCTTCTCCTCGGCCAGCTTCCGGAGCTTTCGGCGCCGGGAAGGCCAGCCAGTGAGGGAACTCTCGTCCTCCTGGCCGTCGTCCTCAACGTCCTCAGTCTCGTCGTCGCTGTCCTCCTTGTCCCTAGAGCCCCGGCCGCCACCAGGGCCCAAAGCCTGCTTGAGCTGGCGCAGGACGTCCTCCCCTGCCTTCTTCTTCTTTCTGGGCTTCTGGCTTGCCTCGACGGCACGGGCGGCCAGCACCGCCCCTGTGCTCTTTGCCGTCTTCGTCTCGGCCTGCTTGCCCTGAAGCTGCGCGCGCAACAGCTCAAGACGATCCTCCACCTTCTTGCCGCTAAGGCCTGGCTCACCTGCGCCCGCTGTGTCATCCAACATGGCATCCAAGGCGGCTCCACGCCCGTCACGGGCCTTTGCGGCCTGTTTCCGGGACCGCTTGAGCGGGGGCAGCTCCTCTTCGTCGCCCCAGTCCACCTCCAGCTCCTCATCTTCGGCCTTAGGCGCGGGTAGGCTCTGCATGGCTGCAGGCTTCTGCGCTCGAGACTTTGGGGTAGTCTGGAGGGCGTGAGTAGACTGGGCTGGCTCTGCACGAAGTCCTGGCAAGCCCCAACCACGAAGGATGTCATGGGCCTCTTGCCTGGTTACGGGGCACCACTTCTGAATGTGCACGACATGTGGCTGTCGATGGGCTCGGCCGCAGCGTGACACATGCCGCCTGCACAGATGATGCAAGCAGTCTTTTGGAAGGCCGCCCTGCTTCCCTTCATTTTGGATGTACCATCGGTAGTACTCGTCATCGCAACCCTCGTAGGCCAGCTGCAAGTAGGCACCATCCGAATCCTTCTCGTATCGGCTTAGGACGCGGCCAATGGCGCAGCCCAGCTCTTCACTGCGGTCCCCATGGACCGCGAAGCAAAGGTAGCTCTCCAGATTCTCAAATGCAGCTGTAAAGTTGAGCTCGCTGCAGGAGCTGCCGTCCACCAAGGTCGGCAAAGTGACTGCTGGCCCGTCACCAGCAGCCCTCCTCCGCCGAGACATGGCGCATGGCCTACTCCTGCTCCTGCTTGAGGAACGCCACCTCGAGCAAGAAAGCTATCAGGAGGGCGGCTCGGCTTTCAGCGGATCCTACTCACAACATGCTTTCTGCTTCACATGACTGTTGCACATGCTTCCATGAAGACGACAAACACGATGATGATGATGATGATGATGATGATGATGATGATGATGCTGCTGCTGATGATGATGATGCGGGCTTTTTCGTTTGGCCAGAATTCAATGAATGGCACAACATGAACACATAACTCTTCATTTCGCAGCATTCTCTTTCCTGTGGCTTGTGTTTTTTACCCCCTTGACTATGACTACTACAGCGACTGCAAAACACTGCGCGGTATTCCCGCTTATGGCCGGGGAAGGGGGGGGTTATGCGCGTCACAATCACAACCAGGTGCTACAGAGACAGCCTGGCGCTTCAGCCAGCCTGAAAATGGGGGAAGCACTCGCTTGCAACTGAACCTCCTTTGACTCCACCAAAACCTGACCCACCTGCGACTAGTCACTTTGCAGTGGTGCGCTCGCGCTGTGGCTTCGCGCATCCACCTAACTCACTTGCCACGATTTCGCGCCATGTGACCATCAAGCGCAGGTTTGTGAGAGCGCGTGGCCTGCTCTTTTTGAAGCTGGGGACGGGGAGGGGGGTTGGGGGCACATGATAAGCACACACCCCTCAACCTCAACCCGCGCGGTAGTCTTCCCACGGTCAGAACTTGCAGCGGTACGTGAGCCACACAAAAGCCGTGGCTGAGTTTGAAGTGGCCAAGCATTCAAAACTATCACCTGCTTCATTGCGGATGCCTCAATAGATCTTGGCAGCATTTGGGGCTTGCTCAAAAGTTTAGTAGCCGGTCGTGCTACTTCTAGCCCCTTGCGCCTACCTTGCGCCTGAACCCGGGAGAAAACTCCAAGCAAGCTACACTGGTACTGTTGCAAAGTTCATGCAAACCACATCAGCGGTGGATGTCCTACATACTTCGAGGAATGCAATCCGGGCGAGCGAGCACTCAGCCACCATTGCGTTTTACCAACACAGGGAACAAAGTGCTGCAAAATACTTGCACAAAGGGCAACTCACTTGCGACACAAGTTTACAACCAACACGTTTGCCCTCAAAACCACAACTAGGGTCACCAAACCCCTACCAGGTACCCCCACCCACAAAACACTGTAATCTGCAAGGGTGCATGTAACCAAAATTGGCACCGCCACAGGCGAGCTATTCCAGTCACAAGCCCCCCCAAAAAAAGAACGTCACAAGCGAGCAACTAGAGTCACAAGCGAAACGCCCTTGAAAATGAGCCAGCCGCCTTTGCTGTAAGATCATGGGTCCTTCGCCCCTAGATGGTACTGGGTGAAGCCAACTAAACAGCTGCGGCGCTCATGTTGCCCAGAAGTCTAGACAACGGTTTGGATGCGCTTCTTGTGGATTTCACCCGTCCTTCCCTCTGTAGGTTCTTTGTTAGTACTCTTTTGGTACTCGTTTAACATCCTACAGGGGTGGATCCACAAAAACCGCATCCAAGCCGTTTCCTAGAAGGAGTTTACCTATTTCCCCGTCGCATAGCCGAGGCACCGTGTTCTGGGACCGCCTCAGCGGCAGGCGCTGGGAGGCGGCACGACCTGCGCTGAAGCTTGGTAGAGGGGTCCTTTCCTTTTTTGGTGCTAAAGGGAAACCTACTGGCTGTTGACGGACCACATGTTTTCATTGAGACTAAAACCAAAAATTAAAAAAGGAAACAAAAGGGCAAACCACACGAATTTGGAGGGCTTTTGCTTTGAAGGGAAAAGGACAGCGTTGCCAGTTTGGGCCAGCCCAACCACTGCTGGTTGGTGACCGTACCAGGGGGAACTTTAGACGTGCTTGAAAAAGCAGTTGCGGGGCGGGGCGGGGGGGGGGGGGAATTTCTAGCTCGGAAGCGGGTTATTGTGAGAAGCCCCATTTGGCTTTCGGCCTTTACGTTCGTATAATCAGTATCCCAAAGCCATTTACCAATTATGCTGCCACAGTTGGGTGAAAGTAATTGCTAACAAACAAGTTTCTTGTGGCATCTACGTTCACCATGGTGTCTCCTGGATGTGCCTGATTTGCATTCACATTGGCCCTAGCGCACTATGAGTTCCATTCACCCAAGGGGCCATAGGCAATGGAGCAAAATTGCCTTGTACTTCTGGATGTGGGACCCGAAAAAGTGGGGCGGGGATCTCGGAGGAAAGTTTCAGAAGCAGCGGACTAGTGATCCGGATCCCCTCCCATGAGACCTAGGAGCGACATCCTGAGCAAGCAAGTACGCAGCGGCTTGATTGAGCTCCATCTTTTCGACAGTGGCTGCCCACAAATGGGTCTGTCTTAAAACAAGGGTACCGCCACAAATGTGGCTCAGGTTTGGCTTATTTTTCAAAACACCTCCAAACAAGGTCCCGCGAACTGCCCGTTCCCAACCCCCTGCTCCGAGCCTACTTGCTGGCAGGCCTTGCAAGGGCTGTGTCGGAAAACATGGCCGTTCCGTCCTATCATAACCTTCAAGATTGAACTCTCGAGATCTCAAACAAAGTTGCCGGACGAATTTGCGTGAGCAGCATCAAGTGCTTCAAGCTGGGTCAAAAATTAAACCACTGGGGGACCACTGGTTTTAGTCCATGTCTACATTTACCAGGCTTCCATTTTGGATACCTATTTTGGCTATGGGTCAAAACCCCGTAATGCCAGTGAACATCCCAATCCCCGCTACATTGGACTAAGGTGGTGCACCTACCCCATAATGGTACCATTGGTTCCCACCCACGGCCATTTCAGACCCACAGCCGAATCACATTGCGGCCAGCCTCCTCTGGACTGTCGCGCCCCTGGGCATGCACTCGCTCGATACGACTGCAGTGCGACTGCACAGAGTCCATGTGCTTGATTCCCATGGGTTGCTGGCCTTTGATTCGGCTTCTGACTTCCACAAGGGCAAATACAGTTGGGCATACAACCAACAGAGCTCCCAAAGCATCCCCTCAAAACATCATCCACCAAGGGACACTCACCTTTCATAGGCCAAAAAGGCAAAGTTGAAAACCATCAAAAAGGGAAATATATCCAGGACTGCCCAAAAATACAGTACAACATACCAAGGGCTTTCCGGAAATTCCCGGCAGGAGCAACTTGCTGACGAGCAGCCCGACGAAGGCTCTCGTAACGGAAATGCCTAAGGCGAGTGGCCGAGTCGTCGTCTCATTCCCCGTGTCACGTGATGCGCGTTGGGCCGTGGGCCAACGCGAGAGAACCTTCCGGCACCTTCCATCTACTGAGTTGCCCCTTAGGGACCCAGCCATAACATGTTTATCACCCTTGGCCATTAACTTGCCCGTCCACCAGGTCCACTTTAAGACTTTTGCTTTTGCCTTTCACTCATCCTTTTTGATCTCTCCCCCTCTCAGGCCTTCTGGCAGCTCCCGTGTCAGAAGGAGGGAGGGCAACAATGATCCCTGACATCAATACTCACTGATTCTGAACAAGGCGGCTCATCCTGGAGATGAGGGGAACCCCCAAGAAAAAAGAAAAAAAAGTGGAGGGGGAGTGCAAATGAGGCTCTTGGCATGCAGCAACTTGTGTTTTATCCATTTGTGTTTTATCATGTATATTAAGGGGAGGAAAGGCTTCGGAGACAAAGATCCGAAGTTATAACGGCGCATTCCGCACCCTAAGTGTCCAATTGTCCGTCTAGCCAAAAGTCAGCTTCCCTCTTGCTGGCTTGGTGGTTTCCCGCCTATTTTGTACAAACACCATGGGTTCAAATCCAAAGCATCCATCAAAAAACCACCAATTAGGGCGGTTGTCGGACAAAAACGGGGTCACCCCAAACCAAAAACACGCCCTTCGCTCCTTTCCCGAGTCCGTGACTCGCACTCGCGGAGCTCCGCCTTGGAGGGGGCATGGCGCCGGGAATCGGGGGGCCCCACCGAGTCACGGCTCAAAACCCGGCAGTAAAATCGTCGATCCCCAGAACCATGCTTCAAGAATTAAGCCGGATATCCGCAGCAATTTTTATGGTTGGGATTGGCCCTTACTAACCTTCAACAGCCCAGGTGTTGATCTGTTTGTTTCTTTCTTTCTTTTTGCCGGAGAAACATTTTGCTGCCAGAGCAACGAACTGGACACGCACAAGGAAAGGAATGTTCCGAATGTTCTACGAGCACCCCCCCCCCCCCACAACCGCTTCTTGCTTACAGTGCCCAGGGCTGGGGGGCTACTGGGCTGTCCGTGTTCGGATCTGGCAAACGTCTGGCCTTTCGGTGGCTTGAATGGACGCCCAAACACGAAACCAACTCAAAAGCTCACAAGGGACCGGATGGCTGGGAACCAGGTCTGACTCATTCCCAGGCGAAGCGCCGGATCGATCGCGGGTCATTTTGGCCGGGGGCGGCGTAGCGGGTCTGGCGAACTTTTTCGTTTTGAGAAAGTCTTACATTGTGGGACCGAAATCACAACCTCAAGCACATCGAACACCTTGACAAGTGGAAAACAGCTGCTTCACCACTTCGGTCTTCAATTCATGGAAATGCCAACCTCTGCCCAAAGTTGACCTGGACATCCATGCATTTTTTTGAAACAACGAAGAAGAAACAAAACAAGGGACCTGGACCTTGACCCAAAAAAAACAGAACCTAGCCCCAACCAAAGGGACCCTAACCCTTTGGATTCTTGACCCGAAGCAACTGCCTCCCGCAGCTGCGTCTTCGCCGCTGCCAGGTCCTCGCGTTGGCAGTAAGAGGCCTGCTCCAAAACTCCATCGGTGTTCCGACGCGTCCTGTTGCTCCGTTTTGGAAAAGGACTCGATGTTCACCCCAAGCTTCGATTCACCCAAAGTAACGTGAAGCACTGCAAATGGATTCCACTGGCTTCGGCTTGGTTCGACATGCATCTCCCAGAATCCAGCGTTGTTTTGCCCAAATCCCAAGCACGGTCACCAAAAAGCAGTGGTTGAGGGGTGCTGCTTCATGCTCCTGTTGGCTTCAAGAGCACCCTGGGCAAAAAGCGACTCATGCTTTCCGCTGAGATGGAAGAAACCCTCCTGCTCCAAGCTGCGGATCTGGCCCTCGGCTCTGCTGCACTGCTCCTGGCACGTCTCGCCTCTCACCAGGTGCTTCTTAGGTCTAGGTCCTCCAGTAGAGAGGTTAGAATAAGGGTACCAACTTTCTTCTGTAGTCTATTTTAGTAGGGGAACCCTCCCCCAAAAAAGGGGAGAGAAGGGCACTGCTGGGGGACCTAGTAGGTGGTTGGATGTGGTTGCCAGACCCTGACTTTCGATAACAGGACCTCACCAATTCCATGTGTCACCCTACCCCTAATTGGTGGTTTGGATTGGCGGTTGGGTGGTCACAGAAGCCAGGAAATCCCCAAAGAAACATGTTCCTTCGCCCGATGCCCTTACGCGAAAGGGAAACCAACAATGGCATGCGCGAAGCAAGAAGTGGACGCGAGCCCCTTAATTAAAGGGAAGCCAGCTAGGCCAAAACGACGCACGTTAACAGCAACCAAGTCACCCTGAAGACACCAATCGCTAAATTGTCCTGTTCTGTTGAGGCGTGTGTTGCGCATCTTCAATGACTCGTACTGCGAATCGTTCCCAAAGGAGATCATATAGCAAAGCTAATTATGGGCTACCTGAATGCGTAGTGTTGAAGTGTGGCACTACTAGGCAAAAACGGGATTTAACATAGTGGAATGCACTGAGCCACCGGTTGACGCCCTCAAGCCGCGGTCAGGCTTCAAGTGGATACATCGAGAACCAGCGATTCACAAGGATTTGGATCCTCCAAACCATCCACTAAACCGCGATGTTTCCAAGCGCACAGCGGGCATGCCTTTTCTGAGGGTACCCCTGTTCTTGTTGGCTTTACGGCGAAACCAAAGGGAAACCACCGCCATTTCTGGGAGGGTCCAACCAAAAAAGAAAACGCCCATGTTCTATTTGGGTGGCTTCCCTAGTGGTCACCCCATGTAAAGGACAATTTAATCCCATGTTTTTGTCATCCATGTGATCCCTAATGGTCTCTCTCATGACTCCTTTGAGGGCCCACCTCCGTCCCACGAGTCCTCCGCCACCTCCTGGCGTTTCAGGGCCTGCTGGAGGTCGCACACTGCTCGGCACAGCTCCTCCGACTGACGAGCCTGAGCCTGGTGCCTGAAGTCCCCCACAAGCGAGGAGGAAACAAAAGGTTGCTTTTCCGACCCCTCTGCAAAAAGTGAAGAACTTTTGGTGCCAACAACTTAAAGTCTGCAAGAAGTTTGAAGAACCTTTTGGTGGGTCCAATGCGGAAAACTTGACCCGTGTCAACCAACAAGTTAAAGTCCAAAGATCCAACCTTAAATACCCATAAGGCAAACACAAGGTGATCACCTTTTGTGGCCATGACGAAAAAATGGGAACCCAAGCAGGGGAAACTAACAGGTCAAAAGGTCGATTCGCTTTGGACAAGTAAGTCACAGCGTTCGGCCAAAGTCTGAGCTCGCGTGTTCCAGGTGTCACTTGTCGGCCATTTCTTCAGATCGGTCCCGAAAAGGAAGTGCCACGCAATTCTTGGCATGTTGCTTTCTGTGAACGGTTGACCCAAAGGGATTAACAAACCTCCGCCCATGTTGAGGTGCGCTATGAATGTACCGCTTTCGGATTGGTTCAGGATGATGGTTCAGGGTCAGTTTAGGATTCGTCCAGGTTTGGTGTGCGTGGGCAACTTCCTCTTCTCTGGCATCCAATCGGCTCTTCAACATTCATTGCAGCCAGCCGGCTTCGGATCGAAATTCCCTTTAAACGAATCGAGCACAGCTGCCCCTTCGCTTTAGATTCAGAAGGGCCATGAATTCTTCAGGTTGCCGGTTGGGTTCGTACTGTTGACCCCCAGATTCAACCTGGCAGACTTTGGTTGGGGGTGTTTCTCGAAAGGTTGAACCGGATCCCTTTTGAAACGGGACACCGCAAGCTCATTTTCCGGATATGCTCAGAGTCAACTTTTCCAAAATTCATCAAAGGAGTCACATGACCTGTCCTGAGATCCCCGGCCAAAAAGACCCCTGCCCCCCCCCCTAACCCTAAAAACCGAAAAGCCTAAAAGCCTGAAACCTAAAGACCTGAGGAACCGGACTGGCAAACTGCTAAGGTGCCCCCACTCCTCCTGCACCATGCCCCAGGCAGAGCTCAGATCCGGCGCATCGGGCTCCTTCCAATTTGGACATGCGTGAAGATACAAAGTTCCACTGTCTGTCTACAGGGTAGACTTAAACCCGGGGATGGCTCATTACCCCAAAAGGGGAACCCATGGGTTTAGGTCTATCTTGGCAGTCAAAAAGTTGTCTCGAAGCAAAGAATACTGGTTGCAAATGACTTGGGAGTCTCACTTCCTGAGTGGATGGGCCAACAAACAAGTCTGACCTTGCTATGTATCACCAAAATGGTCGTCCCAAAAAGCTTAAAAATAAAGGAACTCAGGAAGTGAGGAGCGGGAACGCGTGCTCTCAAGTCATCGGGCAATCCCAGAAACTCTTTGCCGGTCCAATTATGCACCCAACGCTTGACGTCCCAAGTCACAGTCTTTGCATGGAGCGATTGATAAATACATGAGGGGATGACTTAACCAAGAATTATGCCACCTTTCACCCAACTGTATAGGCCCAAACTAGGGAATCGTGGCGCAGGGAGCCCATCAACAAGAACTCACTTTCTGAGGGAGTGCTTCATTGATCTTAATACCAATCTGGCCTCAACCGAAAATTATCCGAAGCTACGGCTGTTCCGTCCTAAACATCCGGCAACAGTCTAGATTGCGTAGGTCCAAAAAATCAACCCATGGCCATTTGGGACCAAGCCATATAACATCATATAACTAATGATTGGCTAACCCATAACCTACAGGTTCATACCAGAAACTCATATGTGGACATATACCTCCAGCCTTCGGAACAGGGCCCTGGGGCTCTAGGTTCCGAGCCAAACACTCCTCCATCACTGGCTCGCCCTCGCTCGGCTCTTCACTCACCTCAATCAAACACTTCACTGGACCCCCCCCGATCAATATTGCCCCACACAGCAACACGGAACCCGAAAGAGGTCTGATGCCCAGGAAGGAAATCAATTGATATTGTGAAACTGTGTGGGTACCTGCGTGAATCAGCAGGACCGGAACCAAAACCAAATGGGAAATGGACGACTCAGAGCCGAGCCCAAACCGATACCCTGGTAAAGATTATTCCGTTGCCCACTTACCTATAAGAACTAGGTGTCAAACAAAGGGCTGGGCCAACATCTCGCCACATGCCTTCTTTAGCTTCAAAGATCGTGACTCGTTCAGCACCCGGCTTCTGCCAGCGAAGAGCTCATCCACCCGAGGTTTCCCCTCGTGAAGGCTGAGCACGCGGCGTCTTCGGCTCTTGCTGCCTTCGAATTGAGCAAAGGGCTCAGGCGTGGGCTGAAGCGTTTGGTGTGAATGGTTCGCACCCAGAGCTCATGACTTGGCGTGAGAATTGCGCCTGCTGAGAGAATGGAAAGCTGCATGCTTGCCTGAACAAGCTGGTTCAAGATTCATAACCATATGTCAATCTGGTCTCTGCGCCCGCACAAACTCAAGCGCGAGGCTTCTGTGACAGGGGGCAAGCGATGCCGAGACGCGTTCCCCTCTCAATTCAGGAGCACACATGCCTCAAGTTGTAGGAGTCGGTCTCCCACAAAAACTCTCCCAGGAAGTGTCCAAACACATCCCACACCACACGCCCAAAGCACCCAGAAACGAAAAAGGTTTAGCTTTTGGAACTGTTCTAAAAGTGGTTGCCAAAAAGGGCAACCAAAAGGTCAAAACGCCGGATTCGAACAACTGAGCAAAACATGTCCAGTGCAGAAATCGGAGCAACATAAACCGGATGCCCCAAAGGTGGCAAGCAAATCCAAGTCGGCCCCACCCTATAACCCGTCAAGTCACTCACTGGCACAAAAAGCCAGCGTCTCGGGCCCTTGACAGACCAAATGATTTTACCAGTCCTGACTGACTCTAAACCAGCTGACCAGACCAAAAGTTTGACCCATACCATATCCCCATATTCAAGTGGTGCCTGTGGACGTCGCCCACCCCCTACGAACGCCGGCCTCCGCGCAGATCTTCCAGGCCAGAAACGTCTCCTCCAAGAGCTCCGCGGCTTCCTGTTAGCTCTTGGGCAAATGCCGGCAAAGAGGAGCTATAGGGAAAGAACCCCTCAAGTAGCTTTGCGAACCCCTCCAATTCTAAGCACTTGATTGTGCCCAGGAATCCAAGTAAAATCGCGAAATCCAGAGATAAACGGGCGTGCCGCATTGCCTTACAAATGCCAATCCATGGCAATTAGCCAAACAAGACACAAATCCAAACAACTGGCCGGAAGCCCTGACGACAAACTGCACCCGCCAGGCCGAATAAGATAACAGTCGATATTCTTTTGAGACCCTTTGTTGGACCTGATTTACAGGGAAACTTGTGCAACCACTGACCAGTTTCTAGGGCTGTTTTTCGCAGCCCCACATCAAAGGGTACATGTAGAACAGGAGCCTGTAAAGGCCCCGGAGCCCTTTGACCAATGGCCATACCTACGCTTTCCTTTGCCAGCCTTCCGACCGTACAGAAAGCTAAGTTCGTTGCCTAAGCGCGAAAGCAAAGAAATCCCGGAAGGGCAAACAGTTTGCCGCACCAATGCAACGTAACACGGAATCCCCTTAAAGAAGATCATCCCCGCTGAACAATGTGTTGACTTTAGTTCGATGCTAGGGCGACCGTTTTTTGGCCCCATCCGCCTGCGGCCGCTTTGGCTGCCGCCAAAGCTGGAAGCTTTGCCGCAGCAAACTCCCACGCCGCTGCCGCAGCTGCCGCCGCAGCACCGCCTCGCAGCGAAGAAGTTCGCGCAGCAACCCGTTGTGGTTTTGTTGCTTTTGCTTTTTTGTTGTGGTTTGTCTTCTTGTTTGTTTGGTTTGAAGGGGAGCCAGTTGGGCCCTTTTCGCTGGGCTGTCCGTTTTCACATCCCTTGCTAAAAGTGCCTAATTTGTGGGTGAAATACGGAAACCCCACCACTGAATCAACTGAAAAGCCAAAAAGCTCCGGAAGTTCGGGTTGGTTTGAAGGGGAGCCAAAAAGGAAACCACCATGTTTGGGGTGATTTAGCCACAATGTGCTTTAGACAAGCACCTTTTAGATGTTCAGGGGATTTTCTAGAGCCTATTGCCTATTGTCGCCTATTGTGTTCAAAAATGGGTCCCTGGTCCCTCACCCATTTTCGGGGGAAAGGACACCAAGACCATCTGGAGGAGTGGGCGGGGTGATGTTGGACCCAAGTGAAGAACACGGCCACGGGGCGATGGCGACCTCCAACTCAGCAAGAAGGAACTCCTGATCCAAGGGCATCTGGGCAAGTGCCCGTTAATTCAGGTCCAAACCTGTTGTGCCTCGCAAAATGAACACAGAAATGCAGGGAGGGATCAGGCCCAAACAAGACTTGTGTCTGGGGGAACCCCCCAAAGTTGGTGGTTCCCCCTTTCAAACTTCCTCAAAACGACTACCCCAATCAAACAAAAACCTACTTACACCCTTGCAAGAGGGGAACCACAAGGGCAAAATCATCTCACAAACTTCACCGGACAATCCTTTTGGGAAGGGCGAACGGGGACAAAACCGCTTGGGATCGCAGGTTGAGAAGCCATCTGCCCATGAGTCACTGCTTGATGAGCCTAAGAGAGAGAGGGAGAGAGAGAGAGAGAGAGAGAGAGAGCGCCCAGCGTGGCCGGCCCTTGGTGCTCCCCTGCTAAAAGTTTAACTTTTAGTGGTTTAATGGAAAACCAATTAATTAGAGTTGAAGTCCTAACATCCAAGCAAAATGCACCAAGGGTACCATCACTCCTGCAGGGTGACGATCGGATTGGAGACTTTCAATTTCGGAGGAATGCCCCGGCCATCTGGGCGTGGGGCATGCGAACGACGAATGACATTCAGCCAATCAATGTTCGCTTATGTATATATATATATATACATACTGGTTTCTTATACTTGTATGTACATATATATATATATGCATGTGCGTGTGTGTTATGACATGTGTGACTCTCAGCTCCACTAAACTTCATTTACCCTTTGACCCACGTGGAAAAATGACCACTTCTGGGGTTCCGCGTCGTCTCGGCCAAATCGGGGCCCACAAATTGCGGGCTTTCCGCTTGGCTTCCATTTAAACTCCTAAAACAATTACGGACCGAACGGGGCCCAACGGGCCGACGTCGGCTCGGCCTCCAGTTTGCCAGACTCCTCCAGCAGCTTTCGCCAGCTGCAAAACGCCTCCCACCTGGCGCTTGGACGTTGCAGCTCGCGTAGGGTAAGCAGGTAAGCAGGTTGCAAGCAAGGTTTGGTTCTTGGTGGACGCCATGCTCAAAACCAGGGCCTCTAGCAAGCCACGCCAAAAAGCGGGCGAATTTGGGTCTGTCGCTTTTGAGTGTGCCCGCTTTGTTTCAAAAGGAAACCAAGGGAACAACTCCAAAAAGAAAGACAGACACCCCCATTCGGTAGGAATGAAATTTAGCAACTGCTGACCAGTGGACTCCATCCATGACCCGCAGCTCTCTGAGCCAGGAGACTTCCACCGGAACGACCTCCATGGAGCTTGGTTCTCCAAGCTACAAATTGACCCTCCGATGGTTTCTCCACTGGGAATTCGCTGCGTTGCCCGAATTTCCTTGGGGAACTTCCCCAGAGATCAGATGATCTTTGAAAAGAATGGCTTACCTTTATGGAGGCTCAACCTCTTCAAGATTGACACGTTTTTTGGCGCAAATCCCGGGGTCGTCCTTTTTCGCGCCTCAGCTGCCGCGTGTGAAGGCTCAAGAGGAAGGGCTCCCAGCGGACTTCCTACTCTGCTTGGCGCGCGAGGTGAGTTGCTAAATGGAAACATGGACCAAAACCTGCGGTCGACTGGTGGTTTAATTTTGACCCATACCCATACCAGAAGGAACTTTCGAAAAAGGAAATGAAAGGGCGCTATGCAGGGAGTGTGTACCAACTTCCTGGGTTACGGGGTTCCTAAAGGTTTGGCCGAAAAGGGGCGCCTTTTCGGCGGCTGGTCCCCAAGGCGCATGGCGTTGCAGGGGGAAATCGGATAGGTCTCAAAAGGCAACCTCAAAAATGGCCGCATTCTGTGTTTTCTCGCTCGCGCTGTCTCCAGCCACTGCTGGTTCCTCTTTGGCTCCCTTAAAATCAGCCCCGACAAGTCGCAGACCAGGGTACGATCCTGGCAAACGGCCTTTGGGCGAAGGCCAACTGCGAATGTTCAGTTCCCCCATGGTCCTGCGGCTCCGTCTGGGTCGCCTTGGCGCGGGTCCTGAGAAGCAAGCGGAAAGCTTTCCAACAGGTCCCAGCAAAGCACTGGCAAGTCGCACAAGCTGGCTATGCTGGATGTACGGTTCCATTCAATTCAACTCCAAGATCTCCAAGTATGTTCGGCACCGGTTGGCGAGCCGTCCTGATAGGGTTGCGAACCCTCATTTGCAGAGCTTCCTGTGGGCAGCTGCGATCTAACCGTCGAGCCCCCCAATTGACGTACCTTACACTTGTTATTCAGCTTCCCAGACGTAAATAATCATTGCGCCAGGCCTCCCTTGACAGTGGGTCCACCACTTGAGTCTCTTTAGGTGAGGGATGGGCAATCCACCATTCTGTGCCATGAGTTGTATGGGAATCTCACCTATAATTGTATGGCTCCCCAGCTGGTGATCCAAACGAAGACCAGTAAGGTGACGAAGAGGGTTGATTCGAACGCTTCGGATTCCTCGGCTCGCATCTCCCAAAATGAGGACTGTTCAACAGGGTTCCCGAAACGACACATCCAAAAACCACAGGCTGTACAGGAGGGCCCCCTTAATTGGGGGGGGGGCTGAAGAACTGAGATGAAGACGATGGCATGCCACGCTCCGTCTAAGGAATCTATATGTAGGAGCGCGGCAGAGCGCGGCCATCTCTTCTCTCATCTCAACATCTTGTTCCAGCGATTCAAAGGCTGATAAGAGATAAACATATGGGATGAATGAGAGCTGCCTGTCTGCTCGATCCCTCGCATGCAAACGCGCATGTATCTCGGAACTCAAGGAAGCGAGCAAATGTCTCCTTGCAGGACCCACACTCCAAGGCAGCGCCAACCCCCCCCAAGCCCCCTCAGCCCCAGGCGGAGTTGGCACCGCGTGCAGGGCTGAGAGCACCGCTGGCCATTTGTCCACCAGCTGCTGAAGGCCCTGGCAGAGGTCCGACTTACCTCAGCGACAGCGCGCGGCCGAAAAGGGGCCGGGGGAAGCCGCGAAAAAGGCCAGGCGCAACATGGCGAAAATTCGCCCTTTGCCGGTTGGTCCAGAAAAAGGAGGCCCCAACGAAAACCGCCGCGTTTCGTTTCGGCCTCATGGGAGCCAAGTTGAATAGTCAACCCGTGATTAGTTGAATTTCATTGGGGGTGGGGGTGGGTGTTGCAGTTTCGAGGGGATGCAAATCACTTCTGAGGGGCCAGGTTGACGAATCCGGAGATGACACGTCGCTGGCCAGAGCCCAACTTGAACATTGGTCCGTGTTCGATTTCTGACCGCCGGAATGCCAAGATTTGGTCAATAAAAGATTTGAGATTCCCAGGTTCTTTGGATTGTTTCAACTGCTCGATTCCCAGGATGCAAGAACGACTCATGTACTGTCCAAACAGGACACAGCATGCTTATGGCTGTCCTTGCATGTCTTTGCGTTTGCGGAAGAGGAACGTCACATGTGTGCTGCACGCTAGAAGGGGTTTTGCTCATGGCCAGCGAGTGTGTGGAAAACCTGTTGCCCCTATTTTTTTCGAGGCTGCTGCTAGCCTGTTCATATGCCAACCACCTGCAACTACTTTGTAGACAGCTTGCGTTCTGTCTGGCACCATCCAACACCAGGTTTGTTATCCATGTTTATTGGCTTGGTCATTTTGGGGACCTCCCTGACACATACCCATACGGCCATGAAGGTTTGCAAGGAACGCCTTCCATTCCAAGTGGCCCCCCTCACAGGCAGCGCTCAGGAAGACCTTGCAGCGCTCCCACTTCTCCTGACGTCTGACGGGAATGCGGCGTCGGTCTCAGAGTCTCCTTTTCGGCAAAACCATATCTTGGGTTCTACGTGAGTTGGGGCGCAGGCGCAACCCATGTAAGGGATCGGAATTTCAGCGTGGCACCAAGCGAATCCAGGTGTACAAATTCAGCATTTTCGGCAGAATACAGATGGGGTGCTCAAAGTTGAAGATCTTAATTCTAAACCAATCTGCAATCCAGGGGACACAACTGCAAAGAAAACAACTACCATTTGGAAAAAGGCCGACTCTTCCAGACATCACACCCTAACATGGGCGTGTCTTCAAATAGGGGACACCAACAAATTGTGAGTTTCCCTTTTGGTCTTCAAAACCAACCCGAAAAGGGTCCCCTCAAAAAAAAAACAAGCCACCCACTTGGAACCTGCATAAGTGTCGACCAATTCGCCAGAAAATCCTCTGAGAGCGCTGGGAAAAAGGCGCTAGGGGCGCAAATCACAAAGCAACAGTTCGCTGTCCCGGACCCCCTTCCTCAAAATTATTAAAATGACCTAACCTGACCAAAAGGCTAGGTTTCTTGACCAAAAGGCCAGGTTTCTATCCAACAGAACAGTGCCCAGAAGACCGCAAAACCTGCAGAGAATGGGTCATGTCCTCCCAAAGATGCCTTCATTCGGCGTTTACGAGATGATAAACATGTTTTTCCAGAACCCGAAATCCCCTGAATACTAACTTAGAGTTGACTCGACCAGCACTCAACAGATTCTAAACTAGCAACATGTCCCGCCAGGTCCAACCACAGTCGCAAGCCCCCGTGGCAGGCCCCCTGCTATTGTTAGGGGGCTGAGGATTGGAGAGGCGGGAGTCTAACAAAGCTTTGCTCATCCCTTTGGCTTTCTTTGGAGAGATTGACAAAATGTCAGGGGACCCCTTTTCGGGTTATAACAACCCGGGTCCGATCCCTTGCCCCAAAGGACAGGTCATGCGCATAGCAGCCGACAGGGGCCACTTAGCGTCACCCAATGGGCCACTCAACAAACAGCGTCCGCCTCGCAAGCGCTGCAGCTTTGGCATCGGCAGCTCATGGCGCGCCACGAGCTGACGCGCTCGGAAAGTGTCGAATGTGTTCACAGTTTGGCGCCTGGATGAAACCGTCTTGGGAAAAAAAGGGGGCTGGCGCAGGATTGTCCATCCACAGTCGGGCTTCCACCTCGAAGCCACCTGCGGGCCTGATTGCTTAGTCAGTGCGCAAGTCCCTCACAACTTACGGAGGAAGAACCTGGATGGACCTCGGAAACCAAGCACCAAGCTGCCCAGCCAGGAGTGCATGTCTGTGTACGCTTGGTCGCCCTGCCACAGCTTTCATCTGCAATGCACGCATTAGGCTCGCGGAATGCCCAACGGCGCTCAGGTCAAATACAAAGGACTTGGTGCATCTGGTCCGCAGGCGTCTGGACCGTGGGACTTGAGCCGCAACGTCGAAATGGAGCATCGAACTGAACACAATCAGTGACCCTGCTAGAGCCCAGCCTCTGACCAGGACCACCACCAACCAACAAACCAACCAACCAGCCAGCCAACCGGCGGCCAAACAACAAACAAACAAACAAACAAACAGCTAAATAAACACATCAACCAAACAATAAACAAACCAATACAACACCAGGATCAACCGTGATAAACGGCCCGGCCCAGAGCACCCGCTGAGGTGCCAAACCCACGAAGTGCGTAAGGCCAACGACTCACCTGCACATATCGAAGCCAGCTGACTCGTCAACGCATTGACAGTGCGCTCAGCTACATATGTACATATGATTCAAACAAAAAGTGCACTGCACATCGAGCTATACATATCACGGTGTACATATCTTGTCTCTCTATATGCATCTATGCTATATACCAGGTGTGTAGACACATATATATATATATACGTATGTTGTGCGTATATATGTACTATAGCTAGAAAAGTATAGCCGCCTCCGACCCCTAGGAGCGTTCTTCCATGCCGTGCTGCTCTGCGAAGTCAAGAAACAAGAAGCTCTGCCGCGGCAGAGTTTTCCGTTTGGGTTCCCGGAGGTATACCTTAAAAATGAAAAAGAACATCTTTCGGGTGGTGCGCCCTTGAACGTAAGTAGAAACATACTGGTGTGGATTCCCAGCCTAATCACGCTGGTGATGTATACTTGTGCATATTACCAAGCAGCATTACGCATAGAGAGAGAGAGAGAGAGACACTTGAAAGAATATGGGACCACACAGCTACTGGAGAAACCCATCCAACACAGATTCACAACCGTTCCGCTCACACTTCAAGTCTCTTGCCGCGTCAAATCGCAACTTCCCAGCTAACTTCGCACACATGCTCGAGGCGCGCCCGTGTTTTCACACTTGCTGCAAGCAATGCTAAAACTTTTGTACATGGCAAGGCGCATGCCGCGACTCACTCGGTGAGACAACGGAGATGGGGATCATGCACTTGCCCGCAAGCCCGCTGATCGGCGGGCCATGCGGCAAACTCACTTCAGGCGCCTGGGCAAGTTTGCTCAGCCTCCTGGCGAAGGCAGCTGGCTGCGCCAAAGGCAAGCTGCCGATTTTGCTGATTCCCTCTGAGAAATCCACCTATGCACCCTACATCACCCCACAAAAGCGACCAGTGGCAGGCAAAGAGTGATGCTTAAAGTCACATGCAAAGGGGAGCTCAAGGCCCTCTCAGAAATGCTCCTGCAACTGCAAGACCCTTTCCCAAACCATGCCTCTGGATGCTCCCGTACAAAAAGCATGACCCCACCAAAGGGACAGTCATTTCAAAGCGAATGCCTCCTTCAACCATCGCTACATCCAAAGAAACGGCCAAGAAGGTGAGGTTAGAAAATCACAGCGGGAAATGCGGGAAAAACAACTCCTTTCATTCCCCAGGGGTCCCGACCTCCAAACCACCCAAGACACCGCGACCGCCCGATTCACACACCCGTAAACAGGACGAACACAAAAAGGGAGCCCTCTTTAGGTTGATTCCATTTGCGGGGGAGCAACCAAACCCGCCACATCACAAGATACAAGGGATGTGGAGGGGCCGAAGAGGCACCTCTACTTTGGGTGACCCTAGGCAGATTCGTGAATTTATTGGTTCTATATGTGCTACATATGATGGTCCTTTGGTGCAAGCGATCGGACCCCATTCTTGGAACCCGTCAAACGGGCCCGCCGAGAGCATCAATTAACACGTCTGCCTAGATGGAGCAAAAGGAGAAAGGAATTCCAGTGAACAACTTCGCATTGGTACCATTTGGTACCCTCGCTATGGCTGCTGAAGGGAGGCAAAGGCAAGCCGTCCCAGGGTTTGCCTCAAAAACAGGGTAGTTTTCCCCTTAGCCAACCTACCAAGGGCACCCATCCAGAACAATTAAAACCATGGAACCACTGGGGCCTAAGGAAAAATTGGCTTCCAGGACCGCGCCACCACTGGCCCCCGCCCCGCCCGCACCTGGCGTAGTCGCCGCAGAAGCTGCTCATTCAGCCCGCCGCCAAAGGGCCGCGGCGCCAAGAAGAGGCCCGCGCGCCGCAAAATGTTCCCCGCCTACCGCTCGCCCGCACCACTACAAAAGGCGCACTCGACTCGGAGTCATGAGTTGCTGTGGTTTTGCCGGAGGATCCCCAAAAATGGCGCCGGGGCTCAAAATTGTTTGGTGGTTTAAAAGGGGCACCACAAGAAACAAACACCATGTTGGGGGTTCACATCATGGTTGTTGGCGGTGCGACAATCCGGTGTTCAGGCCGGCCGTCACGCAGAAGCAACTTAAAAAATGCAATTGGGTGGCATGTCAGCCCAAAAGGATCTAGTATGCTCGAGGGTTGACAAAGCAGACGGACTGCCTGAGGGCAACCCCACCATTGCCTTGCAGACAGAAAATCATGAGGCATGGCGATGTGTTCGCCAAACAGCCGGTGGATTCCAGCCGCAACCAGACCATCCCATCGGGGTGCTCACGGAGCGCTCTTGCGTGCCAAGCAGCAATTGCGCTAGGGTCGCCCAGCAGCAACCTCGCTAGAGCCACTCCCAGCATCGGATGGCCCAAACAAGTACTCACTGGGCGGTTCCCAGATCCCCTGCTAAATGTTCAACTTTTAGCGGCTTGATGGAAGCAACCACTAGCTCCCACTAAACACAAAAAACCCTAAAACCCCAAAAGGATGACTGGGGCCCAACAAGCTAAGCAGGTACCCTCAAAACCCTAACCCCCCCCACTCGAAGGCACACGTAAGGGACCAGTCTCAAAAGACCGCGGCACATAATTATGAAACGATCTAATCCGAAAATTCGCGCCTGAAGGCCCCGAGGGTGTCCTCGGCGGCGCCTGTCAGGAGGTTCCTCTCTTGCGCCAGCTCCACATATGCCAGGAACACCTGGACATTGGACGGGCGGAAGCGGAGCTCGTCTTAGCGCCTTTGCGGCAGAAAGAGAACTGCAAATGGAGCGTCGCTGTCGGCTTTCCGTGAGGCAAGTCTGAGCTTGTGACTGGCCTTGAGCTACAGAATCAGACGGTTTTAAGACTGCCTAAAAGTTCAAACAGCATTACGGGCAACGTACCGTAGCCCCGTACTCCATGCCAACAGCAAAAGCAACCGGGTGCAACCGGGAAGCCGCGAAGGGAGCGCCTTGGCTGAAGCATCATGCTCCAACTTCAGTATTACTCTTCGTCCACATGGAGAGCGAGGAGCAATGCCAGCGTGGCACGCTTGCTTTGGCCCCGCTTTTGAATATATGTTCAATTGCAAAGCTAATTGGCGCTGAGTAGCAAACGCCCTCAATCAAGAAGAAGTCCCAGAGACGGCAAACACTCTCCTCAGATGGCTGTCAGCAACATGTTGCAAATGCAGGTGCTCGCTTGTCACAGTCCGTGCCCTTCACACAAACATCGCACGCCTTTAAGTGGCGAAACATAGGAGTCGTGAACAAGCACCTTAAGGCTTCACAAGCCAGCCAGGGTGCTGGACATGCCAAACACCTCCCGGCGCACACCGCGCAAACGGAGCCTGTCCTTCCCTGTCAAACTGGGCGAATCACTAAACTTCCTTTATTGGATATGGATATGGATTTGGAGGCATCTGAAAGCTCTACTGGCATGTTGCGCGACACCTCAAGGGAGGCCTTGCAGCGACAAAGCTCGCCCTAAACTTGGCGACCAACAAAGGCCGTGTGCCAGGAAAATTTCAGGGTCACTTTGCACCCTGAACAAGTCCCAATCAAAGGCGCCGTCGCCGGTCTCTGGCGACTTTCTTCACAGCCACCCAAGACGTGGCAGACCTTGATCCTTTGGCAACAGCACATGGTGCACCGCTCCAGTTCCGTAGTTGCGTCTTGGTCTGCAAAAAGGCCACATGGCCACAGGCCAGAGAGCTTTACCAAATACCAGGTCCGGACCCATCTCCACGGTAAGTGGGCATCAAGAAGATGAGCCAAAGCCAGGCCACTATTGCATCCCTAGTCAGCATACGTACGTGACACCAAGGCCAGGCAGCTGCTTGGAAGAATCTCGCGCGAATGCTAATGAATCGAGATGCAAGATGGAAGGCGAACCACGTTCCACTAAAACAGCCCCCCGAACATCAGCATCGGTGGCCACCCTCGGCTCCCCTTCTACCGAAGAGACTCCAGCGCTAGTTATAACGGGGATAGGGTGCAAGAGACGAGGATCATTGATAGCATCACACCACCTTCTTGGCCCATGTTTCACAAGGAACCAAAGATGCCAGAGTGAGTATGCGCCTGGCCGGGTCGTCCTGCGGCAAGATAACAATCTTATTGTGAAGCAAAATGGCCTTTTCAAGCGTTGCAGTGCCCAAACGCAGCCTCCACTCACACTCTGCCACGGCCAGCGTCCCGCGGATTTCCGTAAAGCGCCGCGCTCCTAAAACTGACTTCGCCCATGAACTTTGCAGTTTGTTGAGCCGAGCTTCCGCGCCTTCCGCAAGGAGCATTTCGGACCCGTAAAGGAATCCCCAAGAGACCATCATCATGACTAAGCTCGTGATGATTTGCCACTGCGAGTCTGCGGGGTGTTGCACGCCAGGCTTCAATGGTCTTCAGCTCCCGAGAGAAGAGCGTCAGCAGTGGCTCCGTAGCTATCCAAAGGAGGGGCAAGTCCACCTGGCGCTTGGACAAAAAGATGCAGCGATGGTTGAGTCCGAAATATGTAGCCAAAATGGAACCGTGGCAAATAGAACCAAGCACTTCAACGCAAGCAACGCCCCATGCTCTATACAGGTCGCTTTGCTCACTTACCGCCACCTAGTGAACCACTAAAAAGAGCCATGCCCAAACAATCCATGTGCATCACATTTACCAGATCAGGGCAGCCCAGGGCTCATGACTCACCACCAATTCTGCTTCTTGGGCATATGCCACGATTTGTTTGAGAAGCGCTGACATTCGTGTGTCTGGAGTTCGTGGTCCAATTATCCAGCACGTCAGCTCTTTTTCTCACAAAGGCCTGCATCGTGGCCGAGCTGGACTACTGCGCAATCAAAGCGCTGTCATTGGAGCAGTCTTGGATAAGGGGCCGTGGGGCACGCTATCGGCCCAACCAAAAAGCACAACTGAACATGAACATGTTCAGGCTCTTTCTTTGGGACGATCTGAATATCAATTGGAATTAGTTTAGGGAATCAACTGTTACACGCAGAAGTTGCGAACCCCAACTCTTCCGTTACCACTTGCCAGTCTGTCCGCATGCCTCCGCGAAACGCGCGTGCACCTTTGGCAGTAGCAGCAGCCTAGGAACAAAACCACTTGCCGATCGCTACACGTCCTTGCAAATGGATAGCCAACTCCATGGGTGTCGCCACAATGTGAATCGAGATTTGAGTAGTGTTGATCCCAAGTCAACCTGTCCTATTGATATGGGAGTTAATCCTCAAAATGTGATGGGACCCCGCTATTAATAAGCAGGGGTTTATTCATCCAGATTTACCATTGGTGTCTTAGCGAATCTCGATTTGACCGCGTCTTCTTGCAATCCTTGGTGCAAAAGGGCATCCATCACGGCGATGTCGCGCAACAGCCCGCGCATGGACTCCTCGTAGTAGCCTGTCGGAAAACGAAAGGCGCGTTTGCCATGCATTCGCCGCATTGCCAAGAGATCCTTGGAGCATTCGAGCATTCGAGCATTCGAGCACTCAACAGGTTTCATCCATCCCCAGTGGTGCGCAATTTGGTCCGTCAGCCTCACTTGCATATCACCGGCCAGCCCCAGGCCGTCAGCCTCACTTGCATATCACCGGCCAGCCCCAGGCTTTGCAGTGAGCATGTTGACAACATGAAGCCACTTGGAACGCTTGGCGTACCTCCAGCTACATCCTGTGCAATTTGTGAGACAATTCACAAACCGGAAATTGGGAAGACCTCCAGTACACCATGGGGTGAGCTCATGTTACTCGATTCAGTGAGCGTGCGATAGCCCGCCTTCGCAGAAGGTGTCCTTAGCGCGAAGAACTCAGAACCGAGTCAAACCACCTGTCCCCCCCCTCCCCCCAATCCAAACAAAGCTCAGGTCGAATTCATCCGGAGGACCATACTCAAATGAAGTATTTCCTGATGAAAAGAGTGATGTCACACACACATATATATAGATATATACACACGCCAGATCCCAAGACAAGCATTGCCCACGATCTGGTAGCTGATCACGGGCATTCCCTTGTAAGAACGAAAGCCCGCCAATCAGGGCGTGTCTTTCTCGAGGTTAGCTTTCTTATGGTGGTTCGAAAAGGGAGCCAAATGGACACCACCTATTTTCAGGGGACAACCCCGTCACCCTCAAACACTGAACCCGATTTCATGGTAAAAGACCCTTGGTTCGGACCATGTTCCTCCCAACCTGTTCAAACCAGCGGGAAGTAGACAGAAACCTGCGGGTAGACATCAGCTTGCTGGTGCTCAGCATGGAAGGACCCAGGGTGGTGGGAAGGAACCGGAAGGGGATTCAGGAAGCCACCATTTGGATTGTTTATAAGGGTCTTTCCATTTCTCATTCCCTGCCTATCGCACCAGCAAGTCAGGTTCCGGATCCGTTTTTGGTGTCGACTCACCGCCGGTTCTCTTTTTGCCCAGGCTGCAGTAAGGCTCCGAAGCCCACCCAGCACCTAAGGCGTGGGACGTTTCTCTCTTGTGACTCTTGTGTCTTCGTGTGATGTTCGAGCTTCCATGTGTTGGTCACCAGGACTTGGTCTTTCAGAAACATATAGCCAACAAATATAGGCGTCCCAATAGAATCAATCCAAAAGGATTGAAAAAACGACACGCCCTGCTAGGGTAGCTTGGTTCCTTTGCAATATTTGGTGCATCCGTATCCTTCCATCGCAGGCATCGTATGGCGAGGTGGGTCCGACAAGCCTCAACATCCTTTTGAACAGAGGAAAGCCCACCAAAAAAGTTGTTCGGGGAACAAGGGGAAGAATCCTTGTGTGGAATCCCAGTTTGGACACCTCGATGATCTTCGATTTGTGCCCAAAATCAAAGAACGCCAAGAATGATTGAAATTTCGGACAACCACCAAGAAGGTGGTACAACTCCAGCAAGTCGAAAAGAGCTGTGCAAAATGCCACAAGACACAACGAACAGTGAATAGCAGTCACCAACAATTTGGGAAAAATCGGGCTGGCGGGAATTTTGCCACGCCTGCTTCTCTGTAAGGCCCACGAGGAGCTGGACAGCCACTATGAAATTGAGACCTCGGGCGTCACTCATAAGGCCACGTTCAGATGCGGTGTTTGGAGGTATGGACGCTACACATAGGCTGATAAGGCAGTATAGAACATATATCAATGGTATATTCCTATGACCACACATCAAAAGACCCAAGAACAGAAAGGCACACATGCTAGGTTCAAAAACCAATTTTGACCCAGGAATTAAACAAAACTGGTTGCCTATCACCAGGAGGGGTGTCCCACTTGGGACTGTGATAAATCCGGGGTCAACATCCCTAGGCTTGTCCATCGTCTGGATCCCCCGCAGTGCCACCATGAGCCAAGCCACCTTGGCAATAGCCCACCTGCGGCAAGCGCTCCACATGAGGGGTTAAGCCTTGTGCAAGCCATACGAACCTTTGTAGTACACATTTTGCAGCCAAACTGCATTTGGCCTTCCTTTTTTCAGGGGGGGGCAATCCTGTGGGATTGTGGAAGTTTTGCTGGTTCAAAATCCCCTGAAAGTGGATACGGGAGCAGGCTACAAACCCGAGTTACACCTCTGTTGCCTAAAGGACCTACAAATAAAGGGTGGACTGTGTGGAGTGATTCGCTTTGGGCAAGTGAAGCATTGGACCAACAAATGCACCAAACCTGCAGGGAACAAGTTAGACACCCTGCCAATTCGTCCACGCGGCATGCACCGAGTTCCAGGGGCAAAAAAGAAGCAACCCTCAGACCTCAAACCCTCAAACCCTCAAACGCTCAGACCCTCAGACCCTCAGACCTTCAGGCCCTCGAGCCACCGCGAGGGGGCCTTGGGGCAAAGGTGGGAGAAGGCCCGCAGCACCCGCCCCAGGGAGTTCTTCTGGTGCTCCTTCAGCTCCCCGGGCCGAGTCCTGAGCGAAATGCCAAGCAACCATGGCTTCAACCATGGCTTAGGTTTTCGATAGGGCCCCCGTGTTCCGTTGATTGCCTGAAGATCGCTACATTCCCGGCAGAACCTTTTCATCCCCGGCTTCAAAGAAATGGATGTCGCATCCACAGTATGAGCCAAAATGGCAGTGGCTGGGCTGTCCGGTGACTGCCCTCGTCTCCAATCATGGGAAGCTGATCGGAGGCTTCAGGAAGACGACTTTCTTGTTGAAGCCCGTTGGCCACTTCCATGATTGTTGGAGAGAGAGGGTAACTTTTAGTGGCTCAAGTGGAAACCCAACCACTCAACCAACTAAAAAAGGTTAAAATGCCAAGGAACCGGATGGCTGGGCTTGCCATCAAGCTAGGAACCCTTATATTATCCCACCCTTTTCACTTGGAAATTGACGTTCGGGACCCGTCCCTTTAAGAAGGATCATGATCTTCCAGGGCCTACTGTCAGGTTCCATGTCAATTGATGGGAGGGTAACTCATGTTCAAAAGAAGCAACCAACTTGTTGTATTTACTAGAATGATCCAAATCCAAAAACTGTCAAATGTCCATGAACTCGGGCGAGAGAATGGTCTTGGACAAGGGAGCCTCCTTGGGCTATTGAACGGTTGTTGAGGGTCTTCAATATAGACACCGAGCACCTTTTTCTACAAACCGCGGAGCTTGGGCCTTTCATGGGAATCTGGTGGATCGCACGTTTGGACCAATGATTGAAGCTTCCGCGCCAAAATATGTTAGACTTTTTGCCACCATGACAACCTGGGATTTCTTGGTCCCGTCCGCTTAGATTTTATCTTGTTAGGATTTAGTTGGGATGTCCATTTAACCCACTAAAAAATGGACTTTTAGCATAGGATTCGAGGACATTGTGCGGTTTCTTTCGGCCCTTTGCAGTAGCTTGTTGGGGTGGCGTGGTTTTCCTCTGGGTTTCCCAAGAAGGGGCCATGGTCAACAGAAACCTGTACTTGGGTTAACCGGGATGATTGTGGACCCTTGAGTACCCCCTTTACTTTCGCCTTTTAAATCCCAAGCAAACTCCAAGGGTGCCAAAGAAATATGAATCCAAATCCACGACGTGGCCCCTTCCAATTGATGGGGTCGCGGTCCTGGGCACGTCCTTCTCGATCTGCCTTCTGCAAAGCTCTGTGGCAGGGAGCTGACCTGCAGGGTTCGGCAAGGCCGAGGTGTCATACTGTGGATGGACGCAATCCTGCACCACCTGACAAACCCTAGAATGAGGATTCCCCTGCAAACACCAACCAACCATGGTTTCCCATAATTTCCAAGTGGTGCAGGATTTCGCAACCATCCACAGTAGAAAACCCCGGAAAAAATATCCACTGGTTTCGGTTTCTACAGCTCCCCGCTCATTGGCGGCGCTGCCCTCGCTGCTTGGCGGCTTGGATTGGTGGTTTCGGTGGTGTTGCGGGGTAACCCCAGTTGCCTAGAGGCAAGGGTTCAAATTCCCCAACCAATCCAAACCAATCCAAACCAATCCAAACCAATCCAAACCAATCCAAACCAATCCAAACCAATCCAAACCAATCCAAACCAACCAATCCAAACCAATCCAAACCAATCCAAACCAATCCAAACCAATCCAAACCAATCCAAACCAATCCAAACCAATCCAAACCAATCCAAACCAATCCAAACCAATCCAAACCAATCCAAACCAATCCAAACCAATCCAAACCAATCCAAACCAATCCAAACCAATCCAAACCAATCCAAACCAATCCAAACCAATCCAAACCAATCCAAACCAATCCAAACCAATCCAAACCAATCCAAACCAATCCAAACCAATCCAAACCAATCCAAACCAATCCAAACCAATCCAAACCAATCCAAACCAATCCAAACCAATCCAAACCAATCCAAACCAATCCAAACCAATCCAAACCAATCCAAACCAATCCAAACCAATCCAAACCAATCCAAACCAATCCAAACCAATCCAAACCAATCCAAACCAATCCAAACCAATCCACACCAATCCAAACCAATCCAAAGCAATCCAAACCAATCCAAACCAATCCAAATCAATCCAAACCAATGGAAACCAATCCAAACCAATCCAAACCAATCCAAACCAATGGAAACCAATCCAAACCAATCCAAACCAATCCAAATCAATCCAAACCAATCCAAACCAATCCAAACCAATCCAAACCAATCCAAACCAATCCAAACCAATCCAAACCAATCCAAACCAATCCAAACCAATCCAAACCAATCCAAATCCCAATCCAAACCAATCCCAATCCAAACCAATCCAAACCAATCCAAATCCCAATCCAAACCAATCCCAATCCAAACCAATCCAAACCAATCCAAACCAATCAATCCAAACCAATCCAAACCAATCCAAACCAATCCAAACCAATCCAAACCAATCCAAATCCAAATCAATACAAACCAATCCAAATCAATCCAAATCAATCCAAACCAATCCAATCCAAATCAATCCAAACCAATCCAAACCAATCCAAACCAATCCAAACCAATCCAAATCAATCCAAATCAATACAAACCAATCCAAATCAATCCAAATCAATCCAAACCAATCCAAATAAACCCAAATCAATCCAAACCAATCCAAACCAATCCAAACCAATCCAAACCAATCCAAATCAATCCAAATCAATACAAACCAATCCAAATCAATCCAAATCAATCCAAACCAATCCAAATAAACCCAAATCAATCCAAACCAATCCAAACCAATCCAAACCAATCCAAACCAATCCAAATCAATCCAAATCAATACAAACCAATCCAAATCAATCCAAATCAATCCAAACCAATCCAAATAAACCCAAATCAATCCAAACCAATCCAATCCAATCCAAATCAATCCAAACCAATCCAAACCAATCCAAATCAATCCAAATCAATCCAAACCAATCCAAAGCAATCCAAACCAATCCAAACCAATCCAAACCAATCCAAACCAATCCAAACCAATCCAATCCAATCCAGACCAATCCAAATCAATCCAAACCAAGCCAAACCAAGCCAAACCAATCCAAATCAATCCAAACCAATCCAAACCAATCCAAACCAATCCAAACCAATCCAAACCAATCCAAACCAATCCAAACCAATCCAAACCAATCCAAACCAATCCAATCCAAACCAATCCAAACCAATCCAAACCAATCCAAACCAATCCAAACCAATCCAAACCAATCCAAACCAATCCAAACCAATCCAAACCAATCCAAACCAATCCAAACCAATCCAAACCAATCCAACCAATCCAAACCAATCCAAACCAATCCAAACCAATCCAAACCAATCCAAACCAATCCAAACCAATCCCAATCCAAACCAATCCAAACCAATCCAAACCAATCCAAACCAATCCAAACCAATCCAATCCAAACCAATCCAAACCAATCCAAACCAATCCAAACCAATCCAAACCAATCCCAATCCAAACCAATCCAAACCAATCCAAACCAATCCAAACCAATCCAAACCAATCCAAACCAATCCAAACCAATCCAAACCAATCCAAACCAATCCCAATCCAAACCAATCCAAACCAATCCAAACCAATCCAAACCAATCCAAACCAATCCAAACCAATCCAAACCAATCCAAACCAATCCAAACCAATCCAATCCAATCCAAACCAATCCAAACCAATCCAAACCAATCCAAATCCAATCCAAACCAATCCCAATCCAAACCAATCCAAACCAATCCAAACCAATCCAAACCAATCCAAATCCAAACCAATCCAAACCAATCCAAACCAATCCAAACCAATCAATCCAAACCAATCCAAACCAATCCAAACCAATCCAAACCAATCCAAACCAATCCAATCGAACCCAAAACCCAATCCAAACCAACCAAACCAATCAAACCAATCCAAACCAATCCAAACCAATCCAAACCAATCCAACCAATCCAAACCAAAACCCAATCCAAACCAATCCAAACCAATCCAAACCAATCCAAACCAATCCAACCCAAACCAATCCAAATCCAATCCAATCCAAACCAATCCAAACCAATCCAAACCAATCCAAACCAATCCAAACCAATCCAAACCAATCCAAACCAATCCAAACCAATCCAAACCAATCCAAACCAAAACCAATCCAAACCAATCCAAACCAATCCAAACCAATCCAAACCAATCCAAACCAATCCAAACCAATCCAAACCAATCCAAACCAATCCAAAAATCCCAATCCAAACCAATCCAAACCAATCCAAACCAATCCAAACCAATCCAAACCAATCCAAACCAATCCAAACCAATCCAAATCAATCCAAACCAATCCAAACCAATCCAAACCAAACCAATCCAAACCAATCCAAACCAATCCAAACCAATCCAAACCAATCCAAACCAATCCAAACCAATCCCAATCCAAACCAATCCAAACCAATCCAAACCAATCCAAACCAATCCAAACCAATCCAAACCAATCCAAACCAATCCAAACCAATCCAAACCAATCCAAACCAATCCAAACCAATCCAAACCAATCCAAACCAATCCAAACCAATCCAATCCAAACCAATCCAAACCAATCCAAACCAATCCAAACCAATCCAAACCAATCCAAACCAATCCAAATCCAAACCAATCCAAATCCAAACCAATCCAAACCAATCCAAATCAATCCAAACCAATCCAAACCACCAATCAATGTGACCTGAGTGGCTTTCCTGTAAGCCAACCTGCACAGGGTACCCGAAAACAACAGACTGGCTCCCCGGAAGCAGAGCCCTCGCTGCCGCACCCAGAACACCACCAGCTTGTGATGCTGCAGTTGCGGTGGCGCTTCTCAAGACTTGGCTCACTTCCTGAGACTAGCCACAAAAGCGCCTGAGCTCAAAAGTTTTACCACTGAAATGCTCCGAACCCCAAACGCTTGATATTTAAAGCCCGTGAACTCTGAGCTGGCATGCATCCTTTTGCTCCAACAGATGGCCAGGTCGTCGCCCCCTGCACTGCCCGCTGCGCCTTCATCCAGCTGTGCGGCGTCCTGGTTCTCCACATGCAGCCAGGCCGGCCAGAGAGCCAACCTCCGTGAAGCCATGCGAAAAAATGCCTCTCCGCTGCCGCCCTATGGGTTTTCCCTGGTTCCTCTATGGTTTCTTTATTTTTTGGTTCCCCAACAGCTGAATGCTTTGGGGTCTCAGCCCAGATAGGCTCCGGGGTGGACCTCACTTGCAGACAGAATGAGCTCACTATGATGTCGGTCCTTTTGTTGGGGCTCTTTCATGTCAAGTTTGGAGTTGTCGTACGCCTCGCAGGTGATTGTGGAAAACTGCGTTTGAGGTCACTGTGATACGAAAGCAGAAATGTGGCTTCCAGATTCAGCCTACGTCAATTCCATTTCGTAGTTCTGGCCTCGAGCAGCTGCTGGCTCAGTTGCCCAAACCCATTTTTGGACCCTATCGCTGTTTCAGTGTTTCCTCCATGGTCCGGCCCGGCCCGGAGGTGTCCACCAGGGCTCCACCAGGGTTCCACATGCTCTTGGGGATATCACCTGAGCTTATTTTTAATGGCTTCTCTATGGGTTCTCTATGGTTTCTCTATGGTTTCTTTATGGTTTCCTTATGGTTTCTTTGTGGTTTCCCTACGGAAACTTTTTCTTTATACTTTAAACATCAACTTCTTGACAACTGTGGCGACCTACTTGGATGGTTGCGAAATCCATGTCGCACCACTTTGAAACCATGAAACCACAACCTGTTGGACATGTCCAGGGGAATCATCAGAAACCAGGGTTTCTCAGTTGGTGCAGGATTTCGTCCATCCCCAGCATGGCGCATGCCACCTCAAGATTGCAAGGAAGTGAGCAAGGAAACCCTGCAAATTCCCCATAGGTTGTTTGGCTGGTTTATTTGGCAAATGATTATAGCCCCCCCCAGTTGATAGCCAGGAGACCCCCAACAAAGAAACACCCCCAGCAAAAACACCCTTCACACGTTGGGCTGGGGGGAGCAAAAAAGCAAAACGAGTTCAGAACCAAACTGAAAGCATGTAAATTGCTTTTCAATGCAGACGACCCAACAGGACGCCAAGTGTCCCCCAGATTTTGCCAGTGCCTGGCTTCATGTTGACTCCGGATTAATAAACCCCTGGTGGTTGTCCCCTTGTGGAGGTTCATCACTGGAGGGGCCCCCCACCCCGTATTCATAGAAATTCTTGTCAATCCAAAGCCAGCAACATCCGCCGCCTGCGCGTGCCGACCGCATGCCCCGCCTGTACTGCCAAGGTATCCGGTCCGCAAGCGCGAAGAGCGCCCGCATCTCGCTGCGGGGGAGATCTGCCGGGGTGCGATCCCCCAACATCTTGCGCCTCATGGCACCAGGGTCTTGTTGCTTCAACAAATACCGCGGCGGAGTCTGCCCCTGTCAGATACCCCAGGAGGCACGGGGCGCTCCCCAGGGGTGCAGGGCTCAAAGTTGCAAAGCAGGGGTCACAGGACTCCAAAAGTGGTAACATTTACCGGTGAAACCGCAACTTTTGCAGAATCCAAAACAAGAAATGGAGAACCCCTGCCACCAGCCTCCCCTGCGTGGACACCTAGAACTTGTGTTGCAACCACCTCCTCTGGGGCATGTGTTTAGAGTTTGGCGCTGCGATGCCACATCAGGGGTCTGAAGTTTGTTGCTTTCTCCCCGTCCTAAACGCCGAGTAGGGTCCCTGAAAACTCTTCAACCCACGAGCCCACGCGAAAAAGTGATCAGAAGGAACAAAGCGGACTCGACCAAAAAAGAGAGCTGTTCAACCATCCTAGCGGAACAGGGGAACGATGTTTTGGGTTGACCATGTTCGCGGAGAAGCATCAGGGAAGTTGAGCACGACAAACACCCTGGTTTCTGTCAGAAACCAACTATAGTCCAAACCCCCCACCAACAAGAAGGATTTCTGGCAGAATGTCCCTATGTGTCATCTTTTGTGGTTTTGCAAGGGAAAAGGGGAAACACCCATCATTTTGGGGTCCACATGTTCTAGTCCAACCCCAAGTGACGGAAGTCCAACTCTTGGAACACCCAGGGCGCGTTTGGGAGAGACTAAAATACACCATATGCGGAGGGGTGTTTTTGGCCTTCTGGTGATGGGAAGCCTCAATTTGCTCGTTGGTAAGTGGGCAAGTGGTCATCCCTGCTCGTTTGCTCCCTTAACTAAACCCAACCACGGCAAAGTTCTATGACTTGGTCACTGAAGTGAATATCTTTTGGGTCCAATTCGGAAATTCCGACCTTCAACCGAAAAGTTAAAGTCGAAAGATGCCTGAAAGCCGCCGAATCCTCAACGGTCTAGTCTTTTCCAGGGTTGCCCAACAGCTGTGTTCATAAACAGTGAAACTCAACCAAAACGTGCTTCAGTCCGAAGACCCATTGCCAATACACCTCCTGAATGGACAAAGGTACCCCTGGACAAAGTCCCAAAAAATGGTCAATAACCAAAATATCCAGTAAGATCCTAACCACACGATTGTTGATACCATTGTTACCCATTACCAATTAAATATGGAACCTGCCGTTCGGGGGGGAGGGCCCCTTTTTAATGGGAGGTCTCTTTGAAAAAATCCAAACCATCCAAACCACCAACCTGACTGGTTGCCTGAGCTGTGCTTAGCTTGGGTTGTAGGCATAGCTGACCCTTCGGAAAAATAACAAGGTGTCCCATGGGAAAAACCCAGTGTCCAGTGTCCAGTTCTAAACCTGAAAAGGACATCCATGGTTGTTCAGGGATCCTTACGTTGTACACCTGAACATTGCCTTGTAAATTGTGATTTCCCTTAATTTTGGTGGAAAAAGCCATGTTTCAAATGGGCAACATGTATCTTTTATACTTTCATGGCTGCTAATTATTGGCTCAATTCAGGCTGTAATGTGGGGGCCCAACCAACCAGACTCAAACATGGCCTGAGTTGTTGGTCCAGTGAAACTCTTCATGAGGCAAATCCAACTCCAAATGCGAAGCTCCAAAAGCCACCACCTTTCAGTGTTCCTTAAAGGATACATCCAGAAACCGCCTGTGGCAAAGGTCCCGTCTGTGGATATGTTGACCAAACCTCATACGTGTAGCAAAATGGATGCACACATGTATGCGGTGATGTGGCACGCATGTGTATACATGGGTAAACATGGTTGTTGTGTTTTTGTGCGTGTGTGTGTTCACATATATATGTATATATATCAGTTGTAAACAGCTGTTGTGTACCAATGTGTCTGTACTTGCAATGTTTCTTTAGTGTTCGGGTTTAAGAAACTTTGAACATTTTAGGGGATTCCAATGATTAGGGTCCTCCTCGTTAAAATCCAAACTTCACATTCAGCCATGGCAGGGTCATAGGGAGCCGTCCAGGACTCGTCCAGGGTCATAACTGCGGCCGCGCACTTCGGGGGCTGTTTTTGGTCCCTAGGACAACTGGTCGCGGCGCGCAAATTTAATTTCGCACTCAGGAGCGTTGCTCCATCGCGGAATGTATATCGGGTCCAGGAAAGTGACATCCTCACAGGAAAACCACCCCCACATGTCATTCTCCTTTCCAGCCCTTGGTATGATGACAAAGCAAATTGTCCCCTGACGGCCAAAAATGAACAGGGCCAAAAACAATAAATACCTAAAAACCATGTCAACAACAGCGTGAAGTCTTAAGACACAAAATGTCGGCACTTTGGGGGACCCGTCCCAGTCGACACGGTCGACCCTCCAGGCCTTTGGGCCAAACTGGCCGCCGGTTCGGTGCACGGCAACTATTTCAGGATGGTTATCAGGATGGCTAAGAAATAAGCAGCCATGAACTAGCCAGAAATACAACTCACCAAAAAACACCTACCCATCCTATCCTATCCATAGTCACCATCCATTGTCGCCACTTATCCATGAACCAAAAACTTCCGTTTGGTTCAGACCCATGGAAAGGACGAAAACATGTCCAGTAGTGATAGATTCCCTCTAAAACTAACAGAGGATTAAAACAGTTAAATTAAAAAAACAAACAAGCACATGGAAGAACAGAAACGCCCCGCCCGCCTATTTGTTGGGGCCCTCGGAGTTCGAAGGAGCCGAGGCGCCACTGCTCCGTGAGCTGGGCCTCCGCCTCCAGCCGCACCTCCTCGCTCTCCGCGGGGGCGTCCCAGCCTCTCGCGGGGCTCGGGGGCGGGCACTCGGGGCGGGGGGGGGGGGGGGTGACACCCGGCTTTTTGGAGGGCGCCACGAAAAGGCCCGTGCTAAAGCGACAAAGGGCCCGTTGGTTTCCATGTTCCCGATTTGGGCCCGACATAACGCAGAGAACGCACAATGGGGGCCTTTTCCCAGAAAGAGATTCCACGAGAAACGGTGGTTTCTTTGGCTCCAAATGGTTCCAGAGCATGTCTTCTTTTGTAATGGCGTTTTCAGACACAGGGCGGTCAAGACCTGGGATGGTCTAATTACCCAGAACCATGCTTCAATAAATTTTCGAAGGCGGACATATCCGCAGCTGAACCATGCTTCAAGAAATAAGAAGGCGGAAATCCGCAGCTAATTTTTGGGCAGGGGATTGTCTCTTACTATCCGGATCATCTACCCGAATCGGTTTTGAGCACGTGGCTCACTTGCCGCGTGAAGCAAAATGGATGCAGACCGTCGGATCGGAGTTGAAGGGTCTTGTCCCGAGCCAACGCTACGAAGTCGCTTTTTGATTTTGGTTTGCTTTGTGTCTTTCATTGCTTCGATTTTCTCGTCAAAGTGCATCCATGGCTCCCCTTGTGGAGCAAGTTCACATTGCCCAACGCGCTGAAATATGATACTCGGAAGCAGGGGGGCTCACGGCAAGCGCTAAATACTTGGTTGATAAGATCAGTTCCGGTCACGAATCCATCCGTCCAAAACAACCCCAAAATGAGTTGCTTTTTTTTTTCGGGTGATTCATTTTGACCCATCCCCAAATCAGGCTTACCGCTATGCCCCCTTCTAGATCTTGCTCCGCATGCTCCGAATGGCCAGAACCAAGCTGGAGAAAGCGCAGCTTTCGTGCGCGGATCTCATAAACAAGCTCGTCCCTCCGAATCTTTTGCACATGGCCTCTCTGAACGAAGCCACTGCAGCATCCACCCGAGGGCTTTTCTTCATGAAAAGAAATTTTGGACAATCCTGAAAGGCAAATCATGGTGGTTATATGAACCTCATGGTTTTAATGGTGGTTTGAACCTCGGGGTGCATGTTTTTCAGGCACCGAGGACTTTCCACGGACATCTGTACAGCCAGGGACTCCAGCATCTAGGGCTACCTTCCATTTTCATTCTTTCCAGGGATGCCCAGGGAAACAGCTGGTTGAACGGGGAACCAACCCCTAGAATGCATAACCCCATACCAAGTGATGCAAACTGACAAAATTCGGGGTGTTTGGCAGTGCCTGGTTATCATCGGCTTGGATGCTCAGCGAGCTGGCACTGGAAGCCGGGAGAGAACTCTGTTTCATCCCTACCCCGGTCTTGCAACTCGCTTCTTGCTTGGCCGCTTAGAAAGATCACAAGCCAATCGACTGGATGGCATCTTGAGCCACAGCATTTGAGCGGAACATGCATCACACAGGGTGGCATGTGGAACACACAGCAGGCGGTGGTAAAAGACGGGCAACTTGACTCCAGCTCGGAAATGGTTGGCAACCCGTGTGATTGGAACATCCATCAGAGGGTCTGTCCTTTGACATAATTTTTCCCCCGCATGCCACATACATTCCGCTGGAACTTGGCTTGGCACATTCATAAAGTCGAAGCGGCTCAGCATAACTAGCCGATCCAGCCTCGTGTTGCACACTTCAAGACGGACCTCGACCGAAGCACACGGGTGTGAGAACCAAGCAATTCAGGACCTTTGATTTAGGTCTTTTGGTGCAAATCCCTTGTCATTTATACCCGTGGAGTAGAAAAACGGGGGAAGCTGCGGTCTGAATCCTTTATAGTGGTCTGTGAACCCGGCAGTCGGCACTGGTTGGGACATTGGGACATTGGCCGCCCAACGTGGCGCCTCTCCTGGCATCGATTTCTCAAGGCAACTCTCCGGGAGCCGGCCCGACTTCACAGTCCGGAGCCACAAAGAAGTGCTTCCACCAGCTCACGGCGGTTTGGAGGGCCTCCCGGAACTCCGCGAAGCTACAGGATGCCAACACCCGCACGTGCCTGGACTGCTTCTTGGTCACGCAGGTGTCGATGAAGAGCGGGACGCGGCCCTGGGGCGGTAGCTGCTGGAGCTCCACAAGCCACGTGGGTTCGTCCACGATGACCACCAGCGCCTTGTGCAGGTTGCGGCGCTGCTCCTTCTGCAACAGGTGCGGCAGCTGCTTGAAGTCCTTGCAGATGATGGTGGAGATCTGCAGACGCTCCAGGAAGTGCTCGAAGACCAGCGAGCTGCAACCCTCCTGCATCGCCAAAATCACGTCCATCTCTGGTCCTCGAGCGAGACACCGGAAAAGGAGAGTCCACATTTTCAGTCTTGGGCCAGTCGCCGCATGGCTCATCATCCTGAAGGACATTGCAATCCGCCTGCGTCATCGCAAAGAGCTTCTTCGCATCCGGAGTGCTCTGGAACATGGTGAAGCCTCTAGAACATGGTGAATCCTTTTTCCGCGGGCCTGGGTCGCAATCCTTAGGATCCTTAGCAGTCGGATTACAACAGAGCCTCACCGAAGCTCGTTCACCGCAAGGGCAAGAGTCGAGAGCGCATCGGATCCGTGACCTATCGCATCCGCTTGCCTGTCTTGGGCGTCGTCAACGCTCACTTGGGCACGCCGCCTAGGGGGACAAACGAGAGCCATCGAAGTTCAAACAGCTGAAGGCCTGACAAGTCAAAGAGAAGTGTACATGTCACACTGAGAATTATTCGTCCCATTGGCAATTGTAATCCATTTTGGCTCCAGCACCCGGAACGAAAAAGGATTGCCGTTGAGCGGCCCAGACGTGCCGGCCTTTCCAAAGGAAAAGATTAGTCTTCCAGTCTCGGATCTCAAAAATCGAACCTGTTCGAGAGGGTGTTCCTATGGAATGCAACCCAACTGCGGCTGCAGTAATTGATACCCCTTGCAGATTAACGTGCCCAAAAGTCACTAGTGGCCCAAGAGCGGTTTTGGAGCACAAACATGCACGAATGCAGTACCGGCGCAAGTCTTGCGCAACGGCGCAAGTTGTAAAACGTGTAGCGCGGGGCTCGCTCCGGCCTTGGAGCCCGCGGAAGTCTAAGCCTTGCTCTACTTGCCTTGATCTTGATCAGAGCTCGTTGTGTGCCACTTGCCGGTGTAATGTTGACCTATGATTAATAAATAGGCCCCCCCCCCTTGAATGACCATAAATAAAGATTAGGGGAGAATCTTCAGGGTCGGGCCTTGTTTAAAGGAGTTTAGTATTGGGCTCAGTTTTTTGGTTTTCGAATACTACTTTAGAATTGGGCCAACTCAAAAGTAGTATTGGGCATGTTGTTTTTTCCCGGAAGCATTGCGAAGGGTTCTTCTTCTAAAAGCGGCTGCCAACTTCACCTGCCAACTTCTCATGCCAACTTGTCGAGAGTTACTTCACCTGCCAACTTCTCATGCCAACTTGTCGAGAGTTACTTCACCTGCCAACTTCTCATGCCAACTTGTCGAGAGTTACTTCACCTGCCTACTTCTCATGTCAACTTTTTGAGAGTTACTTCACCTGCCAACTTCTCATGTCAACTTTTCGGCTGTTATCTCATTCTACTAAAAGCACAAGCTAATTTGTCGGGTGTTACTTCACTATCCTAAAAACACAAGCTAACTTTTCTGTTCTACCTTCACATCTCGACTCTTAATTCTTCTTCTTTTTATGGCGGGGGTAGGCCCGACGGGAGCTTACGAAACGCACCCCTCTGCGGAGATCGTGCGTGTCGAAGCGCTCTCGCTGTGGCGCCGTGCGAATTTGTCTTGACCTTGGCGAACCCTCTGCGGAGATCGTGCGTGTCGAAGCGCTCTCGCTGTGGCGCCGTGCGAATTTGTCTTGAGCGCGGCGAACCCTCTGCGGAGATCGTGCGTGTCGAAGCGCTCTCGCTGTGGCGCCGTGCGAATTTGTCTTGACCTTGGCGAACCCTCTGCGGAGATCGTGCGTGTCGAAGCGCTCTCGCTGTGGCGCCGTGCGAATTTGTCTTGACCTTGGCGAACCCTCTGCGGAGATCGTGCGTGTCGAAGCGCTCTCGCTGTGGCGCCGTGCGAATTTGTCTTGACCTTGGCGAACCCTCTGCGGAGATCGTGCGTGTCGAAGCGCTCTCGCTGTGGCGCCGTGCGAATTTGTCTTGACCTTGGCGAACCCTCTGCGGAGATCGTGCGTGTCGAAGCGCTCTCGCTGTGGCGCCGTGCGAATTTGTCTTGACCTTGGCGAACCCTCTGCGGAGATCCTGCGTGTCGAAGCGCTCTCGCTGTGGCGCCGTGCGAATTTGTCTTGAGCCCGATGAACCCTCTGCGGGGATCGTGCGTGTCGGATCGCTCTCGCTGTGGCGCCGTGCGCATCTGTCTTGAGCCCGATGAACCCTCTGCGGAGATCGTGCGTGTCGAAGCGCTCTCGCTGTGGCGCCGTGCGATTTTCTTGCTCGCGAAACGGCTTTTGGAAGTTGTCTCGTGGTGTGCGCGCCTGCTTTCGCAATCCCGCGGTCCCGGGTTCGATTCCCCCCTGGTCCGCGGCAGCTCCGGCTTGAAAATCGCAGCTTTTAAGTACAAACGTAGTACGCGGAGCGTGCTCCTGCAGCTCCGGCTGGAAAATCGCAACTTTTAAGTACAGACGTAGTACGCGGAGGCTGCTGCAGCTCCGGCTGGAAAATCGCACTTTTTAAGTACAGACGTAGTACGCGGAGCGTGCTCCCGCAGCTCCGGCTGGAAAATCGCAACTTTTAGATACAAATGGCTGGAAAATCGCAACTGTAAATTGCAAATGTAGCACGCGGAGCGCCTCCGCCGCTCCAGCTTTTTGAGGGTTAATTACTTCACCTGCCAGTTTCTCATGCCGAAACTTCGAGAATTACTTCACCTGCCAGCTTCTCATGCCACCTTTTCGAGAGTTACTTCACCTGCCAACTTCTCGTGCCAACTTTTCGAGGAGTTACTTCACCTGCGAGCTTATCATGCCAACTTTTCGAGAGTTACTACACCTGCGAGCTTCTCATGCCAACTTTTCGAGAATTACTTTACCTGCCAACTTCTCATGCCAACTTTTCGAGAAATACTTTACCTGCCAACCTCTCGTGGCAACTTCACCTGCCAACTTTTCGAGAATTACTTCACCTGCCAACTTCTCATGCCAACTTTTCGAGAAATACTTTATCTGCCAACCTCTCGTGGCAACTTTTCGAAAAATTACTTCACCTGCCAGCTTCTCATGCCAACTTTTCGAGAGGTACTTCACCTGCCAACATCGCCTGCCAACTTTTCGAGAGTTACTTCGCCTGCCAACTTCTCGCGCCAACTTTTCGAGAATTACTTCGCCTGCCAACTTCTCATGCTAACTTTTCGAAAGTTACTTCACCTGCCGGCTTCTCACGCCAACTTTTCGAGAGTTACTTCACGCGCCATCTTCTCGTGCCAACTTTTCGAGAATTACTTCACCTGCCAGCTTCTCACGCCAACTTTTCGAGAGTTACTTCACCTGCCAACTTCTCATGCCAACTCTTTGAGAGTTATTTCACCTGCCAACTTCTCATGCCAACTTTTCTCTTGAGTTACTTCGCCTGCCAACTTCTCATGTCAACTTTGCGAGAATTACTTCACCCGCCAACTTTGCCAGCCAACTATTCGAGAGTTACTTAACCTGCCAGCTTCTCATGCCAACTTTTTGAGAATTGCTTCGCCTGCCAACTCCTCATGCTAACTTTGCGAGAGTTACCTCACCTGCATCAACTTGCCTCTATGCTTCCGGGCCACTCGTCGTCTAGTTTCTTATTTTGCTTTGGGGGAATACTAGTTTAGAATTGGGCCAATTCTAAAGTAGTATTGGGCATGTTGTTTTTTTCTTATTTTGCTTTGGGGGAATACTAGTTTAGAATTGGGCCAATTCTAAAGTAGTATTGAGCCAATAACTTTTGGCTATTCCAGGAAGAATCTGGTTAGCATTATTCATGGTCTGGTTATTATTTAGTGCCTCAGGGTTCATGGGGGGTACTCTTGCTGCCAGGGTCAATGTGTTGATTTGGATGGTTTGTTAAAAGGAATTTTAAAAGAAAGGGATCCCATAAGTTTGTGGATTTGGGATACATCTAGCATCAAGTGTGGGATGAGCCAAGTGGAATGGAAAGCTTGACCATGAATAAAGATAAGGGGATCAGATATTTTTTTGATGGTGGAATCTTGTTAGCATTATTCATGGTCTGGTTATTATTTAGTGCCTCAGGGTTCATGGGGGGTACTCTTGCTGCCAGGGCCAATGTGTGATTTTGATGGTTTTTTAAAAGGAATTTTAAAAGAAAGGGATGCCTGGCATGATCCCTATATAAATTCGTTATGAAACCGTGCAAATTCCATGGGGGATGAGGGTTGGGAGCACTGACCTTGAATAAAAATCTGCATTTTGCATGGATCCCAATGGGAATTCTAGGTTCTTTTGTGAGCTGGGGAACTCAGGATTCATTCATTCATGTGGGGGGAAGGTTATTTTTTGAATTACTTCATATCATTTTGTCGTTTTTTTCATAATTTTTCCATTGGAAAAACGGTTAGCATTATCCACGGTATATTTATTATTTTTCGGGAAATCGGTTAGCATTATTTATGGTCTATTTACTAATCGTAGGTCAACATGAAAACGGCTGGCGACTTTAGCATAAGAACTCGATCAAAAGAAGTCGAGTTCTAAGAAGAAAGCGGCACTACTATCGCACTGAGTTGTTAGTTGTGATGTTGAAGCTGGAGCTTGGAAAGTGCGAGTCGCACTTTCCGCTTTCGCACAAAATGTGCTTTTGGAGCTGGCTCTATGGCGCACTGCGATGGCGACTTCCGTCAAAAGCTGCGGGAAGCGAAAGCTGCGATTCGAACCCAGGCTGCTGGCTTCGACGCAACTGTTCGTGCCCACTTCACAAGCCCTAAGGCCCGATGATTCTTGGGCCCTCAAAAAATGGGGTGTGTTCAAGGGCCCCTGAGGAATTGGTCCGGGTTCTTCATTGGAGAGCCCGGGGGCCTGCATTGGAGGGGTGAGCCTAAGGCAGGGAACCCTCATGTTTTTTTTGAACCGACCATGCCGATCTCAGCAGCCAGAGGGTCGCGCGGGCAAAGAAAACAAGTAGTAAAAGCCCTCAGTTTTACAAAAGAAGCTCGAACAGCCCAGGAGGGAGTTGTTGGGGATTCAAGGTCCAGGTTGGTTCTAAGGGTTATAAAGCCAGTAAGCCAAATCCATTCAGGAGGTTCTATCCCCGCTTTTGGGCTGCCACTAATTTATGGGAACCCAACATGGGGAAACTAAAATTGGGCCAACAAAACAAACCAGACCTGTAGGGAACAAGTTGAAACCCTGTCAATTGAACCATGGCTTGTGTTTGTTTGACTTGCAACAATCAGGGCATCCGTGCAATCAGCTTTGGATTGGTGTTTTGGTGGTTCCGGTCAGTTCCCCATTTACCCTCAACAGGAAACAGGGGTTCAAATCCAAAGCAATCCACGGGCCTTAGGCATCCCTACACGGACGTGAGACTCACGAAGCCCCGCCTGCGGCCCAGCTTGGATCTGGCTTCAGGCCCAGCCTCGGAAGGCGCCCGAAACAAAAAGAACGAAGCGCAGCAACTTGGGGCGGCGCGCCACTGGCGGCTTTTTTATCAGCTTCTTGGGGCATTGTGTATCTTTGGCCCTTTGCCCCTTGCTTCAAGCGTCTGAGGGGATTGGTTCTCTAAAGGGACGCGGGTCCTCAACTCGAACTGTTTTGCGGCCGAGCCCTCCCATGGAAACCCACATGGGACCCACAAGAAAACGGTCCCCCCGAAACCAGATTCCGCCGTCAAACTCTTGTGTCTCCGCGGGTCTCATTCGCTCACAAAGGCCCAGAAGCACAAGGTGATCACCATTTTGGCCCACTCAAAATCTACAAAGGGGAAACCTCGTGCCACTCGTTTTGTACCAAGGAGGGACCAGGACTATCAATCTACAAAAA